TCTCAATTTTTCATGCTTTCAATTTGATATTTTGAAATTATTAAGACTTTATTATATGTATTTCATTAAGTACTGTTTAAATCTGAGTTTCGATTGAAAACGAAAAAAATTATATGAAATCTAATTGAAAACGAAAAAACGTTGAAGTTTCAAACCTCAAAAATATTAATCTATTTAGGTTGTTTTAGAGATAAACGCAAAGAATTTTCTGAAATGTCTTAAAAAATAAAATATCAATACAAAAATTTCAATTCCTTTAATTATTTATCTCAGAAGCTTTATTGTTTATTATTTTCTAGCCTAATCTTTCAGAGCTTAATATATTTTTTATATGAAATTTAATTAAGTTGAAGAAATGATTTGATTAAAAGTGTGTATCGTGTCAGGAGAATTATTCTAGATCAAAATTTGAGGTTGAAAAATATTATTATTCAAAAATTAATTCAAGCGATATTTTTGTATTAAACTATATCTATTAGAGTTTTCGAATGAATGTCACCAAAAATTTTTTCGATCCGGATTTTCCAGAATAAAAATTAGAAAAAAATAAATTATTCTATATATGCGAGTATACTTTTGATTTTGATTCAATTTTAATTGAATTCAATTATTCAAATTCAACTTTTCTTTCAATTATTTATGATATTTTGTAATATTTCTTGTTTTTCACTCCCTGTTGAGTGTTCTTTAAAAGTGATTTTACAACATCTCTGTTGAAAAGTTTGAATTCAATTTAATCCATTGATCCGTCAAAAAGATGTCAGAAACTAGCTTTTTGATCAGAATAGATTTTCTCTTGCGAATTAACCTTGCAATCTAATTCATTTACAAATACGGATGGTGAAAATGCTTGTAAACTAAAAACTAGATCGTTGCATCATCAAAATCAAAAACATCGATTAAAATTCTAAAATATATTGATTATATTGGAATTTATGTAATAAAAGTTAACCATTTGTCGATTCACATGAATGCGAACCAAGGTAAACGTATTTTCGTCTAAAAATCATTTATTTTCAAAAAATTTCATTATCAGCTTTAATTGATATCGATAAAATGGTACAAGTAAAATTCTCGTAGCGGATATCTGTTTCTTACGGGAATAAAAAATCAATAAATGTAAAAGTTGATAAAAATGCGCCAGTTAATTGAGGAATTGTTGTGAACTGGATTGGTAATTCGTACCATTAATTAACATTATGAATTTTTCGTCTGAGTTTAATTTATATATTAATATCGGATATTTTTAAATAATATAAGCATAAAGTTCAATTGAAAGAACATGATATTGAATAATTCTGGCGAATACTAGATCTCCATGAGCCCATGATGTTTATTTTGTTTGATTTGATTTAAATGAAACATAACGATGCTTTTCTTTCAAATAAAAATATCATCAAATGTATTGGCATACTATCTATAACTAGTTTAATATTATTTGAGTCTATTTGAATAAAAAAGAAACTTTTTGTTTGTTACGGTAAAACGTTGATTAATTTGAACTTGTGAATCCAACTTAAATTAGTTGTTTGCGTTCATTGGTGCCTTAAATATTGCTTTATTTTATAATTTTAAAATCTGTTTCAAAAAAACTTGTTCTCTTGGGACAATATTTTAATTTTTGGATTTCGGTCGTCATTCTAGTTATAACTATTGAAGAAAATGCAATTCAGATCAAAAACATGAAATTTCTCTCGTGTTCGTCATTCGTTTTTATATAACATTTAATGAGTAGCGCAATACATCTATGTTAATGATATATCATTCAACCAATTGTATTTTTGGTCTCCAGCAATGCATTTGACCTTGGTTTGAAAAAAAGCCTTATGAATCGTGAAATTCCATGTAACGATATTTTAAGTTTTCAAAGTAAATATTATCGAAATTGATTGATTTAAATAAACATATGATTTCATGAGATTTCAAATTTAAATTGAAACTTTGAATAACTATCTAATCAAATATCTTTAGTAATGAGCATGCATATAGGAATTCAAAATTAAAGAAATAACTACATGTTGTTTTTTCTATGAGAAACATGAATGATAGTTATTGACGCGTTGGGATTATCAATAGCTATTTTTTCGTTGCTATAGTATTTTTAACAGCTAACCATAGGAATATTTGGGGTTCTGTTTCCATTTTTTGATTGTGTAAATAAACCAAAATATCAACAATTTCTATTAAATATATGAGTAAATTTCCTAATTTCTGCGTATATTCTTAGGCTTCTCGCATTATGAATAAGCTTTTAACATCTTTATTTGATGATGTGTCAATTGAAGTTTCTTCGAAGTTACCTGTTTATTCACTTATTGCAATCTATTTTGGAGTTCTGTTAATCCTATTGCAAAAACATCATTTCTCCTAATGATGGGGCATTCCAGTGTGTTTCAAACATGGTTTATTTTTCCTTGAATATCTCCCTAATTTTCTCCATCTGATAAAAATGGAATATCAAAATGTCTCAATCATTATATTGTGAGATTATGAAAAATAGATGGCATTTCATTTTGGAATGTACAAATTGTTGGATCAAGAGCTGCACATGAGATTTTAAGTTGTTCTGCATCAAATCCAATATTAGATTCAATAGTGATATCGTTTTGATGATCTTCACGTTAAAAAGCATGTTTCCGATGAGATCGGGCTTGCCTTTAAATTGTTATAAGCACATCTAAGATGATTGATGTATCTACTATTAGTACAGTATATATGGGTTCCAGTGTAATGAAATGTAATAATATTTACGTTGAGCAATATTTGCATTCAATCAGGGTCATTATTGATTTTGTAATTTAATCGTCGTCGTTATCGATTTTGTAATTTAATCGTTATCGTCTTTTTCTAAACGTGCATTTTTTGCTTTCGGAGCTATTGAACATACATTGGCCCTTACCAGCAATTGAAAACTATTTTTCATTATCAACAATTACATTACTCCGAGTTATTCATCAATCAATGAAAATCGATATATAGTCCATACTTCAATTTACAATATTGGCAAGTCCAATTTCACTTGGCATATTTAACTCATATAGAAAAACCAGTTGGAATCGGCAAAATTATCTTTAATTCCATACATAAGAAAAAAAAATTATAAAGTTCTTCAATAATAGCAAACTAATAGTTTAAATAGATTTACAAGTATCGCCCATCTACTTTTGATATAATTCACATATTAAATGTAGAAAACTGGTTTAAAATAAATATTTCAAAAGTTCGAAAACGATTTATGAAAAAATAATGTGATGACATTTACTAAATTTGCTCTGTATTAAAGTATCGATGATAGAAAGAGCATATTTTGTAAATATTTCAAAAATATTTAAGGACTTCGACTTTAGCATCACATAAATATGTTATTTTCTATATTAAAACGTAATTTTGGTGGTCTTAGAATAGAAAAATATGCAATATTCGTGGAGATAATGAGGGTTCTTAAACATGTTCTTAAAAATAAATAAAATAATACAAATCTTTATTCAATCTTTTGATATTGTTGGTCCTCTCTTTGTGAAAATACTTAACTTCAAAGAGTATTATGTTTTACCTAGTGATGACCTTAAGTTTGCAAAAACATAATAAAAGTAAAATAAAAAAGATCGGATTTATCACAAAACTTTGAGTATTATAGGATTTAATATATTTTCTTAGTAGATTATATGATTTAGTTTCTTAAAATCTAAAGTATTTCTTGAGGAAAATATAAATTGAAATTCAAAAAGTAAAAAAAATGTAAACAAATCAAATTTTAAATGGACCAAATGTTGATTTTTCATTCGTTTTCTCATTATCGAAAAAAATTTGGAAAGCTAAGAAGTCAATAACAAGTTATATAATACAACAAAACCCACATCGGATATGTTTTCATCAAATAGTCTCCTAGATTTGTTATGAAATTAAAATATCATGATATTTTAAGGGCTTTTGATTTCAATATTAGAATTATTCAGTTATGTCGTGCTAATATCAATTGCTTTATACAATTAATCGTTTACAAGCTGCAAAAATCGAACAATAATTTGACTTTGTAAAAAAAGTGCGTCATTTTTATTCGTTATACTTACAAAATGTAAACATTACGAGAAACATTTACATTTGTAAATGTAACAAGTAAAGTTGTATCGCATAATTTGACTTTGTAAAAAAAGTGCGTCATTTTTATTCGTTATACTTACAAAATGTAAACATTACGAGAAACATTTACATTTGTAAATGTAACAAGTAAATACATCAGATTTAAATTGTAAATGTAGTTTATCTCTCTCATCTCCTTTTTAAAAGGTATTACATACATACGAACGCATGGGTCACTCAATAATTAGCGTGATAATAATTGAGGATAGACTGTAATCGTAATTTTATTTTTGGACTTATATTTCGACATTTTGAAGTCGCTTGAAAGTCTTGCAAATGATTAAATTTGGAAAATTTGACCTAAGTCTGCATTATTTTGATGACTTAAACAATTCTATAAATCTGTTTTCCTAAAAATTTAAAAAGATATAATTTCAATTTCCCTAAATTTATGTAATTCATATATCACCAAAATATTTGGACTGCATTTCGTTTGTCTGCACCTAATTAAAGTCTAAATACCAATTAATTTTGGAGTTGCATTGCTTTTAATGTAAAAATGCACGTTTAGAAAAAGACGATAACGATTAAATTACAAAATCGATAACGACGACGATTAAATTACAAAATCGATAACCTCTCATTCAATCATCTATATTTTCTGCTTTCATTGGTGATACTACACCAGAATCCGAATGCATGTTGAAAACAATGCTTTTCGTTTCGTTTCCAACATGTATAGGATTGAACATAGATTTTTTAATCAATATTTAATACAATTACAAAAAATCTTTGTATAATCATTAAAATAGCATATCTGATAAATTGAGCATGTTTTAAATTCGCAGAAGGATATTTTATATAAAATTTAAAGTGATAAAAAAAAAAAAAAAATATTGTATAAACATAAATTGTGTTGATTACCAGTGATCAACAACAGAGCAACGATTAATGGCAAGGAATCTCTTCATCTTGAAAGAATCAACTGGATTTGGTTCTTTGGCGACATATTGATGTCCAATTGAAGCTTTTGTAGGGCGATGAGATCTCTGTGCAATAGTTCCTTTGCTTTGGTCGAGAGAGCGTCTTTCTTGCTCTGCACGCTTCTTTTCCCATGCTTTTTGCTCTAAAGCGCGGCCAGTCTTGAAATGCATGCAATCATCCATTTCGCTGAAAGTAGGTGTTGCTTTTCCATGAACCATCTGAGAAACACGATTGTGGAAGGCTTCTGGAGTTTCTGAATTTGGAGCAAAAACTTTTTGCTTTTGCATTATTGGGTGTTCGATTTGGTATTCCCTAAACTCTCGAGATGTAATGCATCCATGTTTAACAGCTGAACGATTTGTGGCGATATAATCTTGTTTTGGCTTAAATTCTTTATCACGACGTGCCGATTGTGGTTGATTCTCAAGTGCAGCCCAATTGTCAAACATTTCTTTAACGCCGGCTTCTTTCTTTGATTTTATGCCGTAAACATAATTTTCTGGAGGAAGATTATGTGTTGAAGGTGTTGCACGAGCAATATCACCGTGAACTAGAAGGGCATTTTTGGCCATTGATGGGCGGTAGTCTCTATATGCATATATATCCATGATTTTGAGAATTTCGTTACTAAGAAAAGTGACTATTTCTTTACACTTTACAAATATTTTTGTCAAGCATACATTTTCAAAATTTTATTTATTGTCAGAAAAATAAAAAAAAAGCAATTCGAAATGAAGAAATTTTTTATTCGATGTTTAATGGGCGAAAAACCGAAAGAGCCAACCAAGAGGAAACCAGTCATGCATAACCTCAGAAATTTTAACATAATGATACATATGTTTGCGATTTTCTACTATACTCTTTACCCAGGAACACGTATGCACGAATCATTTATTAGCAGTCGTCCTTATTACTTCTTATTTGTATTAGCGATATACTTATATACTTATTCATTCTTTGGAATTGCTTGTTTTAAAACTTCTTGGGTTACTGCAAGTCCAGATAACGTAGAAGGACTTTTCTATTGCAAGAAGTGCAAAATGTATATACCATGTAGAGCAGCGCACTGTAAGCACTGTGGAAGATGTGTATTACGAAGAGACCATCATTGCCCATGGACTGGATGCTGTATTGGACAGAACAATCATCAATATTTCTTAGCATATCTTATGCTCAATACGATTTATGTCATATGTGTTTTCCAAGACATCATTTATACTTATATTTATCAAGATGATATAATTCACTTTGTATTTTTCCATCCAGACTTCATTATCATGACCGCTCTTGTTATTTTCTCACTATTTTTCTCAGCTTCAATGGCATCTACTCATCTATTGTTCGCATTAGGAAATAGAACAACATTCGAACAAGTTCTCTCATACAAATTGGAATATTTACGAAAGTACCCGCCATCAATAAACCCATTCAGCTATGGGCCGATTGATAATTTTATAGAATTTTGCCAAATGGGCCATTACAACATTACTTGGGATGTTCCACCTCCACCCGAAGAGCTTGGCCTCAATTTGACAAAAGATGACTTTCCTCCAAAATATTTCAAGTATTTGGAAGAACTTGAAGAGAAAGCTAAAAATCCAAAGCCTGAAGAAACTGATGAAGATCAATTCTAATGAAAATCCTTTGTTGAATGTTAATTATTGCTCCAAATTTGAAAACATTTTCAAAATTATTAATTTTTGTTTGAATGTATATTAATATAAATTGTTTCTGTTTAAATGTAGTATTTTTACCTGATATGTTTAAACTTTTAATTACTTATCATCGAAGATAGCAATTCATATTAAGCAAAACTATTCCATACATATAAATAATTACGCAAATCTTTGTGAATTCAACATTGTTGAGTATAAAAGTCTTCAATAATGGTCAATACAAGAAAATTATTGACCAAAAGTCAATTAGATTATGAAAAATCTTGTAATCTTTAACTAATACTTCAATTGTCTCTGTCCGTATGTATATATTGATATATTCATTAAAGATATCTCATCCATAAATTTAAATTCAAGATCTCAAACTTTAAAAAGTGTGGAAGTTATTAATATAAACAGTACATTTTATATATCTATAACACTAATATATAACACTCTATTTTTCTCTAAGAAATTCATGCCTCAAGGCATCTTCAGCAGTAATTCGTGTATATGGTGATGGATCCATTAGTCTTCCAAGGAGATCGAAGACGCTTTCATCGCATCCCAACTGATCGAAATAAGGATTTAATCCTTTAACAAGATCTGGAAATGCGATGCCTTCTTGTTCGCGCGGGAAATGAATCTTTCTTCTGCATAGCTTCGCTGCTTCATGCAGCCGTTTTGTACCTATAATTGTTGAAACTTCACATAATGATGTCAAATCATCTGGAGATTTGAAAAATGGATATCTTCCTGATAACATTGATAGTAGAACAACTCCGGTACTCCACATATCAATTGCAGATGTTTGATTCTGATATGAAATTAAAACTTCAGGTGCTCTAAATCCTCTTGTACCTGCTCTATTCGCTTGCATTTTAGGTCTTCCTTGACATAATTGCGGAAAATTAAAATCATAGTCATTATCATCGTAATCTGATTGCGCAAATGTGGATTGCGGTGGAGGTGGATGATTATCCTCTTCACACAAGCCAAAATCTATCAAAGATCCATTACCTGTTTCAGGATCAAAAAGAAAATTTGCTGGTTTTACATCTCTATGAATTATTTTATGTGAATGTAAGTATTGTAATGCGCTTAAAAGCCCTCTCATGTAGTCTTTAATAATTTTGCATGTCATATTTTGTAATAAAGAACGAAATGAAGTATGTGGAACATAGCCCATTACTAAAGTAGCTTGATCATGAGCTCTATATGCGCCGTATAGCTGTACTATGTTTGGGTGATCTAATTTATTTAGCCATTGGATCTCTTTAACGATTCTATCTGGTGAATTATTCCAGAATAGCTTTTTTAAAGCGAACATAGCACCTTTTTTGTTAGTAGCCTTTACAACCGTAGAAAAAGAACCAACACCGATTGTCCCAATTATTGTGAAATCAGCATCACTCAATAATTGGGGTGGCTTGGAAAGACTCATATAAAAAATTATGGATTTCCGAAGTGATATCATATCATATATGCTAATGGATAGCTATACACTTATTATCGACCTTGAATTAAGAATTTTTTCACAAAACATATTAAAAATAATACAATACTACAAGCCACCCATTTTATATATGAGATGTATCATATTGAATGATTTTATATTAAGATGAGTATAAAATGCCACTAAATGCGTTTATAATTATAACTTCAACAATTTTGATAATGATATCGGATACTTTCCATCTTGAACTTATTACAGACTGGAGTGCATCTGACTTGAAATGTATATCCAATTGTTTTTTGAATCTCAATAAAAAATTTGAAATAATAATATATTAATAGAATGTCATGCATTGGATTCCTTATATTTTTTACTTTTATTACTCAACAAATGAAATGCAATAAGTTATTCTGCGTATCGAGACAAAATATATTTATATTATGGCTAAAATCACATTAATGTGAAACGATTTTATAGATTATCTTTTTGAAAGTCAGTTGTTAGCTTAACAACTGTATTTCTAGCGAAATTAATTCAATGGTCGATAGAAATTTCGGAATTTATGCAACATTAAAGCTTATTTTGTAATAAACAGAAATTCATCAAAAGTGACAACTCTCAATTTTTTGACATTTGTAAATTCTAAATTGAATGAGAAAAATGAAATAATACTAAGCATAATACAATATTCTAGATTTAATTATAATTAGGAAAAAATTAGTTTTGAGAGTACTTTTCATAGGCATATAGAATGAAATCTTCTGAAAAATAATATCACATAAACTCATATTATTTTCTAATATATAACTATTTTATATAAAAATCAAATTCAATGATCTTAAAAGCGAAGGATAAACCTCAAAATTTACGAATATAATGAGTGGGAATATAATGCTTATCTATCATAAAACCATATGAAATATCAATTTTTGCTTTACGCCTAATTTTTGACGACAATTAGCAAAAAATGTTAAATGTTAACACTCAGTCCATTTGAATATGAAAAATAAAATTGACTTTGATTAAATGTTTTTATTTATCATGCAATGAGTAGGTGCCAAAAGTGCATACTCTTAAACAACCGTCGGATTTCCGGGTGAAATCGTGACACACTTTCGTCTTTCGTAGGCAGTGGTGGTTGTTACAAAAGGTAACTTCGAATGTAGCGTGAAATCTGCAAAAAAAATTCTGAAATTTGAATGGAGAACACAAAAATTGAATAGTTTACGTCAATAAAAAAGAGAAAAATGAAGCCAATGTGTCTCGAACCTAGGACTTAGAGCAGCAATCCCACTGTTTATCCCATTACATATTACACTACATGCATCTCTCACCTCAGTGAATGAGATCAACTATATGATAACTTTTTCCCCATTATATTCTTGTGGAAAAGTGACAAATAGCAACTTTGACCCTCTCTCATCATGCAATTCTTCTTGCGACCAAAGATTTGAATAAAAGTTCAAAAAATAAGATAGCTTAAAAAATAATATACGGTAGTGTTTACTAATAGATGAATAGTATATAAATTCTATTAAAATGGATTTGATCCAAAAAAATATATAAAATTTGATCATAAATAAAATCGTTTTAAATTACTTCTTCATTTAAATTATAACAATTATTTTTGGTTTTATATTTTTTTGGATCAAATCCATTTTAATAGAATTTATATACTATTCATCTATTAGTAAACACTACCGTATATTATTTTTTAAGCTATCTTATTTTTTGAACTTTTACCCTATATTTCCAACTCTTGGAAAATTTTTCATGACCCCTACCCAGGGTCCTAAAATGGGTATTTTCCTCACACAGACACCGTGGTTTTTTGAGCCGGAAAATAAATAGCGCAGACAGTTTCTACATATAGATACATGCTTATACTTAGAGTTTGACGGGAATCTAAAGTGATTTTTTTCTGCATCGCGAAATCTAATGCAATCTCAAAATCATGAAGAAACTGCGAATCGGAGCGCAATTTTTTAATATGTTAATATATAAAGGTACCCCTACTACTGCAAATGCTTCAAATGAAAATCTAAGAAATCAGATTAATTTGATCACATTAGTATAGTATTGGTCAAACCAAAAACTCATATGTTGATATATAGCCTATGGATATTCATATTATCTACTTTTCATTGAATTACATAAGATTTAATAATCTCATAAATATTCTTTTTAATTTTCCGAATTCCGTGTGCATTTAGATTGCCCATACCTGTATATAATAATTCTAGAATGGTTTGGTTAGATATTAAGTTTTTTAGATTAATATTTTAACATTTTGATAAAACAAGCATTTGTTCCATTTTAGAATCGCCATTGAACTCTGGTTTGACTAACATGATGTTGTATGATCAAATAAATTCTAACTTCATGAGATAAATTTTGAAATTAGAAAATGCGATATCTGACTCAAATATTTATATGAACACATTTAACATTCAATGATAAACTAAAGTACTATACAGCAGATTCGATTTGGCTTATATTTTATATAATCAACTAATAATCCTATAAAATTGTGCTATTCACGTTGCTCAAAGATGTATTGAACATTCACTACTTGTGTATTGATAAAATTAGATATAGATTCTAATGTAAATCGATATTTTGAAAATTCATATATATTTTGTCTTGGTTTGGCATTTGATCGTGTTGAAACCGGAATTGCAATATATATCATCTAAATATATAACTATCAAAATATGAGCTATAGATTTTTAAATTATTCTCCTGAATATGAGTGACTAACATAATTATATTGAATTGAGTAGTAAGAATCTTAAATATTAGAATCTGACGATAATTTATTATAACTGTATAAAGGAACAAGACTATAAATGATGATGAAAATAAAGATTAAATTTAAATCTGAAAATTTGAAAACATTAAGTGTATTGTGCACTCTTGTCGGTCACAGTGTCTCATTCCGGGAGACATTGTCACTGCATGTCTCCCAGAATGATATCAAGTTCCCCATTCATAACTTGAATGCGAAACTTTGACCGACAAGAGTGTATTGTGCACTCTTGTCGGTCACAGTGTCTCATTCCGGGAGACATTGCCTCTGAATGTCTCCCAGAATGAGACAATCTTCTGCAATCAGAATGTGATTGCAAAACTTTGACCGACAAGAGTGTATTGTGCACTCTTGTCGGTCACAGTGTCTCATTCCGGGAGACATTGTCACTGCATGTCTCCCAGAATGATATCAAGTTCCCCATTCATAACTTGAATGCGAAACTTTGACCGACAAGAGTGTATTGTGCACTCCTGTCGGTTGAAAGTTCTGCAATCAGAAGAAGATTGTTGAACAATCCGCCATTCCAGGAGGCATGAGCTTATTATGTCTCCTGAAATGGCACATATTTGATAATTCATGGAGCAGAACTTTGCACGCAATCAGACAAAAGATTGCGACAGAGTAACTGGGAAGACAGCAACTTGAAGCGATAAGCTGCTTAGGTGCTGTCTCCCAGATGCATCTGTCGGGCAAAGTCTCAAAGGAGCAGAACTTTGCACGCAATCAGACAAAAGATTGCGACAGAGTAACTGGGAAGACAGCAACTTGAAGCGAAGTTTTGTTTTCGAGTCTTTGGTTAAGAAATCTTAAAAAAAAAACAAAGAAAAAAATCAGATAAAGTTGTCAATAACTTCATCAGTTAATGCTCACCTATGGGAGGTGTTTTGCGGGAGCTGGGGTATCTTGGTGAGTACTCAGGAGGCCAAGAAGGGCACCCCAACCGACATTATCCTGATGAATTCAGTTGTCAACCATTCTGAAAACCGCCGAAACCGTCGTGTGTAGAGAAATTGTTTAAATTTATTTTTTTCAGATTTAAATAAAAATAAGAAATGTTTACTATTATGGATTTTGAAATTTTTTAAATTAAGAGTAGGAGATGAGACAAATTTAAATTTTTAAGAAATATTTGGAAGGGCGTAAGATACGCCAACTTAAAAATATTATTAAATATGAGAAAATCGCTCAACAAAAAAACAATTCTTTCAAAAAGTTTGACATTGATCTTTCTAATACATATTTTTGGAAGGGCGTAAGATACGCCAACTTAAATATATTATTAAATATGAGAAAATCGCTCAACAAAAAAACAATTCTTTCAAAAAGTTTGACATTGATCTTTCTAATACATATTTTTGGAAGGGCGTAAGATACGCCAACTTAAATATATTATTAAATATGAGAAAATCGCTCAACAAAAAAACAATTCTTTCAAAAAGTTTGACATTGATCTTTCTAATACATATCCTATGGAAGGAGTTTACATTCTCAAAATAAAAACCAGTTCAAAATCTTATTATTCCTTGAATAAAAATCATTTAATTTCAAATCCATTCCAAATCCTTAAATCTGTATTAAAATCATTTTGCCAACAACCAACACAATACAAATTACATTTCCATATATCTTCTTGTCCATTTTAATTTTTTATCTCATTTTATTTAATTTTATTTAAAGCATATAGACATCGAGATCCTTTACACATAGTTATATAAAAGTCAAATACATAATAAATTCTTAATTCTAGAGATATCTCAAAATCTCATTTTTTTAATTTAAAATACCTTTCATTTTTCACAGTACGATCACAACAAACAAGCCATTTACTAATTAACACATATAAGAAAAATATCAAATTACAAAACAACTTTCAATATCATTCGCATCAAATTCTATTTTTTCATAATTATCAACTACATGTTATTATATAATATATGTCGGCGCATATTCCACTCTATACAAGTGTCAGACACACTCACACAAAGCTGTGAGATTCATACCTCTATCAGTAGGACTTCTCAAATCAAGAACACATATGTTTCACTATCGCACATCTGTGTAGGATCTAATTAACCCTTTGGACTGGTACTTCAAAATTTGATAATTTGATAATTTCATGTGATATCATCATTTGCCTTTAAAACAACTGTGCGTTAAACTAGACACGTTTCTCTATCATAATGCAAAATATCAAAGTTTGGGAGATTCCCAAAGTGTCTGAAACTGATCATAAGGGTGAAAAACCGTTTTCCAGAAGTTGCGAACGTAGGGTATTCAAATCTTTGGTCGCAAGAAGAATTGCATGATAAATAAAAACATTTAATCAAAGTCAATTTTATTTTTCATATTCAAATGGACTGAGTGTTAACATTTAACATTTTTTGCTAATTGTCGTCAAAAATTAGGCGTAAAGCAAAAATTGATATTTCATATGGTTTTATGATAGATAAGCATTATATTCCCACTCATTATATTCGTAAATTTTGAGGTTTATCCTTCGCTTTTAAGATCATTGAATTTGATTTTTATATAAAATAGTTATATATTAGAAAATAATATGAGTTTATGTGATATTATTTTTCAGAAGATTTTGTGTTCTTCTTCAAAATTTTATTTTTTATTAAAAAGAATCTTTACAAAATATACATTTACTTTAATTAATATTTAAAAACGTGCTCTATCAAAAGTTCCAAAAATTCAATATTTTAGCTTTTCTGAGGTGTTACTTTTGATGAATTTCTGTTTACAACAATTTTAGGTTTGTTTCAAATGTAGAGTTTATATGTTAAATTTCATGAATTAAAATGTAAGAATGTTTACAGAGTCTGAATTCTATGATTTGTCACTTTTTGTAATATTATGACCGAAGTAGATGTCATTTTAGCACTTAGAAAACGCCTTCAAGAGGCCATTGATGCTTGTGATTTTGCTACAGCCAAGAAAATAGACTTACAGATTAAGAATATTCTTGAAGTTGAGAAAAATAATAAATCTACGACAACATTAAAGGCCAAGCAGAACAATTATGATAAAGCAAAAGAGAAATGTCGATTTCAAGCTGTTGAATACTTCAAAGAAGCTTCAGAAGCTATCACTAAATGTCGTGAAAATTACCAAACAAAAATAGCAGAAATACAAAATGATTATGCGTCAAAAGTTGCTGTTGTCCAAGACGAGTTTTCAAAAGATTTCGAATTGTGCACTATACGCGCAGATCCAGTTGCAGATGCCATGAAAAAGAGTGCTCAAGTTCTAGCAAGAGAACGTCAGTTCGATACCGCATCTATTGTGTTTAATGAGTCAGAACAGAAGAGAAATCGTAATATTGGCGAAAGACAGGATACGACCGTTCAAAAATATGAAGAAATTAGGAAGAATCTTCAAAAATCACAGGAAAAGGAAGAGAAAATTGCACTTAGATACCTTCAGAGAGATCTGCACAACGTGGATAAGAAATATAAGGCAAATATTAATCAATTATTAAACGCATTAAAGGCTTGTGCATCAAAGAACGGAATTAAAGAAACTTTAGATCAATCCGATATGTTTCCAAAGCTAATTATTGAAGAAATAGAAGGAATGACATTTTCACCGCCATTAACCCCTGAATCGAAGACTTCTCCAAAAACAATCTCAATTTTATCAAAATCCTCAGTATCTGCTACTCCAACAAAACTAAGAAAACAATAATTTTTTTAGAATTTTCATTGAAAAGCTTCATTGACATCCATTTGCTTTAAAATCAGTCATTTCTTTATTATTAATGTAGGGCTGTACAAGATTTAAAAAAACATTGCCGGGTTACCGTAGAGGCCTAAAAAAATCGCGCCTCGGCGGCAAGCCGCCTCGGCATTAAGAATGCGCATCTAAATTTTTATATGTCCTTCTTTCTTTTATTTTTCCCTTCCCTTCCTTTTCTTTTTCTTTTTTTCCCTCCTCTTGCTCTCATTTACCTTTTTTTCCTTTTCTCATCATTTTTCAAAATTTAAAATTTTTATCAAAAATCTTGCCTATAAAAGCAGATTATGGAACCTTTTAATGCCTCTTAATCAATATTATACAGCATAAAGCATATTAAATGAAAGTAATTACGTATAAATTTATTTTATTATCTTATTTATTAATTCTTTAGCATGTATTGTTTAATATTAACTTTTCTGTACATTAAATATGATATCTCCAAAGTATGAATGCCTTGTAACGAAACGAAAACTTAATTTTATGTTGAATATTTGTCACAAACATTAGATTATTAAAATATATGTTGGATATCCCTTAGTATGAGACTTCATGACTCTTGTTGTCTAACGTGAGCTTTGGATTGCAAGCTTGCTACAGCACATAAGTATTCTGTGGTTAAAAAAACCACATGAGCTTTAAAAACTATAAAACCAAAAATAATTGTTATAATTTAAATGAAGAAGTAATTTAAAACGATTTTATTTATGATCAAATTGGCGCGGTTCAATTTTAACGACATTTTTTAACGCGATACGAGCGTAAGTCCATAGAATGTGTTTTGAGGGAAACTATAAAAATCCAAAATAGAGGTAAGTGCGCCATTATTACCTGCGAAGTTACATGGAATAAATCGAAGAGTAAGTACAAGATGATCTTGCATCTTTCCAAGTAAATGAAATTTATTAAAATTAAGATGATAATATTCATTTATAGTATGTGTATGATGTGTTTTCAAAATTTCTTCAAATAAAATGCAATGATAATTTTTGAATAATTTTTTTCTTGTGTATATTTCATTTTTTATTAGTGAAAATATCATTACATCAATAAGGAAAGCACAATCCAAATTCATATTAGTTAAATTAATCTACGACCAAAAGCCCGCCAAATTTGAATTAAACACGTTTTTTGATAAAAGTGTCATTTATGATTGTTGCATTTAGGGATAGTAGCCAATTTCGGTACCAATCTTGAAAATGCCTCGCCATGCCCGCAACATGGAAGAGAAGTATTGGTCTGATATTGAACTATCAATCAATGCAAACTGAATCACCTTGTCATGTTGCTCCACAGATACAGCAGTCTGAGTCCCTCGCTTGGTCATGTTGCTCCACAGATACAGCAGTCTGAGTCCCTCGCTTGGTCATGTTGCTCCACAGATACAGCAGTCTGAGTCCCTCGCTTGGTCATGTTGCTCCACAGATACAGCAGTCTGAGTCCCTCGCTTGGTCATGTTGCTCCACAGATACAGCAGTCTGAGTCCCTCGCTTGGTCATGTTGCTCCACAGATACAGCAGTCTGAGTCCCTCGCTTGGTCATGTTGCTCCACAGATACAGCAGTCTGAGTCCCTCGCTTGGTCATGTTGCTCCACAGATACAGCAGTCTGAGTCCCTCGCTTGGTCATGTTGCTCCACAGATACAGCAGTCTGAGTCCCTCGCTTGGTCATATCACACCAGATAAATAAAAGTTCAGCTTCACAATACTTACCTGCTCTATTATGTGATTTTTTCCAACTATCATATGTTAGTTGTTGTATTGAAGTTGAGTATGAAAGAATAATGTTGCAATATTTCTCACCAAATAAAAAATCATTAAAGAGTCTATGACTGAGGTAAGGATGAGTCAATGACTGAGGTAAGGATGAGTCTATGACTGAGGTAAGGATGAGTCAATGACTGAGGTAAGGATGAGTCAATGACTGAGGTAAGGATGAGTCAATGACTGAGGTAAGGATGAGTCTATGACTGAGGTAAGGATGAGTCAATGACTGAGGTAATGATGAGTCTATGACTGAGGTAATGATGAGTCAATGACTGAGGTAAGGATGAGTCAATGACTGAGGTAAGGATGAGTCTATGACTGAGGTAAGGATGAGTCAATGACTGAGGTAAGGATGAGTTGTTGTCTGAGGTAATGATGAGTCAATGACTGAGGTAAGGATCATTCCATTCCACATATATCACAACACCTACACCTTACACAACCCACAAATCATCTTCAAATTTCTTTTCAGAACTTCTTTTAAATGAGCATTTTTCAATCAACAAACATCCCTTCTTTTGCCCGCACAAAAGGTTTCAGATGTTATATTGTTCCAGAAACTCATGAAACAAAGTTCTAAATGAAAATCCACGGAATGAGCTTGTTCAATAGCATTATCAATAAAAAGAAATCTATGGTATCGCCCGCACAATACCAAAAGATTCCATTTTGTAATGAATGATTACTATGATCCAAGGATGGTTCCGTAGACTTGAAAATTTTAAATTGGAGGTTTAATTCAAATTTGGCGGGCTTTTGGTCGTAGATTAATTTAACTAATATGAATTTGGATTGTGCTTTCCTTATTGATGTAATGATATTTTCACTAATAAAAAATGAAATATACACAAGAAAAAAATTATTCAAAAATTATCATTGCATTTTATTTGAAGAAATTTTGAAAACACATCATACACATACTATAAATGAATATTATCATCTTAATTTTAATAAATTTCATTTACTTGGAAAGATGCAAGATCATCTTGTACTTACTCTTCGATTTATTCCATGTAACTTCGCAGGTAATAATGGCGCACTTACCTCTATTTTGGATTTTTATAGTTTCCCTCAAAACACATTCTATGGACTTACGCTCGTATCGCGTTAAAAAATGTCGTTAAAATTGCCCACACGCCGATCAAATTTTAAATATTTTTTTGGATCAAATCCATTTTAATAGAATTTATATACTATTCATCTATTAGTAAACACTACCGTATATTATTTTTTAAGCTATCTTATTTTTTGAACTTTTATTCAAATCTTTGGTCGCAAGAAGAATTGCATGATAAATAAAAACATTTAATCAAAGTCAATTTTATTTTTCATATTCAAATGGACTGAGTGTTAACATTTAACATTTTTTGCTAATTGTCGTCAAAAATTAGGCGTAAAGCAAAAATTGATATTTCATATGGTTTTATGATAGATAAGCATTATATTCCCACTCATTATATTCGTAAATTTTGAGGTTTATCCTTCGCTTTTAAGATCATTGAATTTGATTTTTATATAAAATAGTTATATATTAGAAAATAATATGAGTTTATATGATATTATTTTTCAGAAGATTTCATTCTATATGCCTATGAAAAGTACTCTCAAAACTAACTTTTTCCTAATTATAATTAAATCTAGAATATTGTATTATGCTTAGTATTATTTCATTTTTCTCATTCAATTTAGAATTTACAAATGTCAAAAAATTGAGAGTTGTCACTTTTGATGAATTTCTGTTTATTACAGCATTGTTATTAATAATGAAAAATAAAGCTTATTTCAATGAAAATTGTTCTGCAAATTTATTTCACTTTTGACCTCACTTTTTCCGTAATTCAATTTTTTACTTTTAATATTTTAGATCTTCATAATATCATTTGAAAAATTAACCATATAAAAAAATCAAGTTATCAATTCACTTTTTCCGTAATTCAAAAATCAAAAATATAAATAATATATCTTTTTATCAAATATTATTATTATATTCTATGAAAAATGAGGTCCGGAAATTTTGCGGATTCCCGTAACTCAATTTTACGGAAAAAGTGCAGTAAACTATTCAAAATACGGAAAAATTGGTGTAAACTAATGATTTTACGGTAAAATCACGGAAAGTCCCGGAAGAATATATGTGCCTATATGAAATTATACAAAAATGAATCAAACGCATTTTAAAAGATTGTTCTTGTATTATAAATGCTATTCGCAGATTTATTAGTTGAAGAAAATTACCAAATTTTTGCCGATTTACAAAAAATGATTTACAAAGCATATTTTTATAAGGCTTTAAAAATCTTTAAAATGTGACCGGTGACGGAAATCCATGGTAACCAACCGCGGTTCCCGTTTGGAATGACATATATTAATGTATCAATGTTAAATAAATGTTTACTCTATCAGATATTCAAAATATGAAATTTTATTTTTCTGTTTCTTTTCAAAGTATTTCTGATTTTCCATAAAACCATCTGTTTCCTTTAGAAAATGTAGCTCTTGTCTCTTTGAAATTCATTTTAATTTTAAATTCATTGGAATTATGATATTAACATCTAACAAGCATCCATTAATAGAACAATCATACAAATGGATAGAAATAACGTGTGCCTTAAGTGTTTCATGTAATGAAGAATTCAGGTGATATCATATCTGTAATTAGAGTATTAGGAAAAGATGACATTTTGTAGCCACTAAGTCATTGTATCATTTACCATATTCATATAGAGATGAAATTAGAAATTGAATCTAAATATTAAACTTAGTTAATTTGTTTCGGATATTATGTTAAAGAACTATCGTAAAAATGTTATTTCATTAAATTTTTTACTCAAAGTTTAAACAAATCTGATTACTCCGCCTGCATAAGAAACACTTGAATCCGCCATATTTTTAGCATGCGAAGATTGTGAATAATGTGGCCAATCAACGCGATATGGCTTGTCAAAGGCCATCATAGCGATTGTAATTGGATTTCTGCCACAAATTGTAGCTCTTGTTGATTTGATGTAATCCTGGAAGTTCTTAGCCTTGCATGTAGAAATAGCTTCCATAGCACCATGATCTATGGCTGAAATCTTTTCCCAGATTTCTCCATCTTTTTCTGGGAGATAAGTATAAGAAAATCTGCTTCCCCAATGAGTAAAATCAGAAGAAATGACTAAGAGTGTGCTTGGATCATTAATATATGGTTTCAATGCGGATACAGCTTGTTCCAACTTTGTTTGATCGAGATGTCCCACCATAATTGGAACGACAGTTACATTTTTACCTTTAAATATGTAATCAATCCATGGTAGCATCAATTCTAATGAATGTTCACGGTTTGAAGTTTCAATACTAAGCTTTTTGAATATTGATCCGTATTTAGATGTCAATTCCTCTGCTATTGGGTCAATTTCCAAACTTCTTGTTGGTGTCTCGAATGATTTAGCTTCTGATATTGTGCAATAATCAATTGGTAAGCGATGAGAAGGACCCATTATGATAACTCGACTGTATAAAGATGGATCTATTGTTGCGAATGCATGTGATGCTGTCTCAGCACAATGTCTATATCCTGCATGAGGAGAAATCACAGCTTTAACTTTTCCTTCAATAGGTTTATCTTTAACATTGCTGAAGAGTGTAGTAAAGAGGTTTTCCAGAGATTTACCCGTTGGATACCACGCGTCAGCAAAAGCGAGCGGTTGTAGCATCAATGGATATTGTTGTAAATTTATCGTCCAAAACTTAATTCGACGTTTTCGCGCCAACTAAATGATATTTTTATGAATTAATTGGGTTACTTAGTGTGTGTGCATGTGAGTAAGTATATCCTCGCAATATTTAATAAAAAAATTGGGAAGTTACTGGAAGATTCTTGAGGAAGATTTGAGACATTCAATTTTTCAAGCCAACCCTCACGGTTATTTCAATTTCTTTATTTATAAAAACTTCGTAATATTGTATTATTTGTCTTATATATAATATTGACAAATTGTCAAGATAGACTCAAATCTGAGCATAAAATAGGAAATGCTTGAATCTGATTTATATGTGGTTTTTGTTTAAGAATAATTACAACAAGAAATTGTGAACATCTGAACCCGAATTTAGAAATTCGAATTTTTGTATCACTTGCTTGTGCTAATAATATTTTATTTTTCAGGACAAATAAAAATTGAAAACTCTACACTTTTATTCATGAATCGAGACGAATTTAAAATTATATTATTAGGGGACACACATGTAGACAAGACATCTATTGCAATCAGACAGTCAGAAAACTTTTTTTCGCATAGCTCAAAGCCAACAATTGGTGCAAATCAATTAATTTCCAAAGTCAAAGTAAATAATAGAGAGATCGAGCTCGTGTTATGGGACACTGCTGGACAAGAAGAATTTAATGCGCTCATACCAATGTATTTAAGAAATTCTAGCTGTGCAATAATAGTTTGCGCGGCCAATAACCAACAAACAATATATAATATTCCAAAATGGTATACAATGCTTGAAGAAATGACTGTAACTCCTCCGTGCATAGTTGCAATAAATAAAGTTGATCTATTAGCAGATCAAGTTCAAGATGTCGAGAATATCCGACAAAAACTTGAAAATAGATACAAAAACATTATATTTGTATCAGCTCTTACCGGTTATAATATTGGTCTCTTATTTGATACTGTTGCTCAGAATTGTTTAATGGAAAAGGTGCCAGATACTAGCGAATTTGCTGTTATGCAATCACAAAAGAGGAATTCATGCTGTTAACAATATTTTATTACATTTTTCAATAATTAATTTATCTTTTAATATTGATTGGTGCATATAATGTTTTATCATTTAGTGATTGTAATTCGTCCTACATTGTCATTGTTTTTGTTCAAAATTATTTGGATTTCATATCTTGCCCATTGGTCTGTGTAAGCTATTGATGTTTCCTTGCATGTAGTTATAATATGCAATATATGTTTGAAATAGAGTAAAATGTATTTTTATCTAAAAAATTTCATTCTCATTTTTCCGTTTTTGAGGTTAATGAATATCAAATCTGTTAAATATGAATTTGCTGATTCTAACTTAAGACTTTTTATGAAGAAAAAAAGTAGTCGTTGTTTGAAATATTGGTCATGAAAAATTCTGACAAAAGCTGAATTTTTATTTCTTACCATGAATGATACAATAACCTTTACTCCAGAGATAAAAGATTTAGCTCCATTTAGTACTATTCCTTGGAATGAAGGTGAAATCAAAAAGGTAGAGTTTTTCAATGAAAAATTTGTATCCGTCCAAGTAATATCAATAGACAATCCGAAATTGGAAGAAACATTGAATGGTATTATCGATGGGAAAGACATTTCAGTTGATTTCGAATGGAAACCTGATGTTCCTGGCGAAGATCATCCATTTGCTTTGTTCCAGTTCTGTACTTCGAAAGGTGCAGTCATTGTAATGAATAACACAGACCAAAAGAATGACATAATTGAGAAATTCTTTACAGAAAATCAATTTTTTGGAAAAGGAATGCATTCAGACAACAAAAAACTCATGAAAATGTTCGATACTACATTTGGAATTCAGGATGTTCAAATGACATACCTAGAACCATACCAAATATCTATAAATTTCCAATTAATGGTTGAAGAATTAATTGGATCGCCAAAAGCTCTATTTAAAGATAAAAATATATCGAGATCAGATTGGACAGTTCGTCCATTAACAATTAAGCAGTGTCTTTATGCTGTTTTTGACGTTTACGCCTTATATTTATGTTATTCAAAATTACTTGAAATTTATCATAAACCAGGAGTCATTATCAAAGCTCCAGAGATGAAGACAGTCAAAGGGAAAGTCCAAAAAGAGAAATGCGTCATCGAAACTCCAGTTAAAAACATTCATGTTCGATTTGACACAGATGTTCCGTATAGAGGTCCAGAAATATTCAAGGAAATCATGGATTACAAAAATGTTTGCAAATTACAAGACGAATATGGTCCGAAATTTACATTAATAAATCATTTGACAGCAACAGGCCATTTGAAGGGCCATTACTGTGTTGATTGCCAGCAGAGCTATGACGACATTCTTAAGCACTGCTGGGTCAATCATTGCGGCTGTATTTCGCACATTTACTTTCCAATTCAAACTCCTGGCTTTTTGTACAAAATTGCACAGGAAATTGAACTCAGTAATAGAAAGATTAAGGTAAATGACGACGGGACTGCAACTTGCGGTATCTGTGGAAAGGTTTGTCAAAGAATTCATATGGCATATTCGCATATTCGTCTGGATCACCTTCCTTTGTCGAAAGACATCGTTCCTTCGTTCGTAAAAGACCTCTCTTTCGGTCGAAGATTGATAGAAAGAAGAGTTTTGCTGGATCCTCCGAGATGTAACTTTTGTGACATGAATTTCGATACTGTTGAAGAGTTAAAGGAGCATCATTGGTTGGAACATGGTCAAATAATTGCTCAGATGTGGAAACATCGACCAGGATGCTATGATGATGATACTTTTCTAAATTCTTTCGATTTAGGAGTCAAAGCCGTCAATGAAACAATATACGGAATAATGATTGAAGGAATCTTATGCTGCTGGGACTGTAGAATCGGTTTTGATTCACCAGAAGAGCTCTTTGTCCATCTTTTCCATCGTCACGCCTTTCTTTGCGTTCTCAATAAAAGTGACATCAATCAAAATTATCCTTTCTTGCTTCCAAAGCTTCCTAGCGAGTTTTTGTCAACACTTGAGAGATTCTGCGGAGATAATGCTAGGGTAGAATGCATTGTAGCAAGAATTTTCTCAGAAAAAGAAGATTATTTACATTGCGACGAATGCAATGTTGATATGAAGACAAAAGATGAGGTCTGGGAACACATGAGAGACAACCATTTGATCCTCACGTTCAAACGTGGAAAACCTGTTGTTATTGAAGATTAAATATTATTTTACTATGGAATAAACCTTTTGTTAGCAAACTAAATATTTTTAATGCTTAAGTACATTAAAAATAATTGAAGTATAAAGAATTTAATAAAAATATTTTAAAATAATTGTTTAGATTAACATGGTGATCATCAATACAAAAAACATCAATGTGTTAATTAATAATGAAACATACAATTTAAAAATAACAAAAAAATAAAATATATCATGTTAAAAATAAAGAAAAACGGCATAAAAGCATTACATATATGATATCTTTCGAGTTGTATCATGTAGTAATATGATTACAAGGTTCACATTCGTTTCTATATAAAAATAAATAATAAAATTTGAATTTTTTGGAGCAAATCTGAGATTAAAGGTTCAATTCATCGAAAGTCATATCAATTGGTTCTTTCGCTTGTTCTTGAATATAATCAGGAATTGCTAATATCCACACAATTACTAAAAGAGATATATTAAGAACATCAAAGACACAAAACTTAATGAAACACTTAAGAATTTGAATGCCAGTATTACTGTGATAAGCTAAAATGTAGTTATAGTATTTTGAAATATAAACATTGTAACCAACGATATTAATGAAAAGAGTAAGTGCATAGATGAAAATAGCGTATTTGAGAATGTTTGTAAGAGTTTTTGGAAAGAACAATGCACTAAATTTCGATAAAACGAAAGCAATTGATAAAACGATAATAGTTAAAGCGTGAACAACATAATGAAGTGTATCTACAATGGGCATTAATCCTGCATAGATCTTATTAAGCACTGGAACATCTTTTTGAATCAAAATAATTATTAACTTGAAAACAAGTGTCAATATCGAAAAGTATTTGAGACATATGGCTGGATAATACAGTGATTTTTGGAATTTAGAATCAATGAAGTAGATAACAGTTGCAATTTCAAGAAAATAAAGACATTGTGAGATAAAAACAAGATGAAATGATAGTATATACAAGTTGTATGCGAATGACTTTTTGGAAAAACCAGAATTAAGGATGAGTTAATAAAATGTATAAATTGCTGCTCGAACCATTGTGACAAAGCAAAATGCTGCTTCTGTGAGACTATGCCTGCGTTTTATGTTCATAGTTCTTCGATAAATTTTGAAACCGAGGTAAGAAAAAGGTATAAGATAAATCAATTCAAAAACAATATTAATAAATGATTCTGTATTGCCACATTCTAAGAGGATAGTTGTTGTCTTGCATGGATCATGTGATGAAGCAAGTAAATTTATTATCGAGCTCGTACCCATTATTATTTTTGTAAATTTGAATTCAAAAATTTTGTATGGATAAAAATTATCAAAATTTATTTAAAATATAATATCATTTATAATTAACAAAATTGGTTAAATATGTTGTATACAAATTTCCCGATTTTGAATTAAAAATTATCGTTGAAGTAATGAAAAAATTGGTAAGGTTCTCTACGACATCGAAAGTCTGAGAAAGTAAAAATAATAATTCCTATGACGAGATAAGTGATAATTATTCATTTTCAGAATAAAGGTACATTCACTAGGCGATAACAGTAAAATGGGATGAAAATAGGATAAATAGCATCCCTATATAGTGCCTAACAATATTTATACGGGCCTAAAAAATTGGCTAGAGATTTGGCGAGTTATAAAACTTAGAAAATTGAGAGGGATTTTTATTTTTGAATTTTTTTTGGAAAGTTAAAATTGCGATTAAAAATCGATTTCCAGGAGAACTAAGCATCTCATCATATATTTAAATCGATAAAAATATTAAATAATAGTTGAATAGTATAACAACGTGAAATTATGGCTGAATCTACAGAAAAAATGAACATATTTGACATTTTTGAAAATTCATACGTTAGATGGTGACAGACTCATAAACTATACTTTAGCTAAGATTGATATATGGTTTCAACAACACATGGTTAAAATCGTAAAAATATTTTAGATTTCAAAAAGATATATATGGTAATATAATGGAACAAAGTCAACAAATAGCATGTTAAATATGTTATAATTAACTTTTTATTAGATCCAATAGTAGATATCGAATGGTTTCCAGCTTTATGGTTAAATATTTTCTTTTCGAGCTTCTCTTTAACTGCTGGATTAAGGTTGTAAATTTTTGATGCTAGAAACTATGGAATCTTCTTTGCTGCTGCATTTTTCTTGAGAGTTCTTGCAATTTCGAATAGATCTGCGCATTGTATGAAATGGAGGCTTTAAAATATCTTGAAAACAGAATAGGACTGCTTTTCCAAAGGAATGCTTACTTGTAAATCAGAGAGTTTCAAAATTGAGAGCAAGATTATCATCATAACTTTCGATTTTGCTGCGAAAAAGGAAGACAAGTAATTAACAAATCATTTACTGTTGTTCATCAAAAGAAGAAAACTTTGATAACAACTAATGATGATAAAATCAAGCTATCTTTTAATATTTTAAATTGATAAGACATTCAAAATATTTGAATGGTTTAAAATATTTTCTTTTAATTTCTATAAGATATTATCATGATTATATAATAAAATTTAAATTTTTATTCAAAAAGGCAATATTTCAAACTTTTAATTTCAAAAATCTTAATTCTGCAATAAGTGTATTTAATTGTAGCAAATTTAATGATCCTTCGTCATGCTTAGCAATTTGGGACTCATAAATTAATGATTTCTTCAAGTAAAATTCTGCATTATTTCAAAAGTCAATAATTCTCTAGTAACTTTTCTTCAAACCCTAACCATTATATTATATGTATAATGGAGAATAATTGCAAAGAAAGATAGCCGAATTTACTGGGTAGTTCTTGTGATGCGAAATAATTGCAAATTAACACCTAGTTTTAACAGCATCAATCTCTTTTTGCTCTCATTTAAATGCATTCGCACACTTTAATTTTGAAATATAAGAGTTTTGGAAATTATCAAATTTATCTGCTCAAATACTATAGATCTTCATAAGTGTTAATAGAATCATTAGCCTTACATATAGTGTTTAATATAATGATGCACATTATACTGGGATTCATTCCTTATTCATCTAGTTATTATAAGATTTACAACCCCATGAAAATTTAAAATTTTGTCAAAAATAGTGAATGTACCTTTTTCAGAATGAAAATATGTGAGGCCACAGATCTGAAAATAAATGTTGGCATATATACATTAAATCAATGTACAATATTCTGTAATGCAATGATACGATTCTTACACCCTTAAAATTGGAAGATTGCCAAAAAAATTAAATCAAAAATAATATAAAGGAAATCAAGGCCGGTGAATCTATGTTTTCTTGAATAATTCGTGTATGATGACATGTTCAGATTCCTATTTGAATAAAAACTCAAAAATTAAATGAAATTGAAATTTGGAGAGGAATCTAAATCTTCTGAAGCAAATCCCTTCAAGGAAAATACGTAATTAATGTGTTTGGGCATTTACGGTCGTCTTTAGAAATTGGCCTTTGCAAATTTTTATAGAGACCAAATTTTCCCTCTTTCAAAAATGAACTGCAATTCAAAATAATTCTGCCTATGAAAACATTATTATATTAATGGATATTAGAAATACATCATTAAAATTCCAACGGATTTTTGGTGGATTATATAATCAAATTTGGAATATTTACTCCTTTATGTTAGAAGAATATATTTTCAGTGATTTTGGGTCTTGCCATAGAAAACTATTTCACAAATTTTGATTTTTGTGAGGAAGTTAACTTCCCTCTCAATTTTGTGTGGGGAAGTTGATATGTTGATTTCACTGGCAATAACTTCATTTTTTGCAAATGATGTATCAAGCACACGAGCAAAAGTCCTTCCTCGGCTGGATGCGCGAGACAGGCAACATGTTCACAGGCGATGAGTACCACCAGCGCTTCGGCATCTGGTTATCCAACAAGCGCCTCGTTCAGCAGCACAACGCCGCCAACGGTGGCTTCGTTCTTGCCATGAACAAGCTTGCTCACCTTTCCCCATCCGAGTACAAGGCACTCCTCGGTTTCAAGAATGAAAAGAGATCTGACAGAGTTAAGCCAATCGCTTCCAACTACGTCGCTCCAGCTTCCATCGACTGGCGTGAAAAGGGTGTTGTCAACCCAATCAAGGACCAGGGCCAGTGCGGCTCTTGCTGGACATTCTCCACAATCCAGGCTATGGAATCCCAGTGGGCTGTTAAGCACACCAAGCTTTACTCCCTCTCCGAACAGAACCTTGTCGACTGCGTTACAACATGCTATGGCTGCAATGGTGGTCTCATGGAATTAGCTTACGACTACGTCAAGACATACCAGAAGGGCAAGTTCATGACAGAAGCTGACTACCCATACAAGGCTATCGATCAATCCTGCAAGTTCAACGCTGCTAAGGTTGCTGAACCAACAGTTACAGGCTACATCACAGTTACAGAAGGCGATGAGAAGGATCTTATGAACAAGGTTGCTCAGTACGGTCCAGCTGCTATCGCTATCGATGCTTCCCACTACTCATTCCAGCTTTACTCCTCCGGCATTTATGATGAATCCTCCTGCTCCCCAGAAGGCCTCGATCACGCTGTCGGCTGCGTCGGCTACGGTTCTGAGGGCTCAAAGAACTACTGGATCGTTCGTAACTCCTGGGGCGTTTCTTGGGGTGAGAAGGGCTACATCCGCATGATCAAGGACAAGAACAACCAGTGCGGTGAAGCCTCTGCTGCTTGCATCCCAACAGTTTCAGCCTAAACCTAAAAATATTACTGTTCAAAAAACAATTTTTTTTAATATTCATCTAAATACCAATCTCTAATGATGATATTTAGAATTTGAACTTGTAGAAACTGTCTGATTTGATAGCAAAATTGGAAATGTAAATTAAAAAAGATAAAGTATATAATAATATGAAGTACTTAAGAGTAGGTATGATGGTGGAATGAAAACTAAATTGATGATTTAAAAGGTCTTCAAGATTTGCAGCAATAAGAATGCAGTGAAGTAAGATATGGTTTATGGAATTTCATTAATTGAACATAAGATCCCAAAACTGACTTTTTGAAAAATTATACATATTACTCGTGGAATCAATGACAATCATGTATTCCAATATATTTGTCTGCTAAAAAAAGGATTATTGGAATAATGATTGAAGTTGGTAATCAAACCAAAAAAAGGAATACATTGTTTAAATAATAAACGTATATGAAAAATAAGCATTATTAATCATAACATAAATATTAATTGAATATGAGTGAAATTTCATTTTCTGTACAGCATTTTTTGATATGATTTATTGAAATTGAAGAAAACTCTATTTTTCAGCGAAAAAATATAAGTGTATATTTTATTTAATAGATTTGTGCTTTTAATAATTTCCAAAAAAATTCAAAACTCTGATTTTGAAGCAAATATCAATAATTTTTGAAATAATTTTTATTATTTTGAATTTTTTTTGGAAATGAAAATGAAAATTAGTGTACAGTTTTATTTTTTTCTCGCTGTGAAACGTATTCGGTCATTTTTTTAAAAATTAATTTTTTGTTAGAGATAAGAGCTAAAACTCGGTAAACAACTTCTTTATGTCTAGAAAATTCTATCTTGCCTTTTATTTTTTTCTCGCTGTGAAACGTATTCGGTCATTTTTTTAAAAATTAATTTTTTGTTAGAGATAAGAGCTAAAACTCGGTAAACAACTTCTTTATGTCTAGAAAATTCTATCTTGCCTTTTATTTTTTTCTCGCTGTGAAACGTATTCGGTCATTTTTTTAAAAATTAATTTTTTGTTAGAGATAAGAGCTAAAACTCGGTAAACAACTTCTTTATGTCTAGAAAATTCTATCTTGCCTTTTATTTTTTTCTCGCTGTGAAACGTATTCGGTCATTTTTTTAAAAATTAATTTTTTGTTAGAGATAAGAGCTAAAACTCGGTAAACAACTTCTTTATGTCTAGAAAATTCTATCTTGCCTTTTATTTTTTTCTCGCTGTGAAACGTATTCGGTCATTTTTTTAAAAATTAATTTTTTTGTTAGATAAGAGCTAAAACTCGGTAAACAACTTCTTTATGTCTAGAAAATTTAACATTCGTCTCCCATTTTTATATATTTGGTTTAGAATGTTCGAAAATGCGTAATATGGTCATGAATATTAATTGAAAAGAACCTTGAATTAATTCAATCTGATATCACAAAATATTTTAAATTACAAACTTTGGAGTTTGAATACATAATTAGTATTAAACTCAAATAACTAGTTTATTTTTGAATAAAAATTATTTGAATTTATTCAATTTTGTGAATTTTCCTTCAAAAATCAAGTTTAAATATCTTATTTGCCATATAATTATAAATACAATGAAACATATTCGAAATTGAAAAGAATGACTTTTTCTGTTCTTTCAATCATTCAATTTGAATTTTGCAAAAGTGGATTTCTCATTGAATAGCTATTAAAAACAACAAGCAATTTAACTTACTTTCAAATTTATTTGTGTTATATTCAATCTTCTCAAAACTTATAATTTTCGGCTATAGCATGATTATATGCTATATAATATAATAAACCTATAATAGTATCATTCTTTCAATTATTTGAAGAGAAAACCGAAAAAATATATTTTCGGTCTATAACAGTAAATTTTGAAATTGTAATTTTCCAAGTTTTCTCAAAAAAAATCAAAGTTTGCTTATAGTATTTGCTCTTTTGTCAATAAAAAATAAAGAATTGAAGAATATTCTCATCGTTTTTAACCAATTTGGTCAGAAATTTAATAAATTTTGTAAAATGATAATGAATACGTTAAACAATATGATTAATTTTAATCAAAAATTATCAGAGGATTATTTTGAGAGAGTTTACTTTTGATAGAATAACGATTAAAATTTGATAATAATTATTGAATTCAATTATACTTATTTTTTCTTTTAAAATATTATCATAAATATAAACAGAATAAAATCAAAATAATATTATCAGAAAATAATGGCCATAATTGCATTGAATTTTTGAAATATTATTCAAAAATTCATTTTATCGTTAACTCTATTGGATCAAGCGAAAATTATATTTCATGCAAATTCGAGGTAATCATTGATTTACTGGTCAGAATACGAGAGTAACTACCAGATTTGTTAGTCATTTTTCATTTTTTTATGATTATTTGAAATTTTGGCTAAAAAAGAAGATCTTATCCAAATTATCAATTCACATACTCAAATATATGCAATTAGCATAATATTTGCAAATAATTTCACTTTTTAGGATTTTTATATGTTTTTTTTACAAAATTTACAATACTCATTAATATCTAGAGAAAGGCAGTACAAAATGATCAATTATAGCATTAATTCATATAAAATTTTATATCCTGATATGTTTAAGAAAATGATTTGAAAAATATTTTCCAAAAAAATTTCATTCAAAGTTACTAATAATTCATAAAAACGATTGCATCACAGGAAGTCATTAACGTTAAATTATTCCCATCAAGCCTTTCATTGAAATTTCATTTTCAGAGATTCAAAGAATCATTGAATCATTCAAATATGATTGAGGAATATCAAATAATTATCGGTATTGGAATTATATCATTGATTTTTGCTTGATTTATGAAAAATAATAATTTTTCACGTAGCAATTTGTTTAATTTTAAATAAACATATTTAAAATGCTTTGCAAGTTACTATTATTTGAGAAGGATGTAAACTGCCAATCTATCTATTTTCTTACGATTCACAATTTTTTTTTGGATGAAAAATATTAAATGAAAGTTGACAATAAATAATAAACTTTCAATTCGACCGAATTTGAGTCGATAGCTAAAAAGCTCCACAATTAAATGTGTCAAATCGAAATTGAAAACAACGATATAACAATTCTAATCTATAAAAATAACCATATTATTTTTATTCACTAATGTGAGTAATATATCCATGAAAATGAATATTTTTTGAATACACGAGACTATTTAAATTGAATAATAATTACAAAACAATATTGTGATAAATTTTGAGAGATCTTCTCAATCTATTTAGAATTTCTCAATGATTGCATCTACCAGCATGGTAACTAAAAACAAATTTACCCTGGATGATGATGATCTTCTAAGGTCCCTCGTTGACGAACATGGTAAAGACTGGAATTTAGTTGCTGAACACATGAAAACAAAAAATGCTAGACAATGTAAAGACAGATATGAGAAGTATTTAGCTCCACATTTGAATCTCAGCCCATTCACTATAGAAGAAGACATACAACTTTTAACGTTATACAAAAAATTTGGCTGCCGATGGATCAAAATATCAGAATTAATGCCAGGACGCTCGGATGTTGCTATCAAAGCAAGGTTTAGATTATTGAAACGTCATGGAAAGACAATACAAAACTTAAAGAAGGAGAAAAATCAGTCACTCAAAAATAAAGAACCAAAATGTGAGCCCGGAAATACATTCTATGAACAATTAGAAAATATTTTTGGAACATGCGATGATGATTTTGTTGGTTTATTATGTTGATTTGTTCGATTTTATGAGGAAATGTTCGAAATTCCTCTCAATTTTTTGTTTAATAAAAACTTATGATTCATATCTTAACATGCATTATTAAGCTATTTTTACTGTATTATCTTTCTCCACATATCTGTTTCTCGCCGGACATTTTCAAAGGTTGAAATTTTCAAGAGGTAGGGCAACGATAGAAAATTTTTGGAAAAAAAGTTCGGAGATCTTAAACGTATCATATTCCCTGCATGGTTTGGTATCTTCCGCCATGCGTTGTGTCAAACATATTGACACTTTCCAATAATTAATTTATGGTATGAGTCACAGAGTTAGATTATAAAAAGAAAGTAAATAATTGCAATTAGAAATCATATATGTCGGAAATCAAATGTTGATGAGCAGAAACCTTTTACTCATCATAAAAGAGATAAATCACTAAAGATTTGTATACATTAAAATTTGATATTTGGTGCTCGAAAACTGTCTGATGGGACTCCTCCAAAATGAACCAATCTATCGCTGAGGACCAAATTAGATGATGTGGATGGTGTATTCTCTAATTCTAACTTAGGAAGAATGGGAACAAAACGAATGACGACAACAACATGTCAAACATAGATTAAATATCTATGAATCAATAAAGTATACGTGCATTGAAGGTGATAACGATCACTTGAGGCTTATAACTCTTTGACTAAATTATGCAATAATTAAATATAATCATTTTGATATTTTTATACTGATAGTAATTAATATACTATCCTGCTTAATAAATGGTATGATCAAATTTTTTGAAAATTTAATTATGTATATGAAACTATGTCTTCTATATAAAAATCAAAATTTTCGGACGAACCTAGATTGAAGCTTTATGAAAATCTATCATTTTTGTTAATTGAGTTAATATGAATCTTTTACATATGTATATATGCATTGATAGCTTATATAATCATGGTTTATTCCATATTAACATATTTTTTCAGTTAAATTTGTTAATAAATATCATGTAACAAATTAATTCAAGATTAGAATGTCTACAAAATGCTAACAAATAAGAACAAAATACGATTTCTCGACTTAAATTTTAATATGGAGTAGTTTTTCGTTTAAATCTAATTAAAAATGAATAAAAACTTATCTTGTACTATTTTCATTCAAAGATTTTAATAATGTAAATCATGCATTTTCATAATTCAGTACAGTTCTTTTTAGAATTAAAGTTGATGAGGATGATATTTGTGATTTAAAATAATTTGTTAATGTTCACCTTTTATTCATCACCTTGTGGTATGCCCTAAAGCAATAGCATTATCAATTCTGCTGAATTGATCAACTCAAAATTCCAAAAAAAATTCAAAATTTCAAAAATGAAATTAAACAATTTGAATTTTCACATGAAAAAATCAATTTCGAAAAAAATTTGGAAAATCAAAGTATTTGATAATTAGTCAAATAATCAATTTACATCGTTTTTACTCATAAAAAACAACTAATTTTTGATTTTGATATCATATTTGATAAATACTCATTCCAGAGTTGACGTAATGTATTAATTATTGTTAGAGATATTGCTTTCGCAGCAAAATTCTTATTTCATGAAAGAAAAAAAAAATGATTTTATTCCAACAAAAACAAGTAAACAGATGAATGGAAACGTACTATATTTTCATAAATGTAGTAATCAGCGTGTCAGCTTTTGTTTATCATGTTCGAGTCAAAATGTATTAACTTGTAATAAGAAATATTCGAAGATTATATGAAGTATTGAGCATTCTTTGTAGAAATATTTGTAATTCATTACTAACATATATAATAAAGTTGTTTTTTTTTCCTTATTGCAATAATTTTGTCTGATTTTAATAACTTTTCATGTATACGAGTTGTGTGAATATGCATCATAATATGCGTAAATATACTTATTTGCGACGAATAATGTGGTTGCATAATGGAGGTGCTAAATTTTGATTTTTAATATGGGGCTTTGGTATGTATAATCATGTTCTTATCTCAACGTAGGAGTATTGGTGCAATATGATTAAAATTTACGAGGTTGATCTTAAATTGAATAATTCTGGAGTATAAATCACAATGCAGCTAATTCTATGTTAAAGATAGATACAGATTGTAGTAATCAATTAGGGAGTACAAATTCATTCTTTCATTTCTGTCGTATTGAGCAGAAAGGAAGAGATCATAACCCTAGGAAAAAAAGCCCAAATTTGTCACTTTTCATAGTACGTTAAACTCAATTCGCTCGGCGAATGCCGAGCACACGTACTCATCATTCAACATAATATTCTCATTCTTTGGTTATTATAGTGCCAGACAACACAAGATTTCAAAGAATTACTTGAGTTTTCAATTAATCTTAATCCGATTTTAGATTTATCGAGAACTCCATCATCACAATCACATACTTCAGTGCGGTAACTACAATTATCCATATACAGAAGGAAGTTCTTTTCGAACAACTCATTTGGAGTCTGTTTTGGAAAGAACTTCTTTCTGTCCGACTTAATTTCATAGTTCCTGATCAACCAAAAGACAGAAACCACACACTATCTACTTAGGAAAGGAGTTCTTTCTAAATCTTCCTTAAATTGAGATTTTACGAGAGATAACCCTTCTATTGCACTTAAAAATGAACATTTTGATATCTTTAGTATCACACATGGTCATATATAGTATTTCATCTACATGAATACATTCATCTTTCGAAGTCTCTCATTAAATGGGAGGCTTCGAAAGATGAATCGTTTTATTCATACAACTTTAAATCTCGAACACATTTAGAGAGTGAGTATATCATTTTATTCTTGTTTTGAGTTTATTCTGATTCAAAATTGCAGTGAAAACAGAAGTTCACACATCATATCTGAATGTGAGCTCATCTATACTTATACGATCTCAATACCTCCACTCTAAGCATAAGAGGTGAAGTTATATAAAAATTATCAGATGCGTTGAAGTCTCAAAAGTATTGCCTGAATGCTTGTTTCATATTTGTCCAAGTAGTTTCAATGAATAAATGTATTGTTTTTTATAATTTCGATTTATTTTTAGAAAATATTCAATATAAACCTTTATTGTGTTATTTACATCTCATAAATTCTCTGTCTAAATCATATAAAAGCGCGTTTTACCCCTATGAATCAAGAAATTCATTCAATATTCATGGTATATTTATTAAATTTATACGATTTACTAATAATCAATATTATATCCTCATAAATAGCAATATATTTTGGTAATCTATGATAATCATATACAATATTTGAAATCAAATTTTCATTAGTTTAGGTTCCTTGTTAATAGTAAACCATTATATTTATTACTAATAATAAAATCTATATGTCGTATTGAAATTCAATAAAATTACTTATTCGGTCCAAAAAAACAAATTAGATAAAATTTTTCTTTTTTTATGTAATTTTTGTTTTTCATTTTTCTCAAGATCCTAAGTTATGTTCTAACTTTTGACATCATATCCTATCATGCTAGGCTATATATTATAGCATATCCAAAAGGCAAGGAAATCTATCAGAGAAGCCTTTTTGACCTATCGTTGCCCTACCTCTAATTTTCAGGGAAATAACTATTAAGATTCTTAATAAATTCATTGACAATGGTGAGATGGTATATAATTCGCAATGAATGCATTAGACAAGCTTTTATCTAGTCAATTTTTGAGGAAATTTGAAGGCACTGAAAAGTGACAATAACTTAATATTGTACATCACCAATTTTATTCAATCTATCAACTATATCTCAGAAAATAATAAGATTGGGTCAAATAATCAACAAGAATTACCTTGAATCCCTCCCTCCATTGAATCTAATGAACGATACTTTACAAATTTCACGGACAAGCAAATTTAATACATGTTGATATTTGTGTTGATTTTAGTCATTTGTAAAATATTCAAAATATGTTTCACACTTTTTCTGAGAAGCTGCAAGCCGATAAAAAGTGTGAATACATATTTTAATAGTTCTGATACTTTTTTCAGGCTTATTTTATAAGCCCGTAAAAAGTGTCAAAACTATTTTGGTATGTCACTTTTCCATTACAATCAATGGAAAAAGGTTTGATTTTCTTCCTGGCTTATGTAGTTTTCCTCTACCTCATTGCAATGGTAGCAATGCATTTGTATTCTAAATATAGACCCACCTCAAATTCATTAGTTGTTTCAGATTGAAATCCAGATCTCAAGGTTTATAGAACTCTGTTTCAAGTTTATTCTGTCTTGTTGTTACCTTGCTTTTTTAACCAAGAGTAACTACTTAACTAATGCTTTTAATTCAACTTTTTGCTTTAATTATCTGCCATCGATTTTCCTGTCGAGAACTAAATTACTCCAAGTCAGTTATTACTTTTATTTACGATTTTCTTCAAATAAATAACTTTATTTAATTTTATGTCAGAAATTACTAAATTATTGACAATACTACAAAGGACACTATTGTCCAATAAAATCAGATGAATTCCGACCATATTTATCAGTATAATAAACAATATTTATTATAAAGAAAAAAAAACTTTTTTGCAGTTAAATTCAAACATTTTATTAATCTTGTGAGGATAGAAAAGATATTCTGATTAGTAATCTATCTATGGTAGATTAGAATTACTTGTTTCCTAATAAAATCAGAGTTGGAAACTGATATTCTTCATTCGAGAGTTTTGGTCTATTAGTCTTGATTCAAAAAGACGTATGTAATTGCAATTATCCTTAACCCCATTATTGCTTTCTTCGGAGAGGAGATCTTGTACTTTAAAGATGTTTGATTTCGACTTGTGGATGTAGTCACGGCAGTCTTTCAAGAAGAGGCATTCGAATTCCATGCTGGAGGTTGACTTCTTCATATTCATTGAATAAAAATGAACGAAATTTTATTTGCCACAGAAATTTTTTTCTGAAAATTTTTTGTTCGTTACTTTCTCCCGACCGAAATTTTTGAGAGGAGAAAAACGGTTTTAATTTTTTATATCAAGAAAATATATCTATATGCGATTCAATTATCCGAAATACAAACTTTTTATTGCCATAAAGGTTAATTAGCCGGAATTCAAATAAAAAACATCGGAAATGATATCGTAAAAGTGTTAATGTATTACTTATTTACAATGACTTATTTAGGCAAATTTTGCCCAAATACTCTTTATTATCCAACTTTTTTTTCCCAAAAAATCACAATTGATCAAACTTAAATCTTTTAGCTCCCAGTATAGAAATGAGTTTGTTCGTGTCTCAGTAAACATAGACTAATCTTGTTTTCTTAAACTTTTTCACTTTTCATCCTTGAATTGTTCCTCAAGTTTGCTCAAGCTGAGATAATGCTATAACCATAATACTTCATCAGTTTTTGAAAAAATTTTAATGAGAAAGTAATATGAATCGAACATTGAAATATAATTTTTTTTTAATGCAATAAAAGATATGAACAATTTTTCAAAATCTTCTTATTAACTTAACAATCTGAACAATTTCTTTCTTAATGCTATCTTATCCCAGATTTCAGAGAAATTTGCAATAAAAAGAATACACAACTAACTAATACTGTATTAAATAAAATGTATGGCAACTACATTATATGTACGATCATTTACAATTGCATTTTAGAATTTTTTTTAAAAAATATGATATAAAATTATATTTGAGTCTCTTGACATTAAATATCATAAATTTCAATTCTCTACATTATTAATAAAAAAAAATTAAAATAATATTTTATTAATCAATTACAACTATCTTTTGTTCAGAGTTTTCTATTGAGTTAAAATCCAAATCCTCGTAAATACTCTTTGCGCAAGAAATTATTTCATCCTTTCTTGAAGGGATGTATCTCACCATCATTTTAACAATTTGGACTTTCTTTGAATCGCTTTCAACATTATCCAAAGCAGATAGAATCACAATTGTCAAATCATTGACATCTGTTTGAGACAAAACCAAAGAAATCAGATGATGTTGGCCTTCCCAATAAAATGAATGAGGAATCACTGCAGAAAGGAATGTCGGACCCCATCCGCAATGATTTTCGTATCCATCTGTTTCTACAATCTTAACAACAGCTTTTCCGATGTCTACGTGTTCAGAACAAGTCAATTCTGATGCAGTTTCAAGGGAATTCTCCATGATCATTCCTCCTATTTCTTGTCTGTCTTCCATTGTCAAAGAGAAACAAGAAATAAAAGCAAGAGGAATTAATACTCTCATCTGCTCCTTAGATGTTGTTTGGGAACATAATTCCCTAAGATTACCGAGTATCTGTTTGTTTATTTCAGAACATTCGCAGAGATTTACAATCATTTGTGAAAATTCTGGAATGTAAACTGTTTTAATTGTTTCTTTGTATTTATTGAAAACCTGAAGAACTTGATAAACCATCTCATAATCAAGTCCAAGGAATTTCTCAAGAGATTCTTTTTCTTTATTTTCATTTGTCAAATTTTCTGTCACTTTTTGGGTTGATATGTGTGTCACTTTCCCCAAATCAATATTTGTCACTTTTTGGATTGGTAAATCATCTACCACTTTTTCACTTACTGTCACTTTTTTAATTTCTTTATCTTTATGCAATAATTTTTCTGCCATTTTTCGGAATGACGGTTTTGCCGAAAATTTAGTATTTTCAGAAAATGTATCATTCTTACCATATAGTAATTCATCGATTCCTTCATCATCAGAAGAAAGTTCGAATTCGGCCTTTTGTTTTGGCAAAGTTCTCTTTATTACGTGTTCATTGAAGTCACTCATTTTCAGGATTAATTGGGATGGATCTCCTTGGTCGATTTGTTTCATTAGATCCATTGTATAATTTCTCATGGATGTGGATACATCATTTGCGTCAATAGCTTCAGAAAGCTTAGTAAATCTTGATCCACGCTCTGACACTTTTTCATATTTTCTGAAAATTTCTGTGGAAATTATTTCTTTGAAATCATTATTCTTCACTGCCAAGAAAGTCAATGCAGAAAGAGATTGGAATCCAACAGAGAATGCAGTACTAAATGCTTCCTGGATGTAAGGAAGTTTCGTGAACTCCAATAAGTTCTCTTTTGTCATCAAATTCGAGAGATAAAACAGAATCATTGTTAATCTCGCTTGTTTTATCAAATCATTCGCTTCCAAACTAAACATCGCATTAACAATTTCTAGGAATTTTCCAGAGTATTTCTGTCCTGTTTCGAAATTGCAAACAAAGAAACATCTGATGATTTCTAAAGTGTTCACATCACTTTTGACTTTCATTTCATAAATTGTCAAAATCATTTCAATTAATAAGTCAAAGAATCCTTGAGGAATGAATTGAGATCTTAATACCATGAGCAGCGAAACTCTCAAGATTGTTAACAATCTGCAATTTGCATTTCTTCCTGTCAACAAATCTCTGAAACCTGATTTCAGTTTTTCAAAGTATTTCTCTAACAAAAATAGCATAAATTCTTTTTCATCGTCTGCCAAATTCTTGTTTGAACCTTTGTCATTCCATAATAATTTCACTTCACTTTCTGATGTCAAAAGTGACTCGGAATAATTGATATCCAATGCAGAAACAGACTTAAACAATTTGACAAAGAATTGCTCTGTTTTTCCACGAATTTCGTTGTCATCAGATGTTGCCAATTTGTATAAAATATTATATCCAAAATTGACAATTTTCTTTTTCGTGTCACTTTTTTCTTGAATTAATTGTGTTAAAGATTCGACGATAGATTCATTTACCACTTTTGGCGAATCAATGAAGATGTTTGCGTATTTTTCAAACTCTTCACTTGATTCGCAAGACAAAACAAGTGAACAGAAAAGTAATTCAAATGATGATGACCTGGAATTATTTGATTTAGAGATAATCTCTGATATAAACTCTTCAAATTTACAGAGATTCTTTGTTTCTCCTTTCTTTACAATTTCAATAAACAATGTATCATTTCTCGTTGATTGCAGCAACTTAAAACCATTCTTAAATATAACATCTATTATTTCTTTCGTGATGCATTCATTGTGTTCATTAATGAACTTCAAAATATCAGAGAAATTCGCGTTTTGCAAGAAAACAGAATTTGTACTTTCTTCAACAATTTTGATCAAAACCATAATAAGTTTTTGTGGAATTTCATTCGAAATAAACCAATCAATATCTGTTTCAGAGATCTTTGTTATTAAACTAATAATAACTTCTAAACATCTCCAGTTCTTGTAAACTGATTCTATCTTTTCCAATAAGAACAATGCAAATTCTTTTGTCATAAATTTCGAACAAATTTTCTTTGTAGAATCAATAATGAATTCATTGGAACATTCTCCAATGATTTTAATTAAATCATCTCTTCGTTTGTCAACATCAAATGACAAATTATCAATGAATTGTGTCTTTGCTTCTGTTTCAAATGAATCTGGTTTGGAATGGCAGAAAACATTGAAGAAATAGATTTCATTCAATTCTTTGTCATTCAAAAATGATACTAATTTCATGATGTTCGGACTAAAACCGTTTTGTTTCTTCTCAAAATCTTCGTTTTCTTTCTGAATTTTTGTGATTAATTCGGTCGGAACAGGATTTATCTCAATTTTTTCATCTGTTTCGTGTAATTTGTAGAACAGCAAATAAGCGGAAGGTTTATGATCCTCGAAATCATATAAACTCATAGATTTTGATTGACTTCCATAACAATTTGTTTCATATTCTTTTCTTGAGATTTTAGAAACAAATGTATCATTATATTCGAAAATATCATTTCCATTCAATGTCATTGCAGTATAATGACCACTTTGTGCATTTCCTTTGTGAACAACAACACCTTGTAAATCATATTTCAAAGACTGGTTATTATCAGAAATTTCTGCTATGTCTAATGAGTCAGGAACGATGAAATTTCCTTCAACTTTAATTCTCTGGAACGTGTTCAAATTATAATCAAATCTCTTTAGTTGAATTGCGAGATATTTCGGACATTTTCTTATACGAGAATATCTATCAATATCAACTTTTCTGTTGAGTTTTTGGACGAAGTATCCTGTGCAAAATTCATGCTCCAAGAAAACTTTGAAACCGTCATTCATTGTGTGGATTTTGTTCACTTCCAAAGGAATGAAATAGAAATTGTCTTCCTTTTCATTGACCCTTTGATTCTCTGCATCCATGTAAGTAACAGTTACTCCCTGATACAATTTTCCTGCAAGGGGAAGTCTGTCTAACAACAACATCAAAAATTCATTCGCATCTTGTTGTTCTCTTGGATTTGTTGGTTCTGATCCGTAGAAACACCAATTAGAAAGGAACTCTGATGTATCAACAAAAGGAAGTTTCGTGTATTCCATTCTCAAGAAGATTTCTTTCAATGCTTTCAACCATTTCTTGTCTTCATCGTTTTCTTGCTGAATTAAATTACGAAATTCTTCATTTGCAAATAAAACTTGAAGAACAGAATTCATGTAACATGTTGCACCAAGGTTTTTAAGACCAATTTTTGTGGATTTTGTCATCTCAGTTATGGAGTAATTCCATTGATCGACTTTGATATCAACCATGGTTTTGATTTTTGCTGTGACTTGTGACATGAAATCATTTTGTTTTTTGATGATTTCCAACAAAATATTTGTTGCCTTTCTTTCAGGAATAAGATTTAATAAAATGTTAACAATGTTTTCTAAGTCTTCCTTTGGAATATTTTCGTTCAAAGTGATTGCGGAATTCAACAAATCCAAAGAAAGAGGAATAGATTCAGCAAATTTTTCAACTAATCTAAATAACTTCTTGTAATCACATGATTTGTCAACAATGGCAATGAGTAATCTGATATCATTCTCATTCTTCGCGTTTTCTGTCAGATAATTAGCGAATTCATCCTTATCTTGGATTTCTTTCAGTGCAGGAACAAGAGAATAGACAATGTCAGGTCTGTTTTGGTTCAATGTCCTGAACATTTCGGAATTTGCTGTATCAGGAAATGCTTTGATCGCTTTTGTAATGACATCAATGATCATTTCATCTTTGTCTTTGAAATCATTCAATGCTTTGAGTAAGTGCATTAACAAACTCTTGTTTGTTTCATGTTCGAAATAATCCATTTTTGAAAGTGCTAAAGCTGCTTCAATAATTCCAAATCCTGTGATTCTTTCTTCATTTATTGCATCTATTATTGCTTTGGAATTAGCTTTCGATGGATGATCAACAGCTGCATGAAGGAAATACCTCAAATAATATCCACTGGAATTCATCAAATTTTGTGTCAAAACTGTTACATTTTCTGTCAAATCTGACAAATTTTCTGTCAGATTTTCTTGATTTTCTGACGGATTTTCTTCTGACAAAAATTCCATTGTTGGTAATCTCAATAAAATACTGTAAGCAATTGGATTGTCTTCGAGAACTGAGAGGAGTATTTCGCAGATTCCTTTAGAAATCAAGTAGTTTATTGAATCTTTTTGTGGTTTCATTTGAATATCTTTTGCTTTCATGACAGTGAATTCAGTTCCATCAGGATAAGCAGAACATGGATCTAATGATTCAACTCTTTCACTTCCATGATACATCATAATAACTTTTTTGTGAATTTTAGCATATTTAGAAATAATAAATTCACAATTATCAGTATCTTCAACATCAATTTTTGTTTTATCAACAATGAATGTTCTCGTGTTCTGTCTTATTCTTCCATGTTTCCTGAACATTGGCTGATAACTAGCAATAGAATTATATTTGATCAAACTGTCCAAAAGTAAAAGTTTTCTGTCAGTTATATCTTCTAATATATAATCATATATTTCTTCGAAATGTGATTCAGGTGGTCTTAACAGTTCATAGCAGATATCTTTAATTGCTTCATTGGCAACTTCTTCATTTGATTCTTCAATCATTTTAAGCATCGGTTTGACACTTTTCATGTCAAAAGAAGTTTTATTTTGAACTGTCATTGTAACATGTGACAATCTATAACAGAATTTCAATGCATCCAATGTTGCATTCTCCATTGACAGATTTGAAAGTGTTTCTATCCATTCTTGTGCCAATTCTTTCTTATTACTCAAAGCAGATATAGTTGAAATTGGATCAAGAACTTTCCAAAAGTTCTCTTTGAGAATTATGCCTAAAACATTATTAACTAATGAATAAACAATTGATTCATTGCCTGTTATATCTATTTCCTTGAATAATTCATAACAATTGTCAGAACCGCTTGAAATTGAATCAAAAACCGCTTTCAAAATTTCTGACATTTTCTTCTCAAAAATTTGTTTTTTGAGAATTGGTTTGAAAATTGAGACATTTGAATTTTGTGAATTAATCCAGTTGATGATCAAATCAGCTATGAAATCAGAGTGCTTTGATTTCCTTGTCTCTTCGAGATTGTTGATGAAAACCTGGAGAGGTTCATTATTAGAGAAAAAGAATTCAATGATGGAATGAGGAATTTTCAAGTCATTGTCAGGCCATGAATTAAGAACAGCGATCAAGAACATGGAGATTTCTTTGTCACAGGTGTTTGATTTCACGTAATCAAGGAATGAATGTGCAAGTTTGGCATCGGACAACCATTTGGCAATGAAATCTAAATAAGGTTCTTTTAATGCAGGGTGAAATGTCCTCGCTTTGTTAAACAGGGTCCAAATCTGATCGTCACCCATCGGATGTTCCTTGAAATAGGCATTGAATGCTGGAATAAGCGTTGTAAACAATGTTTGGTGCATTTCTTGGTCCATTAGATAGTCTTTGAGTGGGAAATGGTCGGACCACTCGTAAAACAACTTGTTGTCGGGCATTGAAGCAACTTTGGAGATGTTTTGGGCTCCGATTATCTGTTTCTCAACAATTCCACTGGTAAGACATACTTCTGCAGCAGAAAGTATTTCAATCCTTGAGCCAATAGTATTGGTTGCAGCGATGAATAAGTCTCTGAGTACCTGTGTGTCGATCTCTCTGATATTCTTGTCCTTGAGAGAGGCAAATAGGGAGAGTAGGGACGGAGTAATGTTGTTGATGAATTTGGTAGTAAGATTTGGATCATTGAATTGATGGAAAGCCTTGATAAGTTTGAATATGAAATCAAAACTTTCGAAGGAAGGATTCTGGATAAGATATGATTCGAATAACTTGATTGGTTCTTCGTAGAAGAATGAAACGATAGGAGTAAATACTTGCTTAGCAGTGTCACTTGAGGAGAAATACTTCATGTTTCCGTTTTTGTTGTAGAAGCTGGAGTCATAATCATAGAGGATGAGTAAAAGTTTCCCAAAGTGTGGGAATCCGTGGCAGTAAGCACGTGAATATATCAAAACAAGTTTCATTATACACTGTGAGAACTTGTCGAGCTCTGTAACCTCAAGCTTCGGTGCATTCATGAATGAAGTTGTCAAATTGGGTAGAAATGAATCAATGAAATATGTTGTTTTCTCTTGGTTGGTCTCGGGCAAATTATGTTGTTCACAGTAAGACGCCATTAGTGATTCTAGAGTGTTGAAGTAGTTAGGATAATCGCCACCTGATCCTACGGATGACAGAAAATTCGAACACCACGATGTGATGTCAATCTCGGAGGTCACGGCAGATTTTCTTAAATTTGTCACTTTTCTGGAAATTTTTTGGAAAACAAATGGGTGTATTTTAAATGTGTATAATGTGTAGAGTAAAAATACGCCAATGAAAAATTTTCAATTGACCATATTGTACAACTTTTATTCAAGAATTTAACAATGTACTTATGCATTCATGCAGATGTGAATCAAAATTGTTTAACAAATCTTTCATTCTGAGCAAAAAAAATTGAGATATTTAGAAAAATCTAAGTAAAATCATATTTAATGTTGATAATTGTAAGTATGTGTTCTATATTTTGAATGGATCAAATTATGAGCTCTAATAGCTCAGAAATAATATATGATTTTTTGGCATCGAAAAAGTAGAGTAGAGATGAACGTGAGTTATCATATTCCTCATATGGAATTAATATATCTTGAGTAATGATCGCTAAAATAGAAGATAAAATTCGATAGGGTTCAAATATGAAAAAGATTTAATAAACAACAAGTATAAAGCTATCTAATTCTAATCATTGAAGGTAAATATCGTAGTTTGATGATAATGACATTGAGTCTTCGATATCAAAAATGTTTCTCCACTGTGGCTCAGCTACATCATGAGAAATTGGTTCTTCAAATGATATATTGAACTCGAAGAAGTTTGGCTCAGAGTCAACTAAGAAAATATCGGATTCATCTGAAACTGTAGTAGGAGTTGCTGGTTCGGTTTTAACTGCAACAGGATCTTTCTTCTGTTTCATTAACTTCTGTGAAGAAACAAGCTTTGTTTTCATTCCAGAAGAGAGTTTCTTAATATTTTTCTCATGCTTCTGAATAAGGAGATATCTATAACGGCATTGAACATCTGTTCTGGCACCAATATATTTTGCGACCTTTGTCCATGTATTTGCTCCATACTTCTGAACAGCTTCGATCAATTTTTTGTCATCTTCGGAAGACCAATTGTTTTTATTGATCCTTGGGTCAAGTGTTCTATGCCATCTTTGAGAGCATTGACTACGAGTTCTTCCATTTCCAACAAAAGCGGCAACCTTTGACCAGCCGCCAAATCCGTCATGATGGATAGCAAAAATAAGCCTGTTATCTTCGCTTGCACTCCAGGAGTGAGTTCTTCTCCTTCTTGAAGCTTTTTCTTCAGCTAACGAGAAATCGCTGAGTGGTTCACTTCCAACAGAAATGATATCTCGGATTCTCTGAAAAGGATCAGAGGATTTAACAAGTGGTACAACGATTTTTTCAAGCTCATCGTCGGTGATTTCAAGGTCAATGTATTTTTGAAGGTTTTCTTTAACAGTGTTGAGTTCATCGTCATTAAGAGACTGATTGACTTCCGTAACATAGGATATAGCAATGTCCATTAAAGGGGATTCTGTTTTCTTCACCATATTGAAATAAGGAGTGAACTAAAATGAAAAGTGCTCTTAAAATTGAATGCATTCCTGACAAAAGAAATTGAAACTAAATTGTGAATGCTATTTGAAATTAAATTGGGAGAAAACTTAATATGATAATAGCATGTGAAAAATGAGAGTTAGGAAATATATTAAGGATTTGAGTGGAAAAATGAATTTAGATGTGAATTCATATTGTAATGATAGATTCATAATAAAATTGTGTTATTATTATCAAATTTATACTTTGAATGGCTTCAGAAAATTAAATCAAATATTGACGATATTCATTTTAATATGTTAATCATAAATTTAAAACAAAGACAACCACATTACGAAACAAAAAATTAATCAATGCCGATATAATTCAATTCTTTGAACATAAAAAAACAGACTCAAAATATGTGTTTATATACATAGTTTTATAGGAAAATACAAAAATAAAGCTGAACCAATTTTAATTTTCAAATTGAATTGATAAATGGTTTTGATGAAATAATATGAAAATGTATATTAGAATACAATTTTTCATTAATAATTAAACGATTGAATATTATTCTCAAAAATTGAAATTGAAAGATTGTTTTTTAAAGATGCCAAATACAATATTCATCAATATTTTTTAATAAAAGTTAATTTTAATTTATTTTTCTGTCGAACGCGTAAAAATATGTTTTTTGATCGATAGATAACAACTTAATAAATGTTTCATTAATTTTTAAATTTGGCAATTGAGTTAGTAAAACATTTTTTATATTCAAAATTCTTTCTCGATATCATGATCGAAACATTACTATTTTTATCAACGCAACAAGGTCAAATTGAATGCTAACACATTAAGTATATCCTTTCCTTATTTATCGCTGCAGAATCAATGCAATTTTTTTCTATCATTTTTAAATTTCGATGAAAAAAACTGTTTTAACAAAGAATTAAATATGTATTCTTCAATAATAGTCTATTAGCATTGAATCTTGGCATAATTCTTTGGATAGTAATTCAAATTTAGCAACCAGGAAAACCCTCCTTAATTTAATCTTGTAGTAAAGCTGGGATCAATTATGCTACAAAATACTTATCCTATATGCTTACATTTGCAATAAAAATGCCCGAAAAATAATCATTTCCCAATTAATCATTTTAAAATGCTGCATATACTTCTGAAGTTATTTATATATTGCTTATACGTATTATTGTCGTTAAAAGGAGTTTATAGAAATGGCAAATTTACCTCTCAACCTGCCAACATTATTTTTGAATAGATTTCGAAAAAGTAAGATCTGCTTATTGTCAGTAGATTTATATACTATTTATAAATTTCTATTTTGGTCGTTTGAAACCGATCACAATCATTGACAACCTGAATTTTTCGTTCTTGAAAAATCAAAGATTTACGCAATTTTGTTATATATGATGCCTTTGTGACGCATACATTGAATGTCTATTGCAACGAAAATCAATGAAATTAAATATTTCTGTCTCTAATCCACTATTTCGAATCTCCCAGTAAAATTTTTCAAATTTTATTTTGATCATTTAGCTTTAATTATCAAACAGATAGATCAAAAAAGTAACAAAGGTGATATTTAAAATTTAGCAACTGTCAATGAACCATTTGAAGAATTTTTTATATATGGATCCTTATTCTGGTATGAGATAATATACATTAATTGCAGATCAACTGATTTGTATTTGGTCAGAAAAATTAATTTTTGAAAAGAGGGTAAAATTACCCTTTCCTCGCTTCAAATAATAAAACCGATATTCTTTCAGAAAAAGTTTCAGTTACATATGTCGCAATACCCACAACTCGTTGTACTTGGAGATGGTGGTGTTGGCAAAACATCTATCATTCTTCGTTATACTCGTAATCAATTTAGCGAGACTTACGAGCCAACACTCGAAGACAACTACCATGCATCAGTAATGCTCGATTCAGGACCATTCGAAATGGATATTGCCGATACTGCAGGACAAGATGATTACAAATCCCTCAGAGACCGCTACATGTCTACAGGAGATATTTTCCTGATTGTTTATTCAGTTACAGAACCCCGCACCCTTACTACAGCTAAGGAGATGCTTAATCAAATCAAAGTTATCAAGGAGGATAATTTCAAATTCCTTTTAGCAGGCAACAAGTGCGATATTCCTAACCGACAAGTTACATTTGATGATGGTTATGCTGTAGCCGAAGAATTCGGTGGTCACTTCCTTGAAACGTCTGCTAAAAAGGTTATCAATATTGATGAAGCCTTCAAGGAAATCGCTCATATGTTAAAGAAAGACGACAATTCTGCGGATGTCGGATGCAAGTGCAAGATCTAAAGAAATAATAATCGGATTTAAAGTTTTACAGCTTTGGTTAAAGACGAACTTTTTTATATATATATTAAACATCCATTTTTATTTCATAGCATCTTTTCAAAAAGTGATTTTATATTTTTGAGAACATCCCCAATAGCTTCAATTTTTTGCCTTCTGACCAAACTTCTTGTATCGTTATGATTTTTTGCTAAACAACTCTTTCATTTTTAGGGTTATTGCTTTCATCGATATCATTTATTACATTCAACTAGCTTGGATTTAGCATAATTCATATTGTCAACTTAAGAATATACGGGTTCATGCAATTTTCAATATCAATAGCTCGAAAAAGGCTTCCAATTAAGACATATTGTTATCCATTGGTTACATGTCCTCTTACATGTAATTATTTATCAGCTTACTATCCTTAATCGAATAAAAAATTAATTTTCGATTATGATCACTTATCTTGCAAAGCTTTTGCTATATAATTTGTTTTAATTAAAATGTTTTAACGACCGTTTGCTATGTGAACAACTCAATTATCGTATGGAAAATCATTTCGTTATATATATAATTTGTCACAGTGAAGCATTGAAATGGAGGTTCTACAATGAAACCTTTAACGAGACAAGCTAAAATTTTCTCTACTAGAAATTCAAAAAATATAGACTTTAAAAAAGTTGAAAAAAATTGAGTGAAATTACCATTAAAATACAATCCTTTATAAAAATAACTATTCTGGGAGCAACTTTGGCCTGACAATAGCTCCCACCGATCTTTGTCTTATGCCAGCAAATTTGTTCGGATTTGGAATTGAAATTCTTTGGAAGGATACCTTTTCCTTCATGTTTACATTTGAGGGAGATCTAACTAAAGGTGAAGGCATAACAGATCCAGCTTGAGGAAATAGGAAAATTGGAGCCGAAATTCCACATTCGGACTCTCCTTCTGGTTTTGATGACTTTGCCATCTCGGCAAACTTAATCTGTTGTAGTTTAGGTAATTTTGGCGCTTCGTGCTTTATTCCTTGCTTTTGCAAGACATTAGCCTTCTCTGCGCACTTAAGCCATGGATGTTTAATAATTTGATCAATCGTTAATCTCTTTTCTGGTTCTAAAACTAAAATTTTTGAAATTAAGTCTCGGCACTCTGCAGAAACATCTTTTGGAATTGTGTAAGTGCAATCAAGAATCTCTCTGAGCATGACATTGATATTTGTTACATTCCATGGGTGCATTCCGGTAACCATTAAATATAAGTTCACGCCCAATGACCAAATATCGCTTTTTTGACCATCGTATGCATACTGTCTTAAGCACTCAGGTGCTGAGTAGCATGGTGAGCCACAAAAAGTTTGCATTAATTTTGATTCTTCCATATACCCGCAAAGGCCAAAATCGCTCACTTTAACTAATGGGAACTTCTCGAAAAGAACGTTTTCGGGCTTTAGATCTCTATGTGCCACACCAAAAGAATGGCAATAGGCAATGGCTGAAACCATTTGTTCGAATATTAGGGCCGCTGTGGGTTCTGCTATCTTCTTGTTTTTAATGATGTAATCCATTAGTTCGCCATTCTGGCAATAATCCAAAATAAGGTAAAAATTGTTGTCTTCCCAAAAGAAATCGTGAAGATTTACGATATTCTTATGTTTTAACCCAGATGTCGTATCAATTTCGCGTTGAAATCTTTTCATGTCTCCTTCAGATTGTAAATTAGCTTTTGGAAATACTTTACACGCATATATTGTCCTGTTTTCGGTACTCTCTACTTTGTAAACTTTAGCAAATGCTCCGGATCCTAATTTAGCCTGAAACTTATAGGTCCGGATTACTGTTCCTGGAGCAATCTCGTCTGTTGAAATCTTGAAAAATGAGAGAATTATTGAATTGAAAAGGATAAAATATATTACGATAAATACTAAATGTTAGTGTTAATTGACGCTTGTTTCATTAGATAATAAATTTGTGAGGATATTCAAAAGTTATTAATTTAGAGAGTAATTATGATTAATTGTATGTAAATAGAATTTTTGAAAATTAATTATTTCTAATTTTTAAAGTTATCAAAATTCAAAATTCCTCGATAAATGATAAGTGCATAACTAGGAGATTTTAAAGATTATTCTTTCAATGACATTGAAAAAATTCAAAATAAAAATTAACCCGAAATCTGAATTCGCTAAAAGTCGAGGAGCAATTTCAGTTTTAGACCAAATTTTAAATTGAATCTAAATAATTTCTCCAATAAAAAATGATAACTTTTGAATTTGAAAACATTATTAGCCGTTTAAAAATATAATATAAAATGACTGTTTTACTATTCAAATTACTCGTCATCGGAAGATAAAATCTGTTTCCTTGTTCTCTTTGGAATAGTTAATTCATCCGAATCATCGTCCGATAATCTTGGAGATTGTTTCCTTTTAGGGCTCTCTGCATCGGATGATAATCTTTTCTTATGGTTTCTCTTGGGCGGGGTTAATTCTTCATCGTCATCGGAAATAATTAGAGCTGGTTTCTTTCTAGGCGGAATCTCTTCTTCTTCGTCAGAATCGATTGGAGGAGGAGACTTCTTACGCTGTGCTAAGCTATTGCTATTTGAACTTTTCTTCCTTGGAGGTAATTCTTCTTCGGAATCATCTGAAATTATCTGTTTGCGTTGGTTTTTCTTTGGCGGAAGCTCGTCATCGTCATCATCATCCGAAATGACTGGTTTTGACTGCCTCCTTGGTGGAGGAAGTTCATCGTCATCAGAATCTGACAAAATTGGCTTTTTCTGCTTCTTTGGAGGTTGAGGAGGAACATCTTCATCAGAATCTGATAGTAGTGGCTTTTTCTGCTTCTTCGATGGTGGTTGAATTTCTTCATCTTCGTCATCATCTGAAAGAACTGGCTTCTTCTGTTTGACTTGCTTTGGTTTAATATCTTCTTCATCATCGTCGTCTGATAATATTGATTTTCTCTGTTTCTTTTGCGGCGGTTTGATTTCTTCTTCATCTTCATCGGAAAGTATTGACGTTTTCTGTTTCTTTGGTTGTGGCTTTACATCTTCATCATCGTCATCAGAGAGAATTGGCTTCTTCTGCTTCTTTGGCTTGACATCTTCATCTTCATCGGAAAGAATAGGCTTTTTCTGTTTTTTTGGCTGTGGTTTGACTTCCTCTTCATCGTCGCTATCCGAAATAATCGATCTCCTCTTACTTGCTCTAGAAAGAATTGCATCATCGTCTCCTTCCGAGATATTTGCCTTGGATTTGCTTCCTTTCTTCTTAGGAACGTCATCTTCGTCATCAGAAAGTAAAACTCTCTTACTATTTGTACTGACATTTGAAACTTTTTGTTCAGCCTTTTCTTCTTCCTCTTCGACCTCTACTTCTGATGATCTGTCGTTATTCGTGTAGTTAATTTGTTCATCGGAAAGTTTTTCTGGTGAATTTTCATCAGATCTCTCTTCTTCTTCGTAATTTCCTTCGTTTTCCTCTTCTTTATCATTGTTGTTATCTTGTTGTGAATGGCTTGATGACGTTTCGTAGAATCTTCTTAATAATGGTCCTCGAGATTTTTCTTTCTTCTTTTGAGAATCTTTCTTCTTAGAAGAATCATTCTCTGTGTATTGTCCGAGTCTTTTAAGAACGGCAATATGTAAAATTTCTTGTAATCCTTCACGTGTTGATTCTTCATCGAGAAGTGTCGGTTGTGAACCTTTTGGAATTGTAGATTCGGCTGCCTCACTCAGTTTCGATACAGATATGACAGATCTGCTATCAATAGAGCGAGCCTGAACAGAGGCGGCGTCTTGTGAAATATTTTTGTTTGTTTGCTCACTTGAACCAGCGTTATATTTAATATCAAGATAAAGAACTCTTCTTGCGCGTGTTTCTGGGTTTACTATACGTACTGGATTAATTTCATGGAGAATCCAGCCGTCTCGGATAAATTTTTCGAGTTTTTTACGAAGTGAGTTTGCAACATCGCGCTGTTTTGGTGTAATCAGGTGATTATTGACTTTCTGCACTGAATTTCCGAATGCGAGTAATGTCATAATATTTAAGTATTTATGCTGTAAAAGAGGGGTATTTAAACAAACAAAATCGATAAGCGATGGTTCAATAACAGCTCCGCTGAATGTTGATATGTCAATGCCTGAAATATCAATTTTGAGCAAATCTGAGTCTGTATCTAAGCCATTAAAAGATTTTACTTTTTTCCATGTATATTTTGTAGTTGGAGTAACAGATAGTTCATTGAGAATGCCTTTTTCTTTGACAATCTGTTTGATTACGTCCCCCAATGCTGCCATTATTATTGAAAAGTGACATTTATTTTACATATAAAAAAAGAGAGAAATCATTTCTTATCCATAATCTCTAAAGAAAAATGATATTATTTTTATATAGAAGCATTGTACTCAATCTAAAATGTATGAATATGATATAATCACTATAAAATGATACACATTATTTTTTATTCAATCTGATGGACTTGAGAGGGAAAAACTATGTATCTGAAAAAGACTCTCTAAGAAAATATATGACATTCTACATTATTAATTCATCAGAATATCAATTAGATTTTCCCTTCATACACATCCAAAAATTCGACAATTCAATCAATGCAAATCACATGTTCCACGCAACTATGATATGTTAGTCAGAAGATATTATCGTGCTTATAACGATTAATTTCTAACCATAGAATATTTAAATTTCCACAATAGCTAGAACCCTACTAGTTTGATAATTCTCAACTTTATGAGAGTACATGCGCTCAAATATAACTAAGCATTTATTCGATATATAAAAATAAAAATATATCGAATAAATACCTTATCATAAACTAGAATGGTTAAAGCTCTGAGTCACATGATTTGAATGTTTAACAATATTTCTGATGTTCTCTATTTAATTATATTTCTGATATATTTTGGAGAGCTTAAGATTCGTTCTCTAAAATTAATACTTGTGCTCCGTCTCGATCTTGTGTGTATTGTCATTTTTCTCCAAACCCCGATTCAAGAATCGAAATTTGTAAAAATCCATCATATTTTTTTTCGAATGTTTAGCATTTGTGTCTACTATTCATACTTTTCCAAAACTCAATAGGCCAAGAAAATTGTGAAAGACTTCAGAATTGAGTTATCTAAAAGCCAAACGATTCTGAAAATCCAAAGAAAAAAAAACTGTCTTGAAATTCTCTATCGGCTGATTTTGATATTAAAAAGAAGGTGTTAAAATGCAAGAGTTAGCCAACCTCTTTGACACAGCACCTCTTCCATATACTTACGTTCACATTCCTCAACCAGATGAACCAGATAATGTTCCGAAATATCCAATTGCTTACTACGTTAATAAAGTTATCACAAACTTAACACGTAGTGCATTCAAACATGCTGGATTCAAGGTAACAACATCACCAAAGAACTGGAATGCCTCTTGGGGACGTCAATACCAAGAAAAAGATTATCAAAGATGCCAAAACTGGCAAAAGATTAACCATTATGCCGGTGCTTTCCTCATGGGCCGTAAGGATAATCTTAATACCAGAATGACGGAGCTTACCCAAAGAGGTCCTGGTTTGGCCGAGTTCTATCCACAGTCATTCCTTCTTCCAGAGGATCAGGAAGGTCTCAACAAGGCATGGCAAACCAAGAAGCTTTGGATTGTCAAGCCATCAGCCTCATCAAGAGGTCGTGGAATTCACATCGTCAATTCTCAAGTTGATGAAATCCCAACAACAGCTGGTGTTGTTCAATCCTACATTGAGCATCCTCTTCTCATTACACAGCGTAAGTTTGATATCCGTTTATACGCTTTAATTCCATCATGCGATCCACTTCGCATCTACATGCACAAGGCTGGTCTTGCACGCTTCTGCACCCACAAGTACAACCTCGACGGCGACTACAACGACACTCACATGCACCTTACGAACTTTTCTCTCAATAAAGATGATGAAAACTTCAACCGTTGCGATACAGGTGTCGAATCAGTTGACGACAGCAAGTGGTCATTCCCATTCTTCATGAACCACCTCAAAGAGAACGGTTTTGACTGCGATTTGATCATGGAACGTCTTGAACACGTCACAATCTCAACAGTCATTGCCGGCCTTGCAGCCATTCGCAAGCACCATCAGAAACTCATTCCTCATCGCCATACATCCTACGAAATGTACGGAATCGACATTATGTTCGATGAAAACCTTTGCCCTCATTTGATTGAGATCAACATCTCTCCATCAATGAGTGGCATGGATTCTAAGCTCGATAACGACATCAAGTACCCATTAATGCTTGATCTCCTCAGAATGGCCAGAATTATCGACTGCGATCCAAACAGGAAGTACCCATGTCCTGGCGTTGGCATGATTGATGATGCCTGGAGGAATTCAGTCACAGACGAGAGATACAACGAGGTTGTTGAAGAAAAGAAAGATGGATGGAAGAATCCAACATTCGGAGACATCCAAATGATCAGAGATTACATCGAGGAACAGAACATACTCGGAGGATTCAGAAGAGTCTTTCCAAAGAAGAAAACAATGGACAAATTCATTCCATGCTTCGAAAAGCTTTCTTACTTCGACACAATGTACCAGAATTGGATAAGAATGCCAACAAAGGACAGAGTCAAAGTTATCAAAGACAATTTCGCAAATTACGCTGCTGAAATGCAGGAAATTCGCCAAGATGCGGCAACCTTTCAATAGAAATGTTTTATTTTTGAATTATATAAAATAAAAAAATCCATGTCAAAACATAAAAAAAAATATTTTATAAAATTTTTCAAAAAAATTCGAAATGATTAATTTGGTTTGTTCTAATTTCTTTATCCATTAGATTCATGACGTAATTTCTATGATTTAACATCAATATTTTATGTAAGTCAATAAAAAAAATATCAATTAGACAGTAGGGTCAGTTAAACCTAATATATAAATTTAAACATAATATATAACAATATAAAAAACATTTCTAAATAAATACTAAAAATAAATAACAAATATTAAAAAATTATCAGCTTGGAGGTTGTTGATCTGGTGATTTCTCTAGTAGTTTCTTGGCCTTTTCCTCTAGCTCTGGATGTAATGGTAATGCATCTTGGATTTGTTGATGAAAGAATTTTAATTCTTTTACCATCATGGAATTCTGTGCTTCTACGGCAGCTAATTGTTGCTGTAATTTTCCGATTAGATCGAGCCATTGTGTATTTTCTTCTTTAAGCCTTTTTAACTGTTCTCGTTTGCCAACTCTTTTTTTAGATTGAGGTTTAATTGTTGGGATAGCTTGCTCGGGCTGATAAGACTGGAATGAATTCATCATGGGGTTGAAGTTCTGTTGAAAGTTTTCGCCCATTGAAGTTGTCATTCAGCAAAAAACTATGACGCACTTTTGCGTAACAGTTATTTCTTGAGTTTAAAATACTAATTAAATGACGGCAAAATAGGAACGAATTCATTGTTGATATTCAGATTTTGTCACAAATTATTCAATATTAGGAAATTTATGATCGTAGATTACGGAAAATATTCCATGATCGAGGCTAATTTATATAAAAAATTTGAAAAACGTACATATTCGTAAAGATCTCAAATTCATAAATTTCACCGATAATATAATTATTTTTCTTAGAGAAGTATTAGGGAGTAAATCAGGACGAGTCCATGTGTAGTGGCAGGGACTCAAATTGTTGCTTCATTAAGTTTATTTCAGAAATATTTGTATTCGATAATTTTGTCTGAATTATTTGAGTATTTTTCTTATGCACAAAATAATTTAAACATCTGATTTTAAATTTGAGAACCTTATTTGTAAAATTGAATACTATTCAATTCTTTCTGAAAAACAAAAATTATTCCAATTATGATACCCTGCTATTTTTTATGATTTATGACACTTATTATTCCAAAAGTAACTGTGTAGGCATTCGTTAAACAATGACAATTGGAGTTTGTTTATTACTTTCATTTTTTTCATTGAATATTTTTAATAAAATGAAATTATTCAAAATGAAACATCAGACTAAAGTATTTTTAATACATGACTCAAAATTATCATATTGTCATTATTATGATAGGTAATTTCAGATTATTGTTGGAAAATTCAAATTTTACTTAATATCAAGCAATAATCAATTAACAAATAAAAATAATTAGAAAGAATTAATATATAAAATCGTGTTTATTAACAAAATTAGAAAAATAATATTGAGAAAATATAACAAAAAAAAATTATGTTAACAAAAATGCATCTTGTCCTTCGTATATTGCGTACAACAACTTTTCCCTCATTACTTCGATTGTTGAGTACGGCGGAATCTTCAAATAATGAGAACAAGTTGAAACAGACGGAAGAAGCCAATCTGCGCTTTCCTTTCCCTCAGGAGTCTTTCTAGCAATCGAGATCCTTGGCTGCAATGATCCCAAACCTCCAATTGGGAGTCTTTCGCTTCCTGTTACGAATTTTACGAACAAAGACTGTTCATTTGAAGGCATCTTTACGATCAACTTGAACAGCATCGATATCTGAGGTGAGTTCTTTGTGAAACCATGCTCTACATCGATGGAATCGACGAGATCGTCGAAAGATAAACTTACTTCTGATCCAGTAAGCAAATGGAGGAGTTCGTGCGAGTTTAATAAATCCCACATTGGAGAAGGAACAACACTAGAGAATCCTTTCTTGAATTCCAAGGCGCATTCAAGAACATTTCCTCTTACAGTGAATTCTTCGACCAATTTCCTGTACTCGTCAACATTCTCCGCATTTACTTCCTTGTCTGATCCTCCTGGAACAAGTTCTATGTTGTCAAGGCCAGGATAAGTGAAAGGAAGACCATACAAAGCTGTTTTATCGGAGTTGAGGCTTTTGTCCAGCATCTTGTCGACTTCCGAAACAGTTAATGAGTCTCCGAGAACGAGTCTGAGGAAATTATTCGATAAAGGTATCGGAAGAACGACATCTGAAGCCAGAGCCTTGCCAAACAATACTCCGAGTGTTCTGAACAGCTTCTTGTCAGCGGCAGGAGATGGGAAAAGTCCGTCTTTCGTGAAAGCAAATTCGGATTTCGGATCCTCGTTTCTCCACATGTTCAATGACTTCTTCATGAACTCCCTGGACATTAGATTGAGGAATTCCCTGAGAGGACCTGATCCGTAACCAGCTTCTCCCTGGAATCCGATGACCAAGTGGGATGGTCCTGGTCCAAAGTTGTTTAGAACGGCCAATCCGTCCTCAAAGAGGCTTTCTCTTGACACTGTGCATGAAAAAGTCACTCTTCCCTCGGTGAATTTTTCATTTGATTTCATAATCACCTTCGAAGAGTGGAGAAGAGATGAGAACAGGTCAAGAGATGCAATTTGGAATATGTAGAACTTCAATTGCTCGCTGAATAAAAATGGACATTTTCTAATTATCGCCATTGCAGGAGAAAAGAAACTCATGCTTAGTACAGGTGATTGTAACATCATATTCATGCGAGTTTCTAACTTGGCAGATTTCATGTCACTTTTTGGATTTGTCAGTTTTTGTAAATCTTTGAGACAATTTAGGGCCAAATTCATTTCACCTGTGATTTTCTCGTGTTTCACGTTGAGTTGGAGCGGGGCATCGTTGTCCAAGTCGATTTCAACGAGATTTACAACGACGTTGCCGTCGAAAACTTCCTTTAATGATGAGCAAAGTCTGGATATTGAAGTAAAACACTCAGCAAGGGCTGAAAACCGGGTTCCATCGAGTTCGAATGCGTAGAACTTATAGTTCGGAGGGCGAAGGATCCTGCAAAGAAGTCCTAGCTGTGACCATGTGAAAGATTTCATTAATCTCAAGTCCAAATACTTCGCAAATACAGGATTTGACTGGATAAGCTTCAGCAAATCTTCGACTGAGTAATTACGAATGCTAATATTGAACCAAAACTCTAAACATATGAACATACTTGTCATTAATATGTCTGGAGTCTTGTAAACGTCGTCTCCAAGTTTTAGCTTGAAATTATATCCGATGAAAGGTATTTTTGTGAGCGGTTGGCCTTCCAATGGGTCTCTTTCTTCGTATACCGGTAAAAATGTTGCGATTTCTTCGAAAAGCTTGTACGACGGCTTCAAATCTAAGCCTTCTGCACTCTCTGTCTTCTTCGCGAGTTGATGGAACTGCTTTGCAAGACCAGATGAGAAAAATTCGGCTGATGAGAAGCTGTTTTCATTAATAAACGCTACAATATCTGCGAATGAATCGAATGTCTTACCTTCGCATATACTGCTGGCCTTTCCTTTGACAGATTCCTGTAATTTTGCCAAATTTTCCTGGTACCAGTCGAGATTTGACTTATTTGAGGGCTTTACCCGGCTCAAAGTGTCCGAAATACCGTAAAGGGATGTTTTTGCCTTATCTTCCACGTTCAAAGCGAACTCCAACACTATACACGCGTTATCTGTCTTATTTGCGTGTCCAGATATAGCCACGAACACTTGGGATGGTATTTCGAACTGTTCTAGCATAAGACACGCTGTAAGATTCGAGATAGCGAGCAGTTCATTGTTGTTATTTTCGATTATGTGTCTGATTAGCAGTTCCCTGGCCTTTCTTGAGAATTCCAAGGCGGATTCGGGAGCATCGTGTTCGTCAAGGAGTATGTTTTCTGGGTAGTTCGGTCTGGGAAGGAGCTGTGAGAACAAGAAAAGGGTTCTCTGTATGATATCGAGTCTGGAGTCTGGGAAATCCTTTGAGAATAGTAATCTGTCGTATGGAATGTTCGTTTTGGCAATTGCTTCCGTACATTTCTTCGAATCTGTCAATCTGATCAGTATTATGAGGATATCGTATACTAAATCTGAGCTGGTTGTAGTTGTTATCGCTGTAGAAAGCGATTCGATGTCAGCAATTGGGAAGTCATCGAGATCCATCTCTTTTATTATGTTTCCTATTGCGTTTATGCAGTATTTGGCGATCCTGTTGTCCTGCTGACATGTCAGGGAGCACAGATTAGGTAGGAAATTCACGTAATCGGACCTTTGATAGTACTCTGTCATCACTGCAACGGTTTGCAATGAAGTACGCTGCTCGGCGATGGTCATGAAGTCAAGGAACTTGAAAAATATGTCAATGCCAATGATTTTGCTGAGTGTAGAGGCTGTGTAATTCGCTATTGAATTGAAACAATGGATAACATTCTCTGCTAGCTCAATGCTGAAACCGTTATCAAGTTTTTCTTTGGCTGCTTGTATGAACCCTGCTCTAGCAATTGGAAAAATTGCATCAGTAGAGTTAGATAAAAGATTTCTTATGCATAAAGCAGCTTGTTCAGCAATAAAATCAGATTCTGATGTTTTGAATAACTCAATAACAGGATTTACAACACGTTCAATTCCATAACTGCCAATTTCATCGGGAGAAACTGAAATTAAACTTAATCCTAATAAGGATAAGCTTTCCAGCTGAGCATCGATGTCTGGAGATGAGAGCTGATTTAGTGCCATATCAACTATTTCAGGCGAAAATTGCATTCCATCCATTTCTTCAAACCAAAAAAAAATTGTCAAAATTTTGATGAAAAAATTGTTCAGACGATTGCAATCAATAAAATCAAAGAAATTATTCTCAAAGAAACGAAGATCTCTTAAACGAGGCGAATAAAAGTTGTACTAAATATTGCCATCAAATTTTTTATAATGGCAAAAATTATTTTCAAGTTTAAATTTGTCACCAATTGATAAAGGGATTAAGTTGGAGACATGATATCTGTAGTGTATCAATACCATATATAGATCTATCTATACTTATAGTTTGGATGTCTTATTCTTAATAGATGATGAGTTAATTGATAATCACGTTTGAAGAACTTTTTTTTTCCAACCTTCAACTTTTTTCCTTTTTTATGAATCATGTCTTATCGGAATTTCGTCTAGAGGAAACTTTTATAGACTATATTATAAATCATTTCAAAAAGTAAGGTCTGCTTTTGGACATTTTGAGAATTATTTATTCAATTTTCATCATGTATCATCAGAAAACCACAAAATATGGGTGAGTCTAATGATGAATTAGTGACTCTTACTTGGGATTGACAGCTTAGCTATAGAAAAAATCAAAGATTTTGTTTTTATTGTATTTACAATTTAAAAAAGAGAAAGATTATATTAAGATATATTTGTAGTAGAGAAAGAATGAAGGATTTATACATAAAATTAGATAATATTTTGCTTTCATAGTGCCTTGATGAATAATAATTCAACTAGCAACATCTCTTGCCATCATCTGCGTTTTTACGCTTTGTAAGTGTTGTTACGCCGGAAACTTCCCCTTCACTTCTTCTTGTCATAAGGATATCGACAACAGCGGTGAAAAGCTCTTTAACGCCTTCACCTGTTTTAGCAGAAGTCTGGAAGAATTTAACTCCATGAGCTGTAGCCCATTCTAAAGCTTCCATCTGTGAAATTTTGATTTGATCTGTAAGATCAACTTTGTTTCCGACAATTATAACAGCACTCTGCTCGCCTGCAACACCCTTGAAATCGTCAATCCAGGATTGAAGGCATTGAAATGTAGAAGGTTTCGTCATATCGAAAACGACGACAGCAGCATCTGCACCTCTGTAATAAACTGGGGCGAGGCTTCTGAATTTCTCTTGTCCAGCTGTATCCCAAATTTGGACTTCAATAGATTGGTCGCCACGACGTTCAGTGTATGTATCATAAATAGCGCCAACTGTGTTCGCTTCTGCGTTATTGAATTTATTTCTGATGAACCTGTTTACAAGGCATGTCTTTCCAACAGAGCTTTCACCAATTGTAACTGCTCTAAATGTTGTGGAATCGCTTGCTTGCATTGAAAAACGGCAAAAAAAAATTTTATTTGAGTCAATGATAAGTAACTGAAATCATGACAAAGTATGGATATTTATCGCATAATCGATGAACCAACTTTGTCTCTTACTACTCAATATCAATATTCAACTCGAAATCTCAGCAAATTTTACTTTATGTCTGCAATAAACTCTAATTATTAATAGCACACTGTATTAGATGGGTTGAAAAGAAGCTGTGCTATGAATTACAATGAGAAATTTGAGAATTTCTTGAAACAATTAGTTATATCTGAGTGAATTATCAGATTAGGAAAAATTTCAATGAATAACTACCGAAATCAAAAGCATCTATACAATAATATAATAAAATTAGTCTTAATAAAATAAAATATTTAAATATATGGAAATTAATTAGTATTTTTATGATTCACATAGATCTAGTTCCTAAAATAGATGATGTTATTTTTCCAAATTTTTTATGAATTCCAAAAAATGAAGGGAAAAACTCATTTTTGATAATAATTTTAAAATTTTCAAAATTTTTTTGGAAAAATTTTCATAAGTTGTTTCTTATGTGAAGCATGATTCTAAGCTTAACATTGCAGAACGAGATTAATTTCTTCAAAATTTGATATTTTGTTAATATAATATTTGAATCCTTAACTTTTACATTCAATATTCCAATCAATTACGGACAACTGTAATCTTCTCTGTTATATATTTCGTCCTCAGCATTAATTTGAAGATTTCATTGCAAATAAATCAAGATTATTGAATTTTGATATGATAGAACTCTGAACAAATATATACTTATTTCAATTTTTGCATCATCTTTATAAACTCTAGCAATCATTTTCTGGCAACTGCAGATAAGAGTTAACCTAAAAAAATTTAGGGAAATTTTATTAATTATATTTCACTCATTATTTCATCATAAAACATTTTCAACGTTTCTCTCAATTTTTGAATCAATTAGAATAATGGAAAATTTGCGTTCCATTTTACATTCCAATTCGATAAAATTAGCAAACATTTTAAGAAAAGACGAATCAAGGAGACTAACTTTACCTCTTGAAACAGCTGCAGATCTACCTTCCATTATATATTCTTTTCATCAATGTTGTGAAACAGTTGAAACATCCGAAAATAAACACACACGTGTTAGGGACTCTGGTCCAACCGCAATGGATGCATCGCTCAGTATATATGTATCATCAATACAAGATAAAAAGAATAATAAAGGATCTAAACCTACCGTAATGTATTTAGACTTTTCAAATAATAGTACCCTTGAAAAATCCTTCCTGAAACCACTTAAAACATTTGAAAATCTGCAAGTTTTTTCATTATCAAATACCGGTCTTAAATCCGTTCCTAAAACAATCTTAAAAATGCATGGTAATCTTGAATATCTCGATTTATCTTATAATTTCATCTCAGAAATCCCAACTCGTGCAAAATGGTCACATATTAGAGGAATAAATCTCAGACACAATCGATTTTTCCGATGGCCGGACGCCGTAACGCCTGCCATTATGCCCGATCTTGAGTTTATCGATATTTCCCATAATACGTTAACAGGTCTCATTCCCGAAGATATGGTGTTTGAGCAGTTAAAACATATTGGAATGTCCTACTGCTCTTTAACTAAATTCCCAAGCTTTATTCAAGGCTTAATTTCTCTGAAATCAATAGATATAAGTGGTAATCATGATTTGCAACATTTTACTCTACATGATTTAGATAGTGCTCTTTCTCTCGTACACATTAACTTACAAGGAGTTAGAATACTAGAAACTGCAACTGTAGCTCATTTCCCACCAAATTTAATTATTGCAAAGTATTGCCCTAACTTTAAGAGGCTAAATATTCAGAATATTCTCTTTATTATGTAAATTGTTGTTGTTTACTTACTCACATCCGTATTTTTTTTTGAAATACAGGCTAAATTTTATGTATTTTGATCAGCTTGTAGGATCAAACAATATAAGATATAATAAAGGCAAAGTTTACAAAAACAATAAACATATAAAAATATAATATCAAATTAATTTGAAGTTTTGTTGATAAATGGATTTTGTTGTAGAAAACAAATAGTTCCTTTCTCTTTGGCAAACTGAACTTTGAGTTCACTTGGAATTTCAGATAAATATCTGAAACCTTTTCGAGTTGTGACCATATCGTTTCTTCCTGCGTGCCAGAAGACTACATCCTTGAGATACGTATTAGGATTTAAGTAGGATAAACTATGATCTGAGCAAACTTTGATATTTTCATACCATTTATACTCAAGATTATCGACAGATTCATCAAGAAGTGGAGGACCAAGGAATCTGTATGAATTTATTTGATTTGGTTTCAGGTGCATTTTATTCATCATTTGGAAAGTAATAACGTCGTCTCCTTTTGCATATTCGGAGTAGTATTCATCTACGTATTCTTTTTCGTGAAGGAGAAATTCATGAACTGCAGCACGAGACATGATCCAACCAGATCCACCATGAAGGTATGCAAAGTTCCTTCCTTTAACAATAACAGGAGATTGTATAAGATGTCCTTTAACTACAATGTCTTTTCGAGGATCGTATTCACTTTCTAATTCGCTCATCATCTGAGGAAGCTTGCGAATGTCAACTAAACAATCATCAGTAGTTCTCGCATACCAATCCAAGTCTGTAGAGTAATAAAAATCATAGAGACTTTGAATAAACATGTGAAGAAAATTTTGAAAATGAATAATCGAACCATTCCATGGTATATTATACTGATAATCGAGTTCTACATCCAAGTCAAGAGCAGATCCTACTCTTAGCATAGAATTCTTAAACATTTTTGCAAAATCTCGAGCCCAATATTCATATCCTACTTTAACACGTATCATATTTTGTGGGTTACCGTTTAATAAGAACATGTATAATTTGCATTTGTCAGAATTTTGTATGTATGGTTGAGATTGTATTTGTGGAATGTATTCTGAGATTTGTGTTGCGCATATTGCATGAAATATATATAGAACTATCAATATAAAAGCTGCTAAGATGAAAGATTTTCTGATTGGAGAGGAGATGTTCGCATGTACAAACATCGAATTCGCTCACCAATGAAAATGATATTATAAGTATGGTTTCTATTGAAACACCTATCTGTTGTATCCATGAATTCGATAGATTTAATACTCAATCATCACTAACATGTTGAATCTTAATTGATTTTTTATTATAGATAAATCCATAGATACTAAATACACTAGACCACAGCGGGTAGCTAAATAATCAATTTCAGGTTCGAAAAATCAAACAAAATATTTTAATTATATTGTAACAAAAATAACATATCAAAACAGTTGTAATAATCGATCTTTTTCATCAGAAGGGTCCATATTATTAACGTATTCTTTTAATTTACTGATTTTTTCATCATAATAGGCACATTCTTCGGCAACAGATTGAATTTCCATTGAAATTGCAGTAGCATTTTGTTTTCTTGACTCTATATCAGCTGATAATGCCTTTAGAAATTCTGCTGAAGGGGTGAGGTAATTTCGAATTCCATCAATTGCCTGATTAAATGAAAAAACACCAGTGTTTGAAACATCATTAATATCAACTTCTTCAATATCGCGTATTGGAGACCAATGATCTGGTTGTGTAATTTTGTAAAATTCGTAGAGACTTCTGACATATGTAAGCGAGCTTTTTCTCTTTTTATCTGGTGATGATTTTACTGGATGATATGGTTCATACTCTTTAAATATATTTTGACATAAAATAACTAAAAAATCTGATGGATGAGCGCAAGAGTGTTCATCTTTTAGTTCTGGAATATAAAGTGTATCTACCCATGCTTTGTTTTTGAGATTCAGCATCTCATAAGGATTTGAAACCATAACTTTCATCTTCAACAAATTTTTTCCCAAATTTTTTTAGAATTCCCGTTTATTTTTTATATTTTTATTAGAACAGAAGAATTTTAATATCTTGCCTATAAGAAGATGTTTCGTTAATTTTTTGACGAATTAGTGTTAAATAAAATTACATAATGTTTGCTTTCTAGAGCAAACGGATGAGAATATAAGAAGCCTCAAGCTATAAAACTCAGTGACAGGTTCTTGAATCATAACTCAAGTGTAATATCTCAAGAAATAGATTCGATCAAGGATTTCAGATAATTGTTGTTCGATAAAGAGCCTATGGTCCACCAGCGATTATTTTATTTCCTGAAGCTTTCAATCACATTTCAATAGTTTCTGATTTTAAGGGTCCACTGTAAAAATTGAAAGTCTCTCAAAATTGAGAGGCGATTTGCAAATAATCGTTATCGTCATTTTTCGAAAATCCACTTTTCCTAGTGTTCTGATTAATATTATGTGAATACAACAATGAAGCATATGTTTCAATAAGATGGTAATATATTCTATCACTTCAAATCTCATAAAAATTGCAAAATCAGTGAGTTTTATAAGAACATGATTTTTTCGAATTTTTTCGCTTTTGGATGCGTGTTTTGAAAAATAGATATTTTCGAATTTTAATTTTATCTTAATTATAAGTTTTATATTAGGAATTTTTTTGACCTATTTCCAATCATTAATTCCAATGTTTTTCAAGGAATTTAATTGAGAAGAAATTAGGAATTTCGCTTTAATGCCATTACAAACTAATATTATGATGCATAATATATATATTTATTGAGGCTAATGCCGGGATATCTTGCGTTTAAAAAAAATTCAAAGAATTGACAATTGGATAGCACAAATTTAATTCCCTGGACAAAGTATTATTGTTTATATCTTCAAACCATTATCCTTAGTTTTGAAATGTTGGCCAAAAATTTTCGTGTTATTTTTTGTGTTTAAGCATAAATTATGTATTTACTTATGAAAAATAAGCATTTTATTCATTATCATAAAGATATACCATAACAATTGATGGTAAAAAAGGGGGTTGGCGTCCTAAGGCGTCCTAGTGTAAATTTCTCAAAATTGTGATATTTACATCACATTTTTGAGAGGTTTATGGGCGTCCTAAGGGAAAATTGAATAGCTAGGGCGTCCCGAATTTTCATTCTAAGATTTAAATATATTATATACTTAAGTATAATACAAGCAATATAAAAATTAAATTTTTATTATGTTAACTTATAAGAAATTTTTTTGAATTATCGTTGATTTATTGTAATCTTTCCAGGCTATACTTTTGAAATCAACTTTACCTGTCATACGCATTAATGTAGTAGATGTCCAGGTGTAGCTATTATATCCCAGCAACATTGGTATTTTATCATTGTAAGATATCAAAATGAAGCGTTTTTTCAGATATAATTTTTCGTAAATTTTTCAAAAATAAGATGGTAAAAAAGCCTCGACTTGCTCGAAAAATAACAATTTTTTTACTTGTAAAAATAACCCTTTTACAGCATGGGCAGCTATTCAATCACTATTTCTTTTTCTAAAAGTATATTTTTCAAAAAAAATTAAGATCAAATTCGACAATTTCTTGATGAAAGCAAAAATATTACACATACTTCTAGATGCATGGGATAAAATATGCAATTATTCAATCAATTCGCATGATTTGAAAAAAAATCTAAATTTGATAAAAATGTAGAAATTTTTTATTTTTAACTTGAGATTCGATTTTTTTGATCCAATTTGTGAATTTTTTTATCGGAATTTCAATTAATTTGTTGATCAAAAATGACCTCACAATGTTTGATCATAAGTGAAGTCATCTTCATGGGTATTTAGAAATTCCAAGAGAAATTGCTTATTTCTCGCAGATGTAATATCTGAGAAAATCGAATTTAAATATTCATAGAAACCCAAATCATTCTCCGGTTCGAATAATTCATCTGTTGCTTTTTCTGTTTTTTCTATGAATTTTAATAATTTGATTAATAAATCTTCATCAGGAAGAATTATTGCTGCATTTGTGATAAAATTCCATATTGAGGTAATATGGCAATAATTACATTTATAAAATGTAATTTTATCCAAAATTTTTGGCAAATTCGCATAATAGCATTAATATTTGAAGCTGAGATTAAACCTGTGATTACTTCTGTAACTTTTGGAAAATCATCGCAATTTAATATCTCTTTTATTGAATTGAGAAATAAAAAAAATCAAATGGATTCATTTCTTCAATTTCAAGGAGATTGTAAAAATTGATAGAAGTGTTATTGCAACAAATTGTATTTGCAGCAAAAAATATCATTTGCTCGATTCCATTTTTGGAATAAATTTGCTGGAACAATGTTAAATTAAAACAGTTGCTTAATTTTTCTTCATTGTTTTCATAAAAAAGTAACAAGTTTGCAACTGAAATTTCAAAATTTTGATAATTGCCAGTTATTTCAGTAAATATATATTTGCTTTTCTTCATCTAAAAATGGCAAATATTGATTTGCAATATTAACTAAAGTTTGGGATAAATTGTTCCAGTTTGATTTTACAATTTGTGAGCACATTATGTAATATGTAAATTTATCCGCTTTGTAGGAATTTAAAATTGTTTGTTGTTCTGTTTCAGTTAAATTACTGAATTTTTCAAGATTAATATTGTGATAAAAAATAGAATCCTTGAAACATTCTGATATCTTTTCAATGTTTAAAACGGATGCTAAAAAATGTAAAAGAACTTCATCAGTCACTGTGATTTTTTTGAAAAATTTATCCCAATTCAAGCATCCAATTGATCTTTCTGTCATTGTACTTATGCATTGATAAAGTTGATTTAATGAATCCGAAGAATAATCATTATGCTTGACTAGTTGAGTTAGTTGATACAGACTGTCGTCAGCCATTTTAAAAAAATGAATAAAATTGTATAGTAAATTATATTTGTGAAATTTGTGACGCTACATTCAATCTAAGACCAATATCTCAAAGAATTCCTCATTTAAGTATTACTTTTCATTGTTTTTTAAAAAATATCTTTGCTTATTTGTTCACTTTTTTGACATTTATTATATGCTTTTTATCATATTTCCGATGATATGAATATATATTCTATATAAGAATGACGCTACATTCAATCTAAGACCAATATCTCAAAGAATTACTCATTTAAGTATTACTTTTCATTTTTGATTCAATTTTCGAACGGTTTTCGTAAATTTTGCATCATTTCATTTTTTAATGGGAAAATCATCTATATTTAATCAAAAAAGAGCAAACTTTACAGACGAAAATAAAATATTTATCAGGGAACAATCTGATAAATACCAAAAATCAACATCGAGAGATGAAAAAACGAATATAATCAAACAAGTTCTTCAATATTTTAATATTAAATACGCCGAAAATGAATCTAAAGCTGTCAGAAGATATTTTAGTTATATTGCAGTTAAAAATATTCCCGCAGTTACTGGAAAATATCCTGATACAATTGTTCGCAAAGATATGCTTTATTCGCATGATCATACAAATATTATTAATTCAAATAATATTGAACGTTACTACCGTTGCATCGATCATTCTTGTCAAGCACGTTATTTAGTTAAAATTGAGAACAGTTCAGTTTCCGAAGATTTACAAAAGGAACATATACCCGAATGCAGACAATTTAAAAAGTTACAAAATGAAAAAAATGATCTTCATAAATCAATGACTCTGACAGAAATATACAATAAGGCAATGGCAAAATTTTCTGAAGACAACGGCACTTTTCAGCAGATTAAAAAATTTATGACAGAACTTGCTGTTGGTACTGATGAAAACCCATTAATTAAAGATTCATTGGTCAGGGAAGTTTATAATAAGTCCAGAAAATTTTCTGTTGGAGAAAAAATTACAGACGATGAAATTGCTAATTTTTGTTTAATAAATGGCGAGCAGTTTTTCATTGGCCATGATTTTCAAGCAAATTGTGAGACGATGTTTTTTGGTTTTGAGAAGGCAATTCAATTTGCAAAAGAAGCCACAGATTTATTTTGCGATGGAACTTTTAAAATTACACCAAAACATTTTCAAAAAGGACAGATGCTAACAATTATGATTTGTGAACCTTCAACAAATCAATATCTACCACTTTTATTTATATTCATGAAAAACCGCACATTTGAATCTTATAAGAAGGCATTTGAATATATTTTTACTGTCAAGGGTATTCAATTTTCAAAGCTAATTCAAATTCATTGTGATTTTGAAAAGGGAATGATAGAGGCACTTCAACAAATTTTCCCTAAAGTCCGTATAATTGGATGCCTATTTCATTTCAAACAAGCTTTACACAGGAAACTTGTAGCACTTTATACAAAAAATTTCAATACTTTACAAAATTCTTTATTTAAGCTATATTCTATTACTCCATTCATGTCTCATGAAGAATTTGTACTTACAATGCATATAATTAATCAAAATAAAGTTGATTCGATCAAAGATTATATTGATTATTTCAACAAAGTTTGGTTGCCGCACTACAATTTAATATCTCAATATAATAATGCAACTGCAATATTCACTAATGATTGCCTCGAGAGTATGCATTCAGAATTTTCTTCGTTAAAACATCCAAACATTTATGAAGCTATTAAGAAGATATCTCAAATCCAATTAGATAAATATAACGCCATCAAAAATAACCAGAAGATCGAGCGCCATATAAAAACCGTTATCACTGATAGCTACAAAAATTATATTCTTGACTGCTTTCAAAAAGAACTTGAGAAAACAATTTTTTCTATCAAACAATACAACGTAAGTGATCTTTCTTTGGCTCAGAACGAGATTTCTCCATATGGTTCCATAGAATCGAGTTCATTGTTCGAAAATATTCCAGTTCATGATGCAGATATACTCAAATCGATCGATCTAACAGATAAAGATACAATGATCACTAAGTTTATTAATGAAAAAAGAGAAAAAATTATGGCATTATTTAATGAAACATTAAATCATCCAGATTTTAATTCATCCACTCCAATTCAAACTAATTTTGAGCAAGCCGATACAAATCAAGGTTCAGATGCTCCAATTCGCTCCGAAAATTCAAATATTGCAGACTCTACAGATTTAGAACCAGAAAATCAAAACCATCCTTCTACAAATCAAATGTCTAGTAATCTAGAACATAAGCTGGACCTTCTTGATCATATTGAAAAACAATTATCGAAAATGCGCTCGTTATTGGGAATTCTTCCTACTACAAATGCTATTGTTGGGCCGTCAAAACAAGTTTCAGTTAATAGCAAGCAAAATTCTGAAAAAAATAAGAAAAAATCTTCCATAACAACAAAATCAAACAATAAAAAACAAAATTCATCCGACAATCCTCCTAAACGTAAAGCTCCTATTTCGGAAAGGATTCTCAGCGATAATAACTTATATTTTCAAGTTCATCGAAAGAGATCGAAAAGCAAACGTTCCACATCTACAGAGAAAAAGAATTGATATATGAAGTCTAATTCCTTTTATAACTACTATATTTTTATTCTTATGACTAAAAAATAATATATTATTTAACAATTTTCATTTTTTTCTTTTAACAATTTCGTTTTATTTCCATTTATTGTTAAATGATTTTTAGCATACACCTTTCTTTGTTCATCTTCTAAATACAATTTATTTTTTCTTAGATATAATTCTATTCATTCAATTCGATCGTCATTTTTCAGTACATGATCGTAATTTTCAATTATTGATCGCGATTTTACTTCAGAATTTGTTCGCAATATTGCTTATCAAAATTATATCTCTATTCTCTCATTTCTGTTTAGTCAATATCATTACACTCCTATTGTCTAATAACATGCTATTAATTTTCTTAAAATTAAAAAAAAAATATCAACTTTTAAAAACAGAAACTTAACATCCTTAGGTCAATGGATTTTGATGTGAGATACATTTAATCTGTTTTTCTTTTTTTATTTTAAATAATTGAATATTTATAGTTGTTATGGGTCTTACATCATGTAAAACGAATTTTCTTAAAGTAAATTTACTTTTTCTTCAATCTTTCTTACATATTTATTAAAAAAAAATTATCCAAAAAAAGATGTTTTAGAATGAAAAAAATAGAAAAATCTTCATTTATAGTCTTTCTTGCATGTATACGTTTTGATTTTTTTCTTTTTTAAAAAATTCAATTTCTAGAAAAATCGAGAAAAAATCATTTTCTTCTATTTTTTAGGACGCCATACCCATTGAAATCTCCTCTCAGGACGCCATAAACTATTCAATTATGGTGTAAACTTCTCAAAAATTGAATAGTTTACATCAGGACGCCTTAGGACGCCAACCCTTTACGCGCCCACAATTGATAAATTTTTTTTTAAAAAAATTGTGTATTTTAGTGGGTATTATTCTGGATAATGCCAATTTTTACAAGATTTAATTAAGGGTTTCGTTTTGCTAAAATTGTCACTTTTATAGCATATTTGTTTTTGGATGTTTTGCGAAACCAAAAAAAAACTATGATATACAATGTGTGTGTAAAGAAAATACTTTATTTACTAGTTAAAAAATCATTTGGTATTGATCAAGTTATTTTTTCTGGATAAGATATTATATGGATAATTGGATAGAAAATACAATTATATAATCTTGTACCTGGTTTAATTAAGCTAATTGTCATCAGAAACTTGTAATTTTTAATTTCAGATTTTCTTTTCATTACTGCTTTTCTTAATAGGTCAAGTTCTTATTTACGTTATAAAGTATGATATTTACAAATATCAAGTTATCATGTTTTTGAGAAATTATGAGAAACAAACAAAAATGAAAAAGATAGGAATAGCAATGAATAGTGATGTGGGTATAGAAAATGTAAGAGATATGAATGCAAAGCAATCAGTATTTAGGACATTGACCATAGATTTCGAAAAAAAATGCTGCATATTGAGCGAAAACTATGATTATATTATAAGACTGTCATTTAAAGCATAATGAAACTATTCCCTTTTCATTTTAATCGAATAAGATAGTAAAGATTTTTGAATTAGCTAGAAACTGATGAGATGTTTTCACAAATCAGATTTTTAATCTCTATAATGCATAATTCACTCAATATCTCAATTTTGATATTGCGAGATATTTTTGCTATCGGTTTCGCAATTTTGACACAATAGCAAGAGGGTTCTATAAGCATTATTATCAACGTAGAATCTGAATATCATATCAGAAAATGTCGCAAATCTGACATTTACCCGACCAAATAGCAAAAATAATTGAATACTTTTCGCGAAAACTTTAAAAATCGATAAAAATATGAAATATAGATATTAAAGAGACTTTTAATATAATATTCATAAAGATTTTCCAAAAATATGATACCGCAAAAATAAAAAAGTGACGTCTTGAGTGGAGTCAAAAGTCGAAATTGCTAGCTAAATGTTTTTTTAGCGAAATTGCGTATTGTACGTTTTTTTCGCAAAACTAAACCCTTAATTTAATATTAACCATATCAATAGCCGACTCAATGTAAAAATTTAGATATTATTTTTTCATTAATCAAACTTTGATAAATTTTAGTATAATGAACGATTTTGTTTCGTGTATGATACAGAAATGAAAAGCTTAATTAATATCATTTTGCATTTTTTAAAGGATGTTAGAGTACATCTACATTAAAAAATCAGATTTGAACTGCGATACTGCATCAAATTGATGCATATCTGATAAGGATCTCAAAAGAGTAAAGTTAATTTTTTTGTGTTTTTTTAAGTTTTTTTTGGGCCTTAGTAAAACACCATCTCGAGCAATATTTTTGGGACGACGATAGACCTTATTTGGCCTTACAGTGGACCCTTAACCCCTGTCCAGAAAAAATTTTTATAAAATCAAACTCATGATCCAATAACAGTCAACTTCTTAAGTGAGTCAGTGGTTTATCTTACAATCTGCCTATAAAATTGGCAAAAATTTTCAATGGAAGAAAAGAAATCACCTCGCTGGCTGATTATTATTGCAATAGTTCTTTATGTAACATTCACAGCACTATGCTTTTCATTAACGTCTAACTGGAGAATAGGCTTTTTGTGCATAGTTTCAACATTATTCGGATTTGTTCTTACGTATGGACCTCTTGGATTCACATGCTCATTCAGATCTCTCACAACTGATGGTGATTTCAAGCAATACCGTGATTTGCTTGTTATGTTGTTCGTTGGTACTGGTCTTTGCTCATTAATTGAGTCAATTCAAGGCTTACATCCATTATTTGACCCAACCAAGACCAAGAAATTCTCCGATAGCGGATCACCAGTTGGTGTATCATTAGTTATTGGCTCATTTATGTTCGGAATTGGAATGCAACTCGGCTCAGGCTGCGCATCAGGAACATTCGTTGGCATTGGCGAAGGCTTCCTCAAGGCTTACCTCGTTTTACCTTTCTTTGTTGTCGGGTCTGTTCTCGCTGTTATGGATCCAGTCTATAAATGGTGGTCAAAGCTTCCAGCAACAAAAGAACCAGTCCAAATCGAATTTGGCTTTACATTAATGATCATCATGGCATTATTCGGCCTCACATTCATTTCTGATACCATCAAATCTCGCAGACGCCAAATGAACTCCGAAAGAAGCCACGATGACTTCACAGTCATGAAGAGCTTGTTTACTATCGACGGACCAAATACAAAATCGAATGATGAGAACGAAGAAAAGTGGTATCATTCGATAATTGTTGGCGCAATCGTCGGAGTCATTCTTGCGCTCTTCTATCTCTTCAATGGTACAATGATTGGCATCACTGGAGTATTACCAAAGGTTGGCTGCGCTATTTTGAAGAAATGCGGAGTCAAAGTAGATAATTGGGTATATTTCCAACAATCTCCACTTCCAAAGAACTTCCTCGACGTCAACATCTTTGATTCTAACATATTCATCGCTCTCGGAGCCTTCCTTGCCGCTACAATCAAAGGAAATTTCGGAAAGGGCCAAAAGAAGGGAGTTGTTGAATATATTAGAGGTGTATTCGGCGGATTACTCATGGGATTCGGCGCAAGACTCGCAAACGGCTGCAATATTGGTGCAATGACTTCTGGAATCACTTCTTCATCAATGCATGGCTTTGTTTGGATGGCTTGTGCTATCATTGGATCACTATTAACATGCCAGACTGATAAGTTCATTGCTAAGAAGTGCAAAAAGGAGAGTGTCAATACTTTCACGCCGATTTTATAAATTAGTTTCTGATTAAATCTATTATTATTTATATAGCTTTTTCATTAATATTAGATAATTTTAGCACACTCTAAACCATCTAAAACAAAATTATATTTTGAATAAAATAATGAATTTTATTTGAAGTATTTTGATTTCAATATATAATTAATGATTCGATTGCAATGTGTGTTTATCATATATAGATGTCAATTTCAATTGAATTAATTTTTTTTATCATAATTGTTGATTTTTTGATTTAAGGTATTTTAATGAATTTCCATAATACTGGTGATATCATACTTTGAGTGCCAAGGCTTTATGTTTTAATAATTTTTTATTTCAAAAATAAATATCAGAGAAAAATTCTCCGATGAAACACTGCATGCTGTCACTCTGACAGAATATTCAAGTTCTGAACGAATTTCTGAATTTGACAAGAATGCATTTTGCATTTCCTAAAAAAAATCGGAGAAATAAGGTATATCTAAATAAATTAAACATCATGTATAACAATCCCAGCATATTTAATTACGATAGTGCAAATAAAGAGCAAAATGTTGACCATCAATAATTGATAGCTATTTTATAAATTCTGAGTGAACGGTTTTTTGTGTGTTGGAATTCAAAAATTTTGGCGGCTTTGTTATCAAAAAATCTAAATTCATAAATCTTATTCAATGCTTTTGTTTTTTTGATAAGGAATCATTTTCGTATGATCAATATTGTCTGTTGAATCAAATATGATTCTGAAATTCAACCTTGAATTTTTACTTTTTAAAAATGAACGATACCCAAGCACCACCACAGCCTAAGAAGCCTGTTAAGAAAAACAAATTCTCTGCTGAAGAAGACCAGAAGCTCCAAGAGTTAATTAAGAAGTATGGTTTATTTGACTGGGAATCAATTAGTGAAGAGATGCAAACAAGAACCCCAAGACAGTGCCGTGATCGTTGGAATTATTATTTAAACCCTGATGTGAGGACGAATCAGTGGACAGAAGAGGAAGAGAAGCTCTTACTTAAGAAATATGAAAAATATGGACCTAAATGGTCAAAAATATCTAAGTTCTTTGATAATAGAACTGATGTCAATATCAAAAATCATTACATCGTTTTAGAAAGAAGGAAAGCTAAAGCGAATATTCCGCGCGTACCAGAAGATAGAAGACAGTTACCATTTCTCACCCCAATGGAACCAAAGCCAGAGATTCCGGAGATGAGATGGCTCGATAATCAGTTCGGTATAGAATTTTAAAAATGTTGGTTATTTCTGTTTTTCCCTCTTTATTTAGTTTGTTTGTTCTGCAAAAAGCGGATTTGAGCTGATACTATTCTCCGAGCTTCTAACTTTTGTGTTATGATGACATTATAGAATAAATGCCGCGATCAGAATAAATTGAAAGAAAAACAATACATTTATAATCAAATTCATGCATCTCATGTGCTTCATAGCTTGTGTCGTTCTCTGACGAACCGTTTCCCCTTTTCATATTGCGTCAATTTTCAAAAACTTAAAATTCGATTAATTTGCACTCATCAATGCTATAGTAATACTAAATACAATTCTTCCAACTGAAACTAAGCTCGAAATTCAAAAAAATGAATAAAGGTTAATATTGATTCAGAGAACGAATCAATATAAGTATTGAAAAATCTCAGAAAATGAAATTCAAATTAATGACTACTTTACTAAATCCCTCAATGAGAATTTAGATTCCTAATTTGATAAATAAAGCCATTAAAAGTAAAATAAGTTAAAACATTTAGTAATTTTTTCAAATAAGAAGGCAACATTGACTTTTGCCTTTTCCATCATGGGCATCAGTGCTCTTTTTAACTTCATCACCATAATACTTGCAATATTCATAAAATTGTATTGTTCCATTCATATTTTCATCCATCTTTCTCATCTTCTTTGCTTCTTCATAAACATTTGTATTTGGATTGAAGCCTTTATGGAAATCAATTAATTCCTGAAGCTTAACATTACCATCTCTATCTTTATCCATGGCCTGATAAAAGACTTTGAGGATCTCATAAGGATATTTTTCTTCCTCGATTTCTTTGTAATGATCTTTCCATTGGATGAGGAAATTTTGTATAGGCTCCCATTTTGCTTTATCGTTTCTTTCATCATCAAAAGCGCGATATAAATTAGTAATCCAAAGATCTGATTTTGAATCATCAATTGAGCTGATAACAAAAATGAATTCCTCTTTGCTAACGGTTCCATCGCCATTTTCATCAGCTTTTTAAAGGCCACTATCAATGGCTGCTTGGATTTTCTCAGGAGTTGCCATAAAAAATAACGAATTATTAGATTTCCTTTTTATTTTAAGAAAAAATGATTATTTTGTCCATGAACTTGCTATAATTTTAAGGGTGCACCCGTATGTACGTTTATTTGAGAGGAGGAGGATTACCCTCTCAATTTTGAGGGATTCGTTAGTTTATTTTCTCGATGAATATGCAATAAAATTTGATTTTTACCTTATCAATATACTTCATATAATATACACATGTTCATGTAAAAACTTTTTTCCAAAATCCTCAGGAATTAATGGATTTTTGAATTTTATCGAAAAAAAAATATTTTCAGAACAGCCTTAACGGCTAAGATTTAGGAACAATGTTAAGTATCAAAAAGAAAGGAGGTCTGATATAGACAACATATATCGTTGAAGGTTGAAAAAATCTCTAATATTTGAGCCCAAAATTTCAAATTTTAATTTTTTGAAAAAAGAGGCCACCCGTATGTACGTTTATTTGAGAGGAGGAGGATTATATTTTTGAAAGGGTGAAACATTATGAATATGTTAATTATATAATAATATGTATTATTATAAAAAAGAAAAAATAAAGCATGTTAAAATTTTTCTTTCTTGATTTTTTACAAAATCTACTTAGAATTATGCAAAATATGACTAAATAATTATAAATTTCAAGTTAAATTTTAATTTTGATAAATAATTTAAATTTCAAAATATCAAGTTCAGTTCGACTATGTATGTAGTAATTCCTCAATAAAGTGCCAAAACCCTATTAAAATATATGAACATTTTCAACATTTTAATGTTTTTATTTAAAAATTTGTTGGAATATGAGCTTCAAACAATTATTATGTAAATAAAAATAATTAAATATATGTATTTATTCGTATTACAACCGTAGTAAGTCGATTCTTCCTTTCTTCTACTGAGATTTGAATTTGATTTCGAATTGTAAAGAGATTCAAAGGGAAAATACTAGCGGATAAAAACTACCTCCATGAAAGGGTCATAATGGACTCAAGTTGTATTTTTTGATATTTTTTGCTTTTCGAGCCTAAATAGGTAGCCAAGATAATGCCTAAAAATAAGGTTCTAAATTCTGAAGTTTACATGATCCTCTCGTGTGCACCCTTAAAACGCCGTTGCTTACAATTTTCAATGTGAACAAAATTCTTTCGACATCGACAGAATCCATTTTTGATTTTACACATTCAGCAAGATAGAGAATATGAATCTCGTTTATTTATTGCCGATAAATCTAAGAGAATTCAATTGTTGATTTTTGAATTGATTTGTTTCTTATCAGAATAAGGTAATGACATTATGGTATTTATAGACTATACAAAATATGATGGTAGGCCAAAAGCTAGCTTTCTATTTCAATATTACGGGTCATTGTAATGTTTGAGTAGTAAAACATATCTTCGAAACTGAAGAAAATTATTATAAATGAGGGAAAATTGCATTTACATTATTAATCGCATACTTATTCTAAAAATATTTTTCAAAACTATGAAATTCATTTTCTAAATGAGTTTCCTCAGAGAGTTATTCATTCTTATATAACGTAAATATACATCTTTAAGTTAATTGATTAAATTTTATTTTCTCTTCGAGATCTCATATTTCCTCAGGAATTAATATAAATAAAGACTTATCACATTATATAATGTAATATATTTCGTGTAAATATTAATTAGACATCTCAATTGGTCATTGAACTATTAACCAAAACACAAATTTCGGGTTGAAATAATCTCAGATTAATACACTTGTGAATTGATAATGAGTTCTCAGATAAGTTCATGTAGATACTCGTAAGCTCTATATATATTGATTAAATAAAGAAAAAAGGAAAATTCATATATTCAATCTAAGAGAGAGTTATGAACAAATGATGTGGATTTACATAATGAATTAATTCTAATTTCATCGGTATTCTTGAATCGATTAATCAAATTGAAAAATTGTATTTTTAATTTCGAGTATTTTAGAGTTCTCATGCGAATGAACGTTAGGTATAAAGCTAATACAATCTATATCGATGATTAATTAGTACAACTATTGTTGGAAAATTCATTTGGATTTTGAAATAAACGAAGAAATAATGAATAGTCTCGTTGATGATTCTTATTTCGTTGTCTTTATCCAATACCGAATCACTATACATACTTTATTCCCAAGGATAATCAAAAGAGATGCATTCTTTTTTAACCATGAGTTTATACTCAAAATGTCACTTTTTGAAAAGGGAACTCAAAAGATCCTGAAGAGACATTGAAAATCGAGAGTGTTTTGAACTTTTGAATTCCCAAAGGACCATATGATCGCTCATGACTAACTCACTATATTCTTCGATCCAAATATAATAAAATTAAAATCTTTCCCATAAATGTGCCTCATTTGAGAATTATTTTCTTTAATTCCTTTGGAAACTATGTGAGCAGTATGCATTGGTTATAACACATACATATTTGCCGAAATATATTCAAAATTTGATATTTCTCCAAAATCAATTTGAAATCTTGGTAAATATTAAAGTATGTTCGTTGTGCACTTCAGGAAATATACATTTCTGATATTCAGTATTGATAGCATAATAGAAATACTTTGAATGTTTCCTTGAATTGGGTTGAGAGAGAGCTGAATTATAATTTTTTGAGATCATTATATTTTTGAGAAAAATAGCTTCCAAATATATCAGTATATATCACAGAATCGGAATTGTGGAATTATAAATGTGAAACATTTTAAAAGGGGTGTGAAAAATTCTGTTGCCAATGCAAAATCTTTGAGATATCCAAAGAATTTTTCAAGTATACACAGAATCAAATACATTGTAATACACCGATGAGGTTTTTGCTAAACATGACGGGGACAATTTTACGCCATCGTAAAGTGAGGTGTTCAATATTGAGAGATTTTTCAATTATATTGATAGTATTCTATCACCGATCTCAACGAGATTATATTAAAGATATTTTCATGAAAATGGTCAGCAAAAAATTTTTATAGTTCTTGAAAAAGTTCAGAATAAAGGGTAAAAACTGAAAATAAACAGTGAAAAACTAGTGAAATAAGTTGCCTTAAATATGACTAATTTAATGCACAAGATATATGGTAAATATACGATTCCATTCAATCTAAATTGACGAAAAATCCTCTAAAATTGAATGACGATAAACTTTTGGCGGGTTTTTTCAGACGTTTTAACGGTTTGCCATTTCAATTAAATGTTTGCTCAAAATGGAATGGATGGATCTGCGAACCAATGGCAAATGTCGCAGATCCAACCAGTGCCACAGAACGATGCAGGTGACGCCCAAGACATGGAGGAGGGTGACAACGCTCACCGCCCACCAAACGCCTTCATTCTCTATTCCCAGGCTATGAGAACCCAGGCAAGACAGGAGAACCCATCGCTCTCCAACACAGAGGTCTCCCGTCTCCTCGGCAAGATGTGGAAGGAAGTACCAAACGAGATCAAGCTCCAGTACAAGCAGAAGGCCGCTGCCATGCAAGAAGAGTTCAAGCGTGAGCACCCAGACTACACATACAGAAAAGCCCGCAGGAAACGTGCTCTCAACGAGCTCCTCACCAAGAGCTCCACTGGATTCCCAGGTTTCCCAATTGGAAACGCTCAGTACCCAGCTGGTGATATGAGCCAGTTCCAGGGTATGCCACCAGCTGCCCAGAACTTCAACATGGGATTCCCACAGCAACCAGCAGACCAGAACGCTAACAACAACTTTATGAACCAGTCTATGATGCCAATGTCCTCCATGAATCTTCATGGCATGCCAAACCCATCTCTCATGCAAATCGGAAATATCGCTCAAATCCCCCAGACAGGAATATATCCATTCAATCCTAAATGAACTGTAAAAACCTGATTTATTATTTTTAACTATAGATCTTTTTATTCCACATCTCTTCTGGTTTGAACTTCTTATTTTTTGAAACCAAATTTTCCATTTTCTGACTTAATCCTAAAATTTGTTTACAGTCCCAAGTGAACGAAACAAATCAGAGAAGAACAAAATGAAAAAGTCTGTATCTTATTCAATCTCGGTGTTGCTATTTATAATATAGTAATGAGTCGGGCATTAACTCTTTTCTGAAGAAGCATTTATATTGCCTGTATTGTTTCATCAAATAAAGAAGAAATAAAAAATTTATCAGTGAATTTTAGTATAAATAATAACAACAATTATATAAGTATTCTATAATAGCATCAAAGGTTCATCAAATTCCCATTCCACGTCAGGCCAGGCGAGCTTTGTGGACTTTCTTTGTAATGGAATGAAATATTGATAAATGTGTTGACCAAATGATGACACATAGTCAGATAATGAGATTTGTCCTTTTTGTGTTTCGTTAAAGTTAGTGCAAAGGAAAATTCCCGTAAAACAAAACATCATGACGGCAATAACGAGGCCATACACTCCAGTAATTAATGAAATAATGCTAATATCAGAGTTTTCTTTGGTTATAACGCATGAAATAATAGAATAGATTCCGCAAACGGTCGAAAGTAGTCCTGCATAGAAAAACCCTAGTACAAATGCCTTAAAGTTCCTATCTGCAACACAATTAACTATGACTCCGCAATGATGATCATTTCGTAAAACGCAAGTTTTGCAATCGTCGCAATGTACAGAGCCTTTAGGCATTGGTAGTCCACACTTACTACAAATTTTGAGATGTTGGAGATTTTTCGGTATATCGCCACGTTGAATTTGTTTCAACAAGCCTCTTTCTTGTAAATCTGTTTTAATATATCCTGGATCGCCATATGCTGCAGTAAGCCAAGACCAAATCCACATGAAATAAGTCAATGCTAAAATGGCTACGTGAATATAGTGGATATGACTCGAATAATATGTGTAAATATCAGGAATTGATTTAAAAAGAGTTGCTAGTGCCAGAAGTGTTCCAATAGAAATAATTAATCCATTTGAAAAAACCTTATAGCACTGATCTTTTGAACTCATATTATGAATATTCGGATAAAAGTGGGGGAAGCACCATGAAAAACCCTATTTTTGATTTCGAATTGTCGTTAAAGTCGGCATGGTCCGAGTGTAATAATATTAACCAACAAGAGACTAATTGATTTATATGTTTTTTGGCTAAATATTTGAACTCCTGATGAAAAGAATTTGAAAAACCCGCGTACATCCTTCACATTTCACTAAAATAGAACGTTTAACAAGTGTACAAACATTTTTGCAGAGGAATTCCGCGATGAATGGATAATAAAAATTATTTTTCAATTTTGATAGCATGAAAAATCATATATATAATTTATTCATTAAAAAACAAAATAAACAAATCAAACAGAATTGAAATATGACTTAACTTCGGCGTAGCTATTTAGATGAACAGGTCTAACCTTAGCACGTCTACGAATAGCGACTTCAACGCATGTTTTATTAACTTCTAGTGATTTCCTCTGGAGTTTAATTGTAACTAAACCGAAAACTTTGCGAACGTCCTCAAGAGTAGCTCTAATATTTGGATCAGTCTGGAAAAGATTGATTAATATATCTGCATGAAGCATGTCTTCATTGAACTGGAATATGGATTTGATATTCTCTACGCTGGCCATATATTCTTCAGCATTTGTAAATTCTTTGCATGGATAAGTGCCATTTACCATATAAAACAGGATAATTCCGATTGACCACATGTCTGCTGCCTTCGGGTTGAACGGAATTCCTTGAACAATCTCTGGAGCTGGAAATTGCGTTGTTATTGAAAATCTGGTGCAGTAACGCTTTGGAATTAGCATCGCATGTTGGAAGTCAACGAACTTGATCATTCCGTATTTGTCAATAAAAATTGTTTTTGGAGAAAGATTTCCAATATAGATTCCATAAGAAGAACAATGTTCCAGAGCACATAAAATTTGAAGAGAATACATTCTAATCTGTTCTTTTGGTATTACACCAATCTTTTCTAATGATACAGGCATGAAATGTTCTAAAATTGTAAAATTAAATTGTTTCTCTTGGAATTTTTCGAAAACTTTGATGATGTTTTTGTGTGAGATACGTGAGAGGATCTTGTTTTCGATTTCAAAGATTTTCGGGGACTCGGTAATCTTGCAAACGAAAAATTGGTTATGTTGTCTATGTTGTACTTCGATGTATGTATTTTGTCCTATGCTAAACATGGGCTTAATGACATTGTAGGAATGATCATTAAGGACTTGGGTTAATTCAGACATCATTTTCAAGCAAGACATTTTGGGATTTTTAATTTAAGAAATTTTTGAAAACTGAAACGATTAATTTTTGAATAATATATTGGATATTTTGAGATGTTTATGTGAAAGTTGGAAATGGTCCAAAAATTCGTAAACATGTTGGAAATTATATAATGATTAGTATAGAGAAACTTTTTTTATTTGAAATTTACGTCAGTCAGAAAGTGACAATTTAATAATTTAATAAATTTGAACAGTGATATTATCCTGAAGACATTTCTGATGAAGAAGTAATTGTGAGGTATCTCAATAGATTTTATGTGTGTGAACATTATTTTGTGGATAAATATTATTAGTAATGAATTGCATTCATATTGATTTAACCTCGACCATTTTGCGAGAGGATAAGCATTCAAAAAATAAAGCTAAATCAAATTTTTAATAAAGTGATTTCAACTTTCTATTGTCTTCAATTTGAATAATGTTGAAAGAAAAGGATATGTTAGCATCATATAAGAATATTTTCCGGAATTTAACTTTTTATCAAACTGTAAAATTTGTTTGATAATTTAAATTTATTATCATGACTTTTTCATCATTAAGGGTGCACCCGCATGTACATTTATTTGAGAGTAGGAGGATTACCCTCTCAATTTTGAACGCTTCGTTAGCGCAATATCTCGATGAATATTGTATTAAAATTGAATTTGCCCATACCAATATATCTGATACAATATCCTTAAGTTTTACTAAAAAGAATTTTTTAAAATCCCTGCAGATTCGGGATTTTTAAATTTTTTGATTTTTTTCGAAAATTTTTCGAAAAAAAAATATTTTCAGAAGAGCCTTAACGGCTAAGTTTTATGTTTAATGTTGAGTATCAAAAAGAATGGGCATCTGATATAGCCATCATATATCCCAGAAGCAAATAAAAATTCTGACTTTTTAAGCATAAAAAAATGAAATTTTATTTTTTGCAAAAAACAGGCCACCCGGATGTACGTTTATTTGAGAGGAGGAGGATTAAATTTTTGAAAGCAGTAAAATTTGTAAATATTCTAGTTATATAATAATATGTATTATTTTAAAAAATAAAAAATTAAAGCACGTTAAAATTTTTTTTGATGAATTTTTACAAAAGCTACTTAGGATTATGCAAAATATAGTAATTAAACATAAATTTCAAATCAGATTTTACTTATGATAAATATTTTAAATTTCCGAAAATTAAGTTCAGATCGACTCGATACGTTGTAATTACTAAATAAGGTGCCAAAAACCTATTAAACAGTATCAAAACTATCAAGATTGTAATGTTTTTGAAGAAAAATTTATAGAATTATGGACTTCAAACAGATATTATGTAAATAAAAATAACATAATGAATTTATTTATTCGTATAATAGCAGTAATAAGTCGATTATTCACGTCTACTTCTGAGATTTGAATTTAATTTCGACAGAAAAAGAGATTCAAGAGGAAAATACTAGGGGATACAAACAGCCACCATGACAGGATTATTATGGAGCCAAGTTATTGCTTAAAAATTAAGGTTCTAAATTCTGAAGTTTACATGATCCTCCCGGGCGCACCCTTAACAGTATAATAAAATTAATCAAAATTATTTTAATTTTCATTCAATTGTGGGAAAAAACAATTAGTAATAATAAATGCACTATTATCTGGAGTTTATTAATAAAAATTGAATTCAAAAATAAGATTGGTGAATTATTGGGCGATATCCATGATTATAAAACTAATTTATATATTTTTTAATTTTTCAAATTTATCTGATTTGAAAGAATCTTTTTTGAATTGAAGATATAAGTATATTTTTATATACTCATATCTCGACGTTTTAAGGGTATAGTCCACTAAAAATTTTTAAGTTTTGACAATGAAAATAAGCTCTGTGACCATGTAAATATATATCTATGCAAAACGAGAGGTTATGCCATAATTTTTTTTAGTTATCAAATTTTCCTTTTTTTGAGAGAGGTCTCTCAATAATTTGAGAAGAATCTTTGATATAAAGAGATACACATTTGTAGAACGAAGTAAGTGTTTTCCAAACATTTTATATGTTCATCCTGTATAACAATATAAAGCTGCATAGTGCCATCTTGTGCGTTTGCTATTTTATGTACTTTTCATTGAGATAATCCCTCTTCTCGGGTGATTTTAACAGTCAACTCAATTTTAAAATAAAGATTTCATCAAAATGATTTCGAAATTCGGATATTGATTATATAAATAGCACTGTTAACATATTTTGGATGAGTAAAAAATACCTTGTTTTGTATGCATTGAGTACACCTTTATTTTTGATTAAAACTATAAAATTTTTATTCCTTATATAATAAATAGTATATGTTACATAAACATGAAATTCAATAGCATTCAATTTTGGATTTTTTAGATTTGGTAAATTTTAGAAGAAATAAAATCAGCAATCAAAATAAAGAAACTTTTTTTGTATCTTCTATGATTACCTTTTGGTACTAAATTTTGCATTAATAAGTAAATTATCTGTATTATTCTGTGAGCACAAGCCCTCAGTTATGCTGGTAGTGAATGATGAATCGTCATTTTGCGAAGAGAACGCGATTATTAAGGTAATTTTGAGAATTGTCTTGAATTATTTAAAATTAAAGTTAATTGAATAGGTAGGATAACTAGCCTTTGCTAAATTTGTATAATTTGACCTTATTCTAGTTGGATCTGAGAATATTTTGCTGAAATAATAAATTATATCGCCGATTTATGAAAATTTCTCTGATGGGACCGACTCGCTGAAACGTATTAGTGTTAATGGTAACTTGTCTGAATTTTCAAATTTTTTTCGAAATCCAAAAAATCACAAACAAAAGCATCAAAATTAGATTTGCATTTAAGGTTTTCATTTTTTTTTGGAAAATAAAAATATTTTTCCCCAATAAAGTTTATTTTTACTTTTGAGAGGAATAGAAACGTTATTTTGGAATTTTGAAACGACAGAAATGTTCCATTTTTAATGTAGATTCTAAAATGGGGTCAAATTTTTGATTGAACCGTTATCCATTGAAAAACCTCGATTTTAAAATGTTATTCCAAAATATTCATCTAATGATATAGTATATATTTATTAATTATTACTTTTTATTCAATTTTCACTTTTGGCGGGATTTCATTTTTTTTGTTGTATGGGCCATATTGTTCACCCAAAACGGAAAACAAAGGCAATGCATAACATTTTACTCCACGAACGTCGTCGACTCTCAGCGCGACAGATGCTTGGTGCTTGCATAATGACCGGAATGCCATATACAAAAGGTGCTCGCTTTCTTTCTCTTTGTGGAACTAAGCCCCCTGTGAAGAGTGGTGTCATGAGACAACAGAGATTTTGTGACGATAAGATTAGAAGACTTAAAAGTATTTCCCTAATGCTGTCGAGAAAGTCCTTCAGTGGTTACTTATCCATTGATGCAAGATGGACGCACAGGCGAAACTCGCCAAGTTGTACAGTAACTGCGCTCGATGCTGTCACAAAAAGAGTTCTTGCATGCGTGAACATCAACCATATTGGTGGAAACAGACAGCATGCTCAGTATTCCGGAGCTTCCAACAATATGGAAAGTGCTGGAACTCGAATCATCTTGAAGCAATTAAAGAAATACAATATCTTGAAAGATGTTAAAGAGATTATTAAAGACCGAGATAACAAAAGTGTCTCTGTCTTTAAAGAATTTGGCGTCTCTCATCTTGAAAGATTCGATCCAGGTCATGTATCAAAAAATATCTCAAAAGATTTTACAAAGTTCTCAGCTTCTCATAAGACAGTTGAAGTTTTCAACGACAAGACTCAGAAGATTGAAAAAATAGAGAGACCTTTCTGGGGTCTGAATGCAAGCCTAAGTATGTGGCTTTGGTCATGTTTTGCCGAAGAAAATATTGACAAACGTACGAAAATGTGGGAGAATTGTGTCTACCATTACGTAGGCAATCATTCTTTTTGCGAACCGCACAATTACAAATGCTTTGAATGGCAAAAAGATGTCAATTCGATCCAACTTCAATTCATGCTCTATGACTGGGTTCACAAATGGACACCCATAGTTTCCAAAGTTTCTTCCATTGGATCTACCTGCATGAATGAAGCGTTTAACTCCAAAATTGCATGCTATTTGGACAAATCAAGAGCCTGGAAGAACATTAACATTAGAGTTAACGTTGCAATCTTAGAATGGAATGATCCAGAGCATTTTCTCGGAGATATACAAAAAGCATTACATCTTTCCCCACTTCCAGAAGATTGTGTCAAATCATTTGAAGAGAATTGTTACTCCAAAATGATATTGAAACAAAAAACTGTTACAAAAGGTTCTAAAAAACAGAACAAATACAAAAAATCCATTCAGAGTGTACCAGGAGGAGATTATCAAGTTTTCAAGTCCGAATGGGAATCAGAAGTTAGTATGGTTATCTTGGGTATGGTGGCACTGCGTTCCACCTTACCCAAGATAATGGTTTGACACTTTACAAAACCGTTAACGTATATTTTACAACACAAACGACAACACTAACTTAACCTTAAATATTTACAAAACCACCACCCACTTCACTTCACTAACGAACTCACTAATGTAAAAAATAAACGTTCTCACTATCGTTCTCACTAACGACTTCACTAATGTTCTCATAAATTTTCCTCAATATCTTCATCATCAGTGTTAACCCTATTGTAGTCATACTTGAAGCCATAAACTTTCTCTAACTTCTTAACGTACAATTTACATAACTTACCTTCGTCATCGTATGGTTTAATGATATAACTATTTCTATCTTTATACACAGTCAATGAAAAGTCAACTGGTCTCGGATGTATTTGAAAGAACATGTTATGCTCAGGAAGGAAGAATAAATGTTTAAATGTATGTTTGTTATACTGTGGAATTCGAATGAGTTGCTTTTGTTCTGTCATTTACATCCAAATAAAAATTTTCAGTAAAATAAAAATAAACTTAAAAATTAATGATATCACCACTCCCACACGTATGAAAACATAGCGCAAAAATATATTTAGGTGAAGTGGTGAGATCTCACCTGTTTTTTCACCTGTTTTTTCACCCTGTTGAATTCATTGTTTTATAACTCTCTTCCTTTCTCCAACTCTTCTAACTTCTTCTTAAGTTCAGCAATGTTGTCCTCATGAAGTTTAATCTTTCTCAAAATTCCTTCTTTATCTAATGGTTGCTTTATCTTTCTAAACTGAACTCTACCATCCTTCATAGTATGAATGTAAAAACCTTCTGGAATAGTTCCTGATTTAATGTATTCTACCAAAAACTTTTGTTTCATTGCTTCAGTGACTTTATTTGTCATTTCAATCAAATAAAAATTTTAATATTAAATAAAAATAACGTTATTTTTTCAGTAAGGAAACGCAGGAGTTTTACGATTTATTTGAGGAGTAGGTTCTGGTTTAAATGTTGGAGTCGGTTTAGGAGTTGACTTTTGAACAGGAGTTTGTACTTCCATAGGTTCAGGAGTCATTGAAGGTTTTGCTTGTGAAGGCGTTGGAGTTTGTTTAACTTCAGCTACTTCAGTATTATTTACAACATTTGCTTTATTTCTTTTCAACATCATAACTGCTCCTGCTGTAGCTAGCAAACCTAGTGGGAGACCATATTTTATATAAGGACTTGACCAAATGCTATTTTTGACAGGAGCTGGTGGAACACCTAACCTTGGTGAGACTGCTCTTTGCCATTGTGCAGCTCGTAAGAAATATTCAATAGGTGCTCCATAATCGTTTGGTAAAGTTTGTTTCACAGATGGTGAAGGTTCACGAGAGCTTGATGAAGAACTCATTTATAAGCTTTAAAAATAAACGTTCATCCTTTATTCCTCACTGTCGTCCGTAGCTAAGTTATAGTCATCTAATCTTATTATTGGGATTCCATTAGCACGCACCTGAATGGCAAAGCAACAATCCCTCATAAATCCAATAAGTGGCTTTGGTACATTTTCAGTTGCTAGTTCAATAGGTCCTTTAACAGACAATTTGTATGTTATTGGAGCAGTAGATGTTTGACCTTGCTGGAAGCAAAAGTCCACTTCTGTTGGAAAACCACATAAGAAATGTGTGTTGTCATAGCTATCCCATTTATGTTCCACACTACCATCATCCACCAATGACCTCATAACATCTTCATTAAATCCTATCATATCATTGTTTGTATTGCAAGCGTTCGCAACCATTTCATAAAATACAGGTCCATATGATTTTTCAGGTTCTGCAGGCATATTTCCATAAGCTCCCATGGAAAGCTGAAGATATTTAAACTTAGGGTTCTCAAAATTAACATAATAGTTGTCTTTCTTTCTAAATAGTGCCCAAATACTTTTAACATTAATAGGCGTATAAGCTGCTGTAAATGTTGCACTTGAACTATCTGTATTCTTTGAGAATGAACCGTCCATAGGAATCCAATCCATAACTTTAACAGGAAAACATAAAGCCTCGTTTGTATAATGTTCTACAAGTTCTGTATAAATGTTAGGGTCTAAAGAGAATGACTTTGGATGAATGAAACATTCATTAAAATCCATCTTTGTTCGAAATAGTTGCTGGGTTACAGTTGTAATAGTAACTGTTCCACTAGCTTCTACTGCCTTCGTTATCATAGTGAATGGTTCATTCCATGGAACAAATTTATTTGTCGGTGGATTTGAATCTGAAGCAAATGCAACTTTAAGAGTTGGATTGAAAGCAATGATATCATTTACAGATATAGATGTGCATTGTAAGGCGTCGCTACTGAACTTTACTTTAAGCTGAATGTTTCCTGCAAAAGCTGGAATAAATCGAATAGCTTCTAATGGAAGGAATCTTCTAACAGGAATTCTTAAACGAAGCTTAAAATCAAATGATTTTCCTGCTGTAATTGGACCACTAACAATTTGTCCTGTTCTGCATGTTCCCGAATGACTCCATACATCTTCATGTCGAGTCTTTGAGAAAACATCTACTTTCTTTATTTGTTCGGTAGTTTGTGAGTTTGAAGTTATATATGCTTCTTCTCTTGCGTTGTCTTGAGAATATACGATACGGCCATTTGCAAGGATTTGATATCCAGCAACTGCATAGAAAGCGTCATCGAAACCAATCCAAATCCTGGTGGGTTTGTTTTATTGGAACCTGAACCAATTTTTTATCTACAATAAATTGACCTTCCATTTTATACGTAATGAATGTATTGTAAAGGTCCAACATATTTTCACCAGGAGGTGAGAGATTGAATGTTACCCATGTGTTATCTTTAGCAGTTCCAGGTTGTGATGGAATCTTTGCGTCAGAATATTTTCTATTAGTGTCACCAATTTGAACTGCATTGTCTATGATATCGAAATATGAGCGAATCTGATGAATATGCTCTGCTGGAGTAAATTCGTTTAACTGTTCGTTCTGCATGTATTTACTTCGATAAAAATATCTATTTACTTCATTATTCTCACTCTTCTTCTTGGCATTCGTGGTGGATTGTTTCTTGACATTTTCAATGAACTGTACATTCTCTTTTGTCTCAACTTCTTTCACTGGTGGGTCAGGGTTCTTTGACTCGGTTTGTTTTTCAATGAAATTCACGAACTTTGCAATAAGCTCTTGGTTCGTTATTGAAAGTACATCTGGCTTCTTTTCTTCTGGTTCTATTGACTTTTCAGTTTGAATAGAAGGCTTAACATGGGCTTCGTGGGCTTCGCCCTTGCCATACACCTTAATACTGTCGCTTTCTGCATTCGTTAATGGAACCTTTCTTTTTCTTACGTATATTTTACCATCTTTACTCTGACTTACGTAATAGAAAGGATGTTGTATTCCTCTTGCGTCATTTAATATAATAGACTCTCGCTCTGATTTTGACAAGCTCATTTTACATCGGTTAAAGTTTTAATTTTGTTTTTATCTGCAGTCAAATGACTCAGACAAGCCCTACGAAAGACCCAAGGGGTCATAGATGTTGAAGCATTGAAGAAAGAAATTCATGAGCAAATTTTATCCGAACTGAAGGAACAAAAACAAGAACAAAAGCCAGAGAGACCAAAGAGAAAACTTAGTGAAAAACAACTTGCTGCATTAGCTGCTGGAAGACAAAAGAACCCAAGACTACTGGCGAAAAAAGCTAGAGAAGAAGTTGAAGCAAAAGCTAAAGAAGCTGAAGCAAAGAAAGAGTAAATGGTTTATTTTTATCCGAATTAAATGTATAGACAAATACCTTTATCTGTTGCGTTCAGTAGTGAAAACCCTGACGTCAAAATAAAGGGAACAGAGTAACGTTTAAGTTTCCAACAGACTGGATTGTGAACATAAATGAAGAGAAGTACATTGGCATAACATCTATGTATATAACACGTGCTTTCAGAAAGGTTGACTTTATACTTCAAGTCGAGATAGAAAATGACGAACAGTCTTTAAGCGCCCAAAACATTCACATATACAAATACTTTAAAGACGATACAACATTGCAACAATGTATGATTTCATTTAATGAGATGTTCGAGAAAAAGTTCAACATTGAAGTACAAACTTTACAGCCTTTACGTGAGTTTCTTGCACAACTGAAAGAAGAAGGTAGTCAGCCACAACTTATAGACTTTCATTATGAATTTAATGAAAATGAAGATGGAACACATGACTGTCAGTTTGTTGTATTCTCACCATTCAATGAAGTCGCTAAAAAGAAAGAAAATCCATTACGTATAAGATTTCAAATCTCTGAACCAAGTGATGATTTCAAGAATGTTTTCAATTATGATGCAATGCTTCCGAGGAAAAATGAATTTTCAAAGATTGTAACACCTGGAATTTGGGATAGAAAGCAAGCTATATTATATTCAAACTTAAGTAAGGGAGTTGAAAATGAGTTCATTGGTCATACAAGAACTTCACCACTTCCTAACCCTAAATACTATAAATTAACTGGCTTCAATCGTGAGTTTTGGATAGACATGTTCTCCACTCATGACCATAACTGCCCGTGTTCTTACCTCCAGACCATAAGGACTGTCTCTACATTGAAGCACAACTCTTAAACTCTACCATCGCAGTATTGTAAATGACCACATGGACTTCGCCCTTGCCGCTAGTTTTATTTTTATCACGAATGACCTCATTGCTGACAAAAATAAATGACCTCAGAACTTCAACTTACGAATAAAGCTTGTTTTAGTCGTTATTGAGAAGTTAAACTTCTCTTCAAAGCAAGGTTGACATGACTTACATAAGTCGAATGCAATCTCTTGACCGTCATAAAGTGCTTTATATAACTTCATAACACTGAACTCAGAGTCTTTGTTAAATTTTCCTTGCGGAACCATTAAACCTTTATCTTCATTATAGAAACACTGAACAGAGTCAGGAAACATTTCATTAGCGGTTAAAGCAATAACATCTTGCTTCACGCCTTTCATTCTGCAGTGAAATGCAACTTCATTTAAATCATTCGTGAGTAAGTCTATGTAAGTCTTCTTTCCACAAAATATTGACTTGTATGCTAAACTTTGTTTATCTTTTGTGATTTCTGCAAAGTCGCTATGAAATTGACCAAGGTTTTTACCAATGAGAACTCTTCCATAACGTTTCTCAAACTCTTCAGCTAAACGAGGGATATCTTCATTGTAGAGATGCATACTGTCCGTATCGCTATAAAAGATGTCCATTCCTAAGTCCTCAGCAGTACAGAATACTTCGTTCATTATTCTCTTCGACATTGACAGAATGTTAACACCAAGTGGACAGAAGTTAAAGTGTCTGCAAATGCTTTTCGTTAGCTTGAAAATAGTTTTATCTGAACCATCCAAACCTTCGAACTTCACTATATGGTTGTAGTTTCTGATGGCATATCTTATAGCATCTTTGTCATTTACTATGGTTATTTTTGACTCAATAGGAGATAGAATAGTTTTGCCATAAATACTGTTCAGAATGAGCTTTATATTTTCTTGCAAAGGATTTCCTTCTTTCTTATACTTTAACCTTAACTCAAACAACTTCTTTACTTCATCTCTTATTCTAATATCTCTGTTTCCATCGTAATAGTATCCTTGCAACACTTCACATTTGACACCTTGATATTTTATGAGGTCTTGTAATGTTATATGGTCAACATACATTAAACAGCAAGTGTTTGAACTTCTGGGAACGTTAAGTTCTGGATTTAGTTCAGGGTCACAAACTATTAAAGGAAAGTGTCTATGTATTCCAATCTCTGTTATCTTAATGAGAACAAAGAAGCCAGACATAAACTTTTCACCAATGGGTTCCTTTTGGTCGTCATCGAATAAATGTCTCATGAGATACTCTGTGCTTAACATTTCTTTCTTCATAACCTTTGGAATACCTTCTAAAGTATAAAGTCTTGCTATAGCTGATGGATATAATGAAACAGCGTCGAAGTCAGCAATGAGTTTCTTTTCGCTCTTTTGTTTAATGTTATCTGACAGCATACATCTTCCACCTTGAATACAGCGTGAAATAAATTCTCTTGGTTTATTTGAGAGGTCATATAAATTTCCATTCGGGAAGTACACTCTGTTCTCAAATAATTTGTTAGCAATTGAACAAATACTAACGTAGTCATAAACGTTTAAATCAAATTCTTTCAATATGTCATTGCGGAACTTAACAAAACCTTCTCTTAAAATTCTTACATCTTGTTTGCAATAATGTGCTATATTTTCTAAGTCGAAGTGGTTCTCATCTATTCTGCAACCTTTGATGGAATCTATGTTTTTCATGAATGTATCCACATCCTGGATAAACTTACATGCTTCAGAAATGACACCAGTTCTGTTGTCATTTGCTAACAAAACACTGCTGTAGTAGTTGTATGGAAATACTTCTTTCGGTCCTGTTTGTAAGTTAAACATAGCAGGAAATAGTTTAAGCTTCTTATTTATAACACTGTAAGAGTCTTTTATAATAATTGCCCTTCCTTTATATAAGCCAGTTATTTGCATTGTTCGTGAACCTTTAATGATGGGAGTTCCTTTCACTTCTGTCATGTGTCTTAAGATGAAGTTTATATCATAACTGAGGTTATGGAAATATATTAAACTCTTGTCAGGAAGTCGTTCCAAAAATTCTGTTGCACAGTTCTGACCCCAAATGCTTTCACTCACTGAACCATCTTCACTGTCGTAACAGATGTTAAAAGCTTTATGAAAGCCATCGGTACTGCACTCAAAGTCAGCAAAGAAAACGTGCTCAGGAATGAACTTGCACTTATTTTTATTTACTTCTTTTGACTCGGCTTTCTTCTTCAGTTGTACACAATACTTTGGAGCATATGTCAAATCTTTAAATGGTGCAAGGTTCTGTTTATATAAGTCAGTAGTATATGTGAAAAGTTCTCCATAATCCCAATTGTTTTGAATGTAATTATCAAAGTAAACATTGATTTGTTTAGCATCTTTTAAAATTGGTTCAAGATGTTCAACTAGTTTTGAAATTGAGTAAAACTCAGTCATGCTTTTTCTACAAGTAAAAAAATTAAATTAAATCAGAATCTGAATTGTTTACTTAGAATCGTGCTCTTATTTTCCTTCTTGTTTCATTACAGAACTCCACATATTTATCATGGAGTTCACATGTCTTCATTGGGTACTTAGCTCTAGTGAGGAACATTGAGAGCCAGATCTCTGCTTCATCCCTTGGTACAAAGAGAGTGCATACGAATGCTTCCCAGATTTCATCTTCAGTCCATTGTTTATCAGGGTCTTCCTGACTAACAGTCTCGAAGAACTTGCGAACACGGTCGTTCTCCATTAAAAAATGTCAAACCGTTTAAAAATTAAATGTTTACTTAGAAGTCGTAATGTTTGAAGCAAATTCCTTTATTGAGTTTGATAAATAACAGCAGTAATGTTATGAACTGGATCACAACAATCGCTGCGATTAGTACAATACCAACAATTTTGGTTTTATCCCAACAACTCTTCTTTGCTACTCTTGTTTCTGACCTTTCTGAAGCATCAGTGTTGAAAGGATTGTTTGGATCTTGAAATGGGTTAGACATTTGAAAAAATGAAATGAAAAAAGTGCATGACCAACGGTTATTTTTAATAAAATGACATCCTTTATTTTTAATGATTTACTGAATGTGATACAAAAATAAGTAATAATACCTCTTTTTTAGCTTGAAATTTCAATTCTTGAGATTTAATTTTTAATCTTGGTGTTAAAAGAGGTGTTGTGAATGGTGTCAAGACTGGTGTTGGAGGTGGTGTTGGACGTGGTGTTAGAAAAGGGGTTAAAGGTGGTGTTGGACGTGGTGTTCGATCTGGTGTTGTAGGTGGCGTTACAGCTTGTAAAAATATAAAAAAGAATTCACGAATCATTAGTGAGAAAGGAAATATCGGTAGCGATTTTTTCAGAGTGTTTATTCAATATTTGAGATCATGAATGATCTGTCACTTTTTATAACCGAATGTTTTTAAGTTGGTCATAAAGCATAAATCCTCGTGCAAGTGAGATAATAATATCATTTGGATTATCTGATTGAATTATTTGGTCATATGGTGGTGACCAAATTTCTTTGTCATTAGCATAGAAAGCGCATGAAAAGACATTATATTCCGGATGAAATTCAACAATTGCAGAGAAACTCCGGTCTGTTGAATTTGTTTATTCAAATTAGAAATGTCACTTTTTCCACTAATGGAGAAGAGAAAGATCAAGAAGATAGTAGTTGATGAAGGAACTGAATTCGAGAAGATATTCAACTTTGACGGTAATGGTTGGTTCACAACTATTACTGATAAAGATGGAGAACATTTCAGACCCAGAAAGGCACCAAGAAAACTTCAAGATCTGATTGAACCAATCAATCCAAACAAACCAATCAAACAAAACAAACCAAAGCAAACATCGGAAACATATCCTATACCAGAAGTCCATGAACCAGAGAGACTTTTGATACCAAGACCTGTGGATGACAAATATGATCCAGATGAGTTCTTCCCAAAAATACCTAAGTTAGAATAAAAACTCCTTTATATCTTTAGTATGATATAATAAGTCAATTAATAAGCTTTGTTCTCGTTCTGTTCTGGTGTTTTGTCTACCTTTCATGGTCTCGCAAAGTAAGATCATGAACTTCTTCTTGAGATACTCAAAGAGCTGTGGTAAGTTATCATACTCTGGGTATGTGGGAAGCATGCCTGCTATCGTAAGGGTTGTATCAGCAAGGATTGGGGTAATATCTGAAAAATCTACCTCCGGAGTAGAATATGAAGGTAAGTCTCTAACATGTATGTAATCATTGTATGATTGTCGCATAAGATTGAGTTTCTGAAGAACAATGATAAGACTTTGACTTTGTCGTTCAAGTTTGTTTAATGTTCTTTCCAAACTTCTGTAATAAACGTCAACCTCTGTAAGAGCTTTTAATTTTGCTTCAGTCTTAGAGATCTTTTCTTGAACTTCACCAAGTTTGATCTGAACTGATGTTTTTGCTCCCATCATGTTTTCATCAAGGTCATTCTCTATGTCATCAATGATATCTTCCCATGGAGTCGATTTGTCATCATTGATCTTCACGTGAACGCTCATGAAAAAAATTCAAAAAAGTGACGTTTGTAAATGAATGTGTTTACTCTTAAGCTTCTTCTTTCTCAACTTGAAGATCTGTTGGATTTAATGTTCCATCACGTTCAACCAGAATGTTTTGTTCAGGTCTTTCAAGGAGTTGCCTGTAAATCGTAAAGGTTTCAACAAGACCTTGGTATGGTATCTTAAGATCTATGTTCACCCATGGGTGTTTCGTTAAGAAAGCAGCAAGTGTGTCAAGCTTTGAGTCAAGGATGTCGCTTTTCTCTGTAAGACCTTCTTCAAAGCTTAAAATTACTCCTGCTGCAGCTTCAAGTCTTTGGATCTGGCGTCTTGAAACTTTTGTAAGTTGGATTGATTTATTGGTACTGAAGATTTGTAGGAGATAATTCGAAACAACTTCGTTGATCTCAAGCTGACAGATCGGATGAAGTTCAGACATGGACAATTAGTACTGGTATTTATCGTTCCAGTACTTTACGTGTCAGTACAACATGTGCCGGTACTTTATATGCCAGTACTTTACGTGTCAGTACAACTTGTGCAGGTACTTTACGCGCCAAAGTATTCAAATTTGAGAGAAATGGCACAACTTGTGCCAGTACTTTACGTGTCAGTACAACTTGTGCCAGTACTTTACGTGTCAGTACAACTTGTGCAGGTACTTTATGTGCCAGTACTTTACGTGTCAGTACAAAATGTGCCAGTACTTTACGTGTCAGTACAACTTGTGCAGGTACTTTACGCGCCAAAGTATTCAAATTTGAGAGAAATGGCACAACTTGTGCCAGTACTTTACGTGTCAGTACAACTTGTGCCAGTACTTTACGTGTCAGTACAACTTGTGCAGGTACTTTATGTGCCAGTACTTTACGTGTCAGTACAAAATGTGCCAGTACTTTACGTGTCAGTACAAAATGTGCCGGTACTTAACGTTCTAAACCGTCGGACCAAATGTCCCAAGACCAACCTGCGACACCAGCTCAAGCAGCACCGACACCAGACATGATAACAATGATGATGCAAATGATGCAACAACAAACACAGCTTATGCAACAAATGCAACAGGAGAAACCTTTATGGAAACCTACAAAAAATCCTCAAGATCTTGAAGCAGGACTCAATGCTCTCAGGAATGATTACAAGCGTGAACGTATGACCATGAAGAAAGGTGAAGAAGATTACGATCCGATCGAAGAAGACGAAATCAAGTCAACAGCTTCGACAAGAACACTACAAGCAGAGAGGGAACAAGACGACTTCCTCCTTAAGTCCCAAAGACTTTACGTTCTCGAGTTCTTTACAGTCCCAGCATTGAGATCAATGCGCAATTGGAAAGGTCGTGTTTCAATGGGTTCCAACAGAAGAGAACTCCTCATGTCCGCCATACTTCTTGTTAAAACAAGGGCAGAACTTATGGACTTCATTCTTTCATCATGCCCCGATGAAATCTAAGTTCAGAGTAAAAAACTTACATTGATTAAAATTACTTTTTATTCATGACCTGCAAGACGTCTACGATAGAAGTCTATGAGAGCATCGTAGATCTTGATCGTAGGATTGTGTTCGTCTCTAGGAACCTTAAGGTATTCCTTATATGCTTCAACATGTTGATAAGAATAAACTAGAGCATCTTTGAGTTCTTCAAGTTCTTCTCTTTCTTTAGGTGTCATTGACTCCATTAGACAAAATAAAAAGTGACAAAATTAAGTATTAATAAATTAATTGTTTATTCTTTTTTCTCGTACTTCTGTGTAAGATTTCCTCGGAAGAAGTCAAGCAACATTTGGATCTTTCCAAGCTTTCGACCTTCTTTTACAAGATCATCTTGGTAAGCTCGGAATGCGTCAACGTGTGAGCTAGCGTAGAATGCAGCGACAACAACTTCTTCTGCGCCTTCTTTGCTGGCAAGTGGTATGAACTCAAATCCTTCCATTAGAGTAAATAAACTGTCAAAACCGTTCACTCTGACCACTTCACTTTTAATGTCATCTGTTGAAGGGATTATGAATTTGGTTAAGCAACTCAAATTAGACATTGAGACAGAGATAAAAGAACATAAAGTTGACGCAAGGTCTTTGCGTAAATTGGAAGAATCAGTAAGTTATCTTGATGACATGATGAATTCTCTTGATCAGATCAAACGTGGAACCGGTACAAACATGAAAGAAAAAAAAGAATGAATAAATGATTAAATTTTTTATTCAATTGTTTTTAAGTAAGTCTTGAGCATCATTTGCTGTTCTTAAGTATTGAATGTTAGTTTGACGATTCAATTATCATAAGACGAAATGGTGGAAGTGAACTCAAAATAAGAGTAATTAGGTTATTTTGCCGACCAAATATATTTACAAGGCAAAATATCATATTACATGTCAACCTATTATCAGTATGTTTTGATAAAAACAATTTTATCAAATATCATATTAAAATTAACATCTATATCTATATCAAGATCTACACTATAAATTTTTTTATTCAATATCATAGATTTCAAAAATTTATTTCAATTTTAAATTAATTTATGGTTTTCATCAAAATTGTTTTTTATTAAAAAGCATGTTTCACAATTTTTACGGTTTCTTTCAAAAGTTATAAAAAGAGAGTCAATAAGAAATTTCAACGCTTCAAGAAGGAATCAAAGAAATTGACGAAGTTCCAGAATTTTATTCAACAATTCTTAATCAATTAACAAAAACTATACTGAAACTTATCTTACCATCCAAATCAAATCACATTACATACGGAATAAACATTTAATCTTTTACCATTAAAATTATATTTATACGTTATTTAATTTTTTACGTCTAAGTTGAATAGGATAATAGCCGAAGATATAAAGTAACTATAGTTTACAAGCTAAGGAACAAATCAGCATTGAAACTAAAAAATGCTGAAATATTATAATAAATTGAAGAAATACTGTGATAGAATACCTAGTTATACTAGATACTATTATAATATGAATTCATTTGTATTGAATATCGATTAAAATAAGATGGAACGTCAATTTGACAGACTCAAGTTTCGAATTAGAGACCAACTTTCATCAGCATAGTATATGTGCGCAAACTACTGCATAATGGTATGCTTATCTTTTCATTTTAAAAAATAACGTATTTGAATAATTTCGTAAAAAATTAGAATTACTCGATATTAAGCATATTGCTTTTCTATCATATATGCTTATATTCTACAATAGTGTTACCAAACATCGGGCAACATCATACGTATAATACAACTTTTTAATACTTGAACGTCAATTTGACAGACTCAAGTTTCGAATTAGAGACCAACTTTCATCAGCATAGTATATGTGCGCAAACTACTGCATAATGGTATGCTTATCTTTTCATTTTAAAAAATAACGTATTTGAATAATTTCGTAAAAAATTAGAATTACTCGATATTAAGCATATTGCTTTTCTATCATATATGCTTATATTCTACAATAGTGTTACCAAACATCGGGCAACATCATACGTATAATACAACTTTTTCGTACTTCTTTATCGAATTTAAATAGAACTAAGTTTTTATTTTAAATAAAAGAGAAATAATTCTAATTTATAATCTCATTATTAATTTATTCTCATTTTAATATTTCATCGATTTTTTATTATCGATATTCAATACAAATGAATTCATATTATAATAGTATCTAGTATAACTAGGTATTCTATCACAGTATTTCTTCAATTTATTATAATATTTCAGCATTTTTTAGTTTCAATGCTGATTTGTTCCTTAGCTTGTAAACTATAGTTACTTTATATCTTCGGCTATTATCCTATTCAACTTAGACGTAAAAAAATTAAATAACGTATAAATATAATTTTAATGGTAAAAGATTAAATGTTTATTCCGTATGTAATGTGATTTGATTTGGATGGTAAGATAAGTTTCAGTATAGTTTTTGTTAATTGATTAAGAATTGTTGAATAAAATTCTGGAACTTCGTCAATTTCTTTGATTCCCTCTTCCTCGCAATACAACTCCATATCATTAACTTGTATTTAAAGGCTTCCATATACAAAACTATATATAATGTTTGAAAGTTAAATCCAATCTTTTTCTATTTCTAAAAAAATTGAGACCTAAACACGAGATAGCTTTCAGAAAATTTTCAGGGACATTTTTAATCATTTTTTTTATTTATTGTAATATCTTTGTTATTAAATTTGAATTGTTTAATATTTGAATGTAAAGAATTGAATAGTAATAATTTTAGTTTTAATACATAGCTAATTGCTAAGCAAAATAATTAATTTATTGTAATTTTGACATGTAAACTAAAGGGGAATTTAGCCGGCCAAATATATGTCACTTTTTGACTTCACCTCACTTCCACCATTTCGTCTTATGACACAATTGTCCGTGAAACTCACAGAAGAACAACATCATTAATAGGAGAAGAATGAAAAGGTTAACACAAAAGAAAACAATGATTGCATTCGTGAGAAAGTTCATTGAGTTCTTTATGTAAGACATGTCCTCGTCGTAGCCCATTGAAAAAAACTAAAAAGTGACATTTTTTAAATGATGAACACTGACAAGACAAGATTTCGTGAGTTCGCAAATTTATTAGAACCCATGGAGAATTACACACCAGTCCAAGCAATGGAGAAATTCAATGAACTTTATGGTGATCGCAACAATCTTAGTTACTTTACTAAGCTTTTGAAGTACTTTATTCAATTCAATTGCGAAACCTCTCCGAATGAAGTCTTTGCTCATAATGAATTCCTTGAACTCATCTATCAGGAATTGAAATTAGCAATTCTAACAAACTTTAAACCAGAAGAATAAAAAAATTAATTTAATAAAAATAACTTTTTTAGTTTGAGTCAATCATATGTCTCTGAATGAACCAATCAACAACGATTTCACCAATTTTTCTTTCAAATAAGTCACGAAAGTTCTTCATGGCATAATCGACAAATGCTTCATTGTTTTCTTTTGCATATTGCCAAGCAGCTTTTCTGAACGACTGAGCATCTTCAAAGTTTAGAACAGTTAACTCTTCACTCATGAAAAAAGTGAAATGACCGCATGGTCTGACAGTGTCATTTTTAGTAATGGATTTGGAATTCAATGTCTTTGCCCAACGTCGAGTCCTTGATCAACATGGTATTACCAAAGAAAAGTTCATTGAAGATGTTGATACCTTATTTGATTCACAAAATCAAGATCAAGATGTAATTGTTAGTCTACCTTACTTGTTGATGGTCAAAGAAAAATTGATGAATAGTTTGAAATATCCTGAATCAGAAATTTTTCGAATGATCTATAATCAAAATTTTATGGGACATTGTTTCTCAGACATGCCATTAAAGGAGTTCCATGAAGAAATAGACAAAGCCATTGAGAAATACTTCTTCTCGCTTCCAAAAGAAGATGAGGTACCAAAAGAATCAGAAGAGGAATCAGAAGATGAACAAAAAGTTTCTTTCAAAGAAATCAATGAGAAACTTGATTCAATTCTGGAAGCCATTGCTGATCTTCAGGATGAAGTTTTCTTGATTGCCAAACATTTTAATCCAAACATGAACGAATAAAAACCTTATCGTTTACAAAACGTTATCGTTTAAAAAGTGTCATTTTTTTAATGAGCTTGGACAAGTTTCATGAATTCTTTCAGTCATGGGTCACTAAGGAAACAGTCACAGTCGAAGAATTACAAAGTCATTTCAAAGAAGTATATGGCAATACTACCCTTACTGATATGGAGAGTATCCGCTTATGGAATTACATTTCCTATTTGTGCAATAAATATCCTCACAAGGAGTATGATTTCTTAAAGTTCGTGGAAGATTTCCAATACATTCTGGAACGAATGGATGAAGAAAAACAAAAACAAGGTCCTGGAATCACCTTAGTATTCTTATGAATAAAAACCTTATCGTTTAAAAAATTGTCATTTTTTAATTTGAATTAAATGAGAACGAGTAAGAAAAAAATTCCATTTAGCAAATTAAAGAAAGTCTTTGATTCTTTAAAAGAAATTAAAGAAATTAATGATGAATATTATTCTGACGATCAATCTTACAAACCTTCAAACAACTATTTGAAAAACTTAGCACTTTTCAAGGATATTTTGGATAAAGAATACACCGGCAAAGCAAAGAAAAAAGAAATTCTTGACTTTTTGGTTGGATCAGAACCAACACCTGAAATCGAAGAACCTCATGTTGACGTTAATGATACTGAAGCTGAAATAGAGGAATTAATGAATATTCCTACAGCGCAGATACCATTAAAGAAGTCCCATGATGAAAGGTTCCAAGATTTTGTTCAAGAAGTTTCACAGAATTTGTTGAACGGTGAATTTGATGAAAGTTTATCCAAAGAAGGTACAGAGTTTGTCAAAAGACATAAATTACAGTTCATGGATTCTAATCTTGATTGTATCGAACTGTTCCATCCATTAGATGAAGTCGCTTTCAAGAAAGTTCTTGCCTGTAATCACTACAAAAAGAAATCCAAAAATATTGAAGACAAAGGTTTGTATACATTATATTATCTCAACAATGTTTCAGATGTAAAGCAGATCTTAGATTACTTGGATGACATTGCAACAAAAACGAAAAGAACATATAAGATCTTATGTGATTTTGGATTCGTTACTGAAGATTCTGTTACCAAACAATATTCATTAACACCACCAAAAGAAGACGAAGTTGAACGTTCAATCCCTTTCACGATCTCAAACATCAAAGACATGAACTCCTATAAACATTATGTTTATGCAAACATTTCTGAGAAGATGGAACAAACACACATGTCTTCAAGAATGAAATATTGTGCAATCACAACAGCTTTGTTCAAAGTTATTCCGTTAAGAAAGTCTGGCGGCAAGTTCCAAGCAAAAGGTTATGCATTCTTGAGCAAATTGAAATGCATCAGACATGTTGAAGATGAAAAAAATTTATGCACATTTAATGCTTTATATTTTCTTTTAAAGGATTAAAGTGTTATATTTTTATTTATTAAATACTGTTGTAGAGCAAGTTGGGTATCCTCATAAATATTATCCAGTGTAATCAACCTATTTTGCAATAAATATACAATTGTTTTGAAATGATTGCATCTGCAAAATATTTCAACAGCTGTATATCCATGGTTGTCTCGTATCCAGAAATTTGCGCCTTTTTCTATAAGTTTGATTATATAATCATCAACAAGTTCTGGGTTTTGCTGGTTTGTGTCAATATAAGTTAAAGCGATTATAGGAAAAGCTCCATAATACCCCTGTACATTTGGATCAATGTTCAATTCGAAATAAAACTCTAAGATTTGATATAATAATGCTTCATAATCCTTTTGTTCCATAATAGCATCTTCTAATAATCCATTTATGTTTTCTTCAAATGTTGGAAAGGTAGTTATTACATATTTGATCCAATCAATATCCAGGTCCACACATTTTAGAAAAAATTCAAACAATTCGTGTTGATGTGTCTGAATCATAGTTTGAACACATTGTCCATCGAATCTAATATTGTTCTTTAAAAATTCATTAATCATATCAAGATTTTTCCCCTTTACTACTTCTCGAAACAAAGATATATCCAACAATTCATTAAAATCTGGCATATTATTCCTAATAAAATTAAATATATTCACTGCACCAAATTTGCAGCATGCTTTGAATGGTGTTATATATTTTTCACAAAAGTACAAACTAGCTGGTAATGGATTGTCGACAATATATTTTTTAAATTCTTCAATATTATCATTAAGAAAGAACTTTTTGATCAGGTAGTTGCACTCAATATTTACAGGTGGATAAGCATCAAAATGTTCAAATAGGAAATTATATTTATCTACCGCTTTGAAATTGGTATCTAATAAAAGATAACCCTGATTATAAAGAAAGTTTTTCATATCTATATGATATTTATTGACTAAAACATTCTTGATTTGATCGAGAAAAACATTCATATCTTCTTCTGGTGTAAGATTAAATAATTTCTCAAAGACATCAATATAATCTGTATATGGTGCTGCGTATGGCACTTTACTGAAATCCATTTATTTAATCATAATTAAAAACTAAAAATAATTTATTATTCTTTCTGAAGGAATTTGAGGGGAAAAATAATCGTCATTTTTTTCAGTTTTTTAATGGCACGCACGAAGATGTTGGCAGCATTACAGAAGATGAAAGAGCAGGAACAGCGCGAGAAAGAGGAAGAAGAAAGGAGAAGAGAACAAGAGCAATGGTGGTCAGAGCAAGATGAAGAGGAAGAAGATCAGGATCAGAATCTGGAAACACCGATGGAACAAGGAACTACAGCACAAATGATACAAGGAACTACTACACAAATGATACAAGAAGATGATGTACAAAAGCAACTGGAACAAGCAAGATCAAATCTCAATCGAGTCACTGAGGAATTGAAGAGAAGCCAGACACATATTAAGGAAACCCAAAGAGAAAACATTGCACTCTACGAAAAGATGAAAGCCCTGCTCAACGATCCAGAGATCAAAAGAAGAACTCAGGAACAAATCAAGAAAGACGAGGAAGAAGAAAAGAGACTTAAACAAGAAGAACTAGAAGCGGCAAAGAAAGAAGCTCAAATGCTCAGATCAGAACTTTGCGCCAGAGACAGTGAAATCAAGAAGATCATGAGGGAGTTAGAAGAAGCAAAGGCTCACACAGATCGAGGAAACAAAAAGGCTTCCTTTTGGATCTCGGACAAAGGACAAAAGATCATTGCAGAGCTGAAATATTACGAAAACCATCAGGTTCCAGTCCCATATTGGAAATACAGAAAGATGGTTCGTGAACTCTATCCCGAAGAACCACTGATGGAGTTCGAAACACCTGATGATGTCCTTTTAAGATTTTGCTTCACGGATTTGATCAATACCTGGCGACACTAAAGAAGGTACAGAAAAGAAACCAGTGCCGGAATCATTTTGGAAGACCTTCAGAGAATAATTTCCAGCCAAATCTGGAGTGAACAATATAACGTTGACCACATATTCCATTAAAAATTTCGACTAAAAACTTAGTTTTACTAATCTTTACACTTTTTTCCGTTTATTAAATGAAAGACAATCAAATCATTGCTGGAGGGAAGAAACTCTTTCAAGAATTTTATAATATTCCTGAAGGAGTTAACCCAGAAACCAGACAGAAATATGTGAATGAAGCCATTGATTCTTATGAAGGATTTGACATCGCGAAAGAATCAGAAGCTCTATGTAGAAAGTTTAAAGTAAATATTGACTATTATTACTGTTCTCCTTAGGAAAAAGAAGATATAAATGTCGAAGATGTAGATTTTGAATTAGTTGAAAGTTACATCGTTGATCCGAACTACAAAACTCTCAACTTCTTGCTTACAAAGAACAAAGACGGGCAGCTACACACAGATGCAATAACAGATGTAGAGAGATTAGTAGGATTTAGAGTTTGTCCTTACTGCAAAGAAGAAGTTTACAGTCTAGTTGATGATCCAGATAGAAAGAATCAATCAAGATTTTATAAACATTGTGAGAAGTGCAAGATGAACGGTGGTAAGTTAATTCAAGATGTACAATTGCAACCAACTCAACAACCTTACGCTCCACACATTACCAAACAGAAAATATATCAGTTCTTACTAGCTTATGGCTTACAAGATTACTACAAACCAACAAAACATTATATTACCTTTGATTTTGAAACTTTAGAAACAACAGAGGAGAAATCAATTACTAAATCAACAACTTTAAATGCAGTGCTCAAACCTTTTATGGTCTCAAGTGTATGTGAAGATGTTACAAAGAACTTTTGTTATGCTACTGATGAAAACTTTATTATCAATTGGATTGATTGGTTATTTGAAAGAGCAAAAGAGGTAAAGGATTTGAACATGAGTCAGTATGAAGAAGTTTTTAGTAAATTGAAAACAATTGAACAAGAAGAAAAATTTCTAAAACTACTTGAAGCTGAATATTCAAATGTAAATGTGATTGGATTTAATTCAAGCAAGTTCGATCTGAATTTAATCTTAAGAGAGTTTAATACTGCACGATGGAAGATTTTGTCAATGCTTGGCTCTTCTTCGCAGTATAAACAAATCACCGTTCATAAGAAAGAATATCCAAATTTGCAATTCATTGATATCAGAAACTTTGTTGCAGGTGGCACATTAGTTCAATTTACTCAAGACTTTGGAGATAATCTCAAAAGAGTTAAATCATTCTTTCCTTATCAAGCTATAACATGGGACAATTGGAAAGAAGAATTATTCAAAACTGAGCCCTTCACTAAAAAATGTTCTTCTCAAGTTTAACTCAACAAACAATTGCAGATGACGATTATCAAATTTACTTGAACGATTATAAACAATTCAAAAATCGTTTAGACTATTTCATCTATTATTGTAACAAAGATGTTGAAATCATGATTAAACCGATCAATAAAATTATTGATGAAACTTTTGTTTATAAAGTTGATATGTTACATAATCTCAGTTTAAGTTCAAATGCATCAATGATCAGATATAGTTTGGCTTACAAAGATTTCAATCCAAGTGAAAAATATCCTGAAGAAGAAAAAGATTCTAATTTCATTTTGTCAAAGAAGTATTGGCAATACAAAGTTGACTGTTATAACAAACAAGATCTAAAAGCAAAAAGAGATATTAAGAATAATGTTACAATTGATGATTTAGATTATTACAGAGATTTGATTTTGAAATCGAAATGTGCATTATGTGGTAAAGCATTTACATATGACAACAAACCAACATTAGATAGAATTGATAATGAATTAGGTCATACAAAAGAGAATTGTCAATTAATGTGTTGCTATTGCAATGTTGTTAAATCAAACAAAGATGAAGAAATAGTAAGATTAAGAGTTAATTTGCGAAACTTTGCAATCAAATATAATTTGCCAATGACATTAGATTCAGTTGAAGCATATCACATCTTAAGAAATGGTATCACGGGTGGTCTATCTAATGTTCAACATCGTATTAATATGAAGAATGTAACACATATTAACAAATTAACTTATGACAATGGTAAAGTTTCAAATCATGACACAGATAATGTTATGACTCATTTTGTCGGTGTTGATTTCAATTCTTTGTATCCTTCATGTTTCTCATCTAATCCTCATCCATTTATCAAATACACTGACCATCGAATGTATATGCCAGGAAGATTAACTAATGTTTTAATTTGTCAATCAACAGCTCAGAAAGCAATAGCATTAGGAATAATTAAGAAGAAACAAGAATTGTTTGTTACAGAAGTTAAAGGACACATTGATGAGAAATACATTAATGATTATATTAACTTCTTACCAATTATTAGAAACTTAGACATTGTCACTAATGAAGAAACAATTGGTTCATTCATGTACAATTACATGAAAACAAATAATATCCCAGTTGATCAGAAACAAAGAAAGTTAACACAATTAGCATCTACTCATGGTGAATATATGTCATTTTCAAGTTATTATTTATGGTACCTCATTGACAGATTTCATTTCATAATTGACGATGTTAAATCTATTTTGACATTTGCTAAGAACACTTGCTTCCATGATTTTGCAAATGAATTTATGAGAGTCAGACAAGAAGCAGAGTTGAATGGAAACAAAGGTAAAAGTTTGTTTTGCAAGATCTCTTTGAATGGATCTTATGGTTATGATGCAATGAACACTCAAAATTATACAAAATCAAAGATATTAGATGAAGATAAAGCAAGAATGGCATGCATGAGTCAAAAGTTCAAGAATATCAGAGAGATTGGTGATAATGTTTATCAAGTTATGATGAAAGATAAATATTATCGTTGTGATACATGTTTGCAAGAAGCATTCTTCACATTAGATAATGCTAAATATTGGTATTTAGTTTTCATTTACGACTTCATGTATAAGTGCATGGATACAAATAAGTTTCATTTCATTGAAGGTGATACTGATTCAAGTTATTGGGCAATTGCTGGTGATCCAAACTTACCAAACACTCAAGCATTTCAAGCAATCATCATTGACAAACAATTTTATGACAAGAACATTTACAAATTTGCTCCTTATGATTTCTTCTGTTTTGATCAAAAATATAAGCCAAAACTCAAAAATAAAATGGAAGAAAAACAACATGAGAAGAAGTTATTAGGTTTAGCAATTGAGAAACAAGGAGATAACATGATAGCTTTATGTCCTAAATGTTATACTTCATTCAATGGTCAGTTGAAAGAAGATGATTTCAAGAAGATTGCAATGAAAATGAAAGGAGTCTCATTGAAACAGAATGAACATTTAACTCCTGAGAACTATTATCAAATATTAAAAGATGGAGTTTCATTTGATGGCAAAAATATAACATTGCAATTAAAGAATGGAATGATGTCAAGATTGTCAATTGCTAAAACTGCATTAACTGGTGCTCATACTAAAGCAGTCTGTTGTGAAAATGGTTGTTGTATGCCATTCATTGCTCACTAAAAAATTTATTTTTAAATATTATCTGCTGGAGAAGCATATTTAGCTGGTGTTCCTGTTGAATGATACTTTAAACCTTCTTCTGGACACCATGTCCAATACGTTGTTCTTGTGAACCACATCTGTGGAGGTGCTTTTGCTTCTTTACAATTAACATCTTTTCCACGTATAATTGGGTTTGCTTGAAGTCTAATAGAAACTTGATTGTTCTTGGTCTCAATACCATCAAAGAATACACTTCCACCATCACGCATTACAGGAATAGTGCAAATAAATGATGTTCCATCTTTCCATGGCTTAATAAATTGTTTATCATTTGCTCTTTCTCTAGTTAAGCTATCCTCGTATTCTTCTGTGCATTCATTAACACCATCTAAATCAGAAGCCTGTAGCATACGAGTAAAGAAGATATCACCAACTGTACTCATTGCATTATCAGGGAAGTTACGTCTATCAATAGTTATTTGCAAGTTCCTTACCATAGGGTTCCTAAACATAGTACGTTGTGATTGTTGTATTGGATACACAGTTATAATATCCGTTACATTATGGAGTGCATATGTAAAGTCACTTACAATACCATTAGAATTCACACATCCGTTATTTAATGTTCTGACGTCAATTTGTTGAGCAGAAATCATAAATGGATCATTGCGGTTAAACAATGTTGGAATTGCTCTTGCTGTGGATTCAATAACACCAAATCCAGGTACAATGAATTTATCTTCCGTAATTTCCATTCCAACAACATTAATGTTAAATTTCTTTTCTTCGGCTCCCTCTTTATACTTAATAATTTCATATTTTACATCATTATCCACCTTTTTAAAATCAGTACTAACCCATTGAGCTGGAGTTTTATCGTTCAATGCTGTTGCAGTTGCTGGTACTTTCAGTGTTTTCTTAAAACCTAATATCAAATCAGTATCTTCACCTATTTGCTCAAATTCTCTTGCATATTTCCAATCTTGTGTTATAATTGTTGAATATTCGTCAGCAGTCAACTTTCCAAAGCATACATGACGTATGTCAGCAACTCTTGCAGGATCAACTTGGCAATATACTAAAGAATATGGTGTATTATAATACTTTAAGATAATATCTCCGAAACTTTTTAGATAGTCATCAAATGCCTGGAAAGCTAATAAATCATTCAATGGAATAATCATATCAAATTCAATATAACGTTCTCTTCCTTGCCATTGTCCATCATTAGGGTTAAAGTAGGTGCCACATACTGAATTATCCATTTTTTGAACATTGTTATACAATGAATGAACAAATTTCTTTGTCTTTCTTTCTGACTTTGGCTTATATGTTGAGTATGCAAAACCTTCTTTCACCATTTCCATTTGCAAATAACCTGTATCACCCCTGTCTGTTTCAACTTCTAACTGTCTAAATATTTGATTACTTGACTTAAATCCAACAAAAATTCTATTACAATCGAGATAATCACAAATATCTAATCTTTTTTCATCAGCAGTTTGATGTGGGAATTCAACTGATGATCTTATTTTTATTTTAACATGACGTTTGAAATAAGCTTCTCCTAAACAGTTAATATCATGTTCAATTTTTGTCAATCTCATGTGTGTTTGTTTTTCAAAATCGTATGGTGCATCACTATCATAGCAAGTATTTTCCAACTCACGATAATAACGACGTCCATCATTGACTGAAAAGATATCATTCATTCTCTTGAAAGATTCGAAAACGTTTCCATCAACTGGATTGTATCCTTCATTTCTCAAATAACCACCTGACATATTTTATTTAGAGATAAAAAAATAAACTTTATATGTTTTTTTAATCAAATAAAAAATGGCAGCAGGATTGTTTAAAAAAATATTCAGTATGAAACCTAAAGTTATTTGTAATCTTGGTGTGAATTGTACTAAACTTAAACAATTTTGACCACCACCAATTTCTAAAAATATTCCTTCACCAGTACTTAAACCAATTCAACCAATTCAATCAATTCAACAAAAACAAAATTATCAAAATGTCCAAAGAATCGAACCTATCTTAAAGTAAAGAATCAAAAATATTATTTATATATTTTTACCTACTACTTGATTAAATTCTGAGCAATATTACCCACGACTCTTCCTCCAGCTGCACCACCTGGACCGAATAGTGTACCACCAACTGTTGATGCAATTGTTGGAAGTAATGGTTTCACTGCATTTGCAACTGGTTTTAATATTTTATTATTAATCCATCTACCAGCTTTTACGAATGCTCCTTTGATTTTATTCCAAATTCCTGCTGCCATATATCTTTAATGAAAAATAAAAAAATAATATTTAAGCATGAAATCTTGAATTTATAAATTCAATGATAGAATTTACCCTATCTTCTACTGTTACAATTCTTTGAATTAATTCATCTATTTTCATTGTATTTGTAACTCTTGATTCTGGAATAGATTTCAAACTTACTTGACCTTTAATTTTTGTAATTCTAAAACCTTCAATTTTAAACATTTTATTTAACTTACAAGTTGTTAATTCTTCAAACAAATTTTTATTTTCTTCATAAAATTGATTAAATTCTTCAACATTAGCAAAGTTTGTACATTCTTTAATTGGTTTAATTATTTGTAATTTCTTTTCAGGTGGTTTTATTTCTGGTTTATCTTCTTCATCTTCTTTTGTTTCGGTAGAATCTGATTCAATCTTTTTCAAAATTGGTTTCATTTACATTAAAAATAAAAAATTATATTTTTTTGATAAAATAGATAGGAACAGCAACTTCAACATCACCTTCTAATATTTCATCTTCTCCTTCATTTATTTCATCATCTTTTCTAAAAGTGACTAGCACAATTACATGTCCATCTTCATATCTTTGGAACAAACCTAAATGATCAAAGTTTCTTCTTCTCTTATTGAAACGGTGCTTTGTCTTTGATGTGTCCAAATAAACTAAAACTTCATCACCAGGTTGAAATCCATAATATCCATTCTCATATAATCTTTGTTTAACTTCATTTAACTTTTCTGTTTTTCTTCTAATAAATTCCCATTCTTTCTCACGTTGTGTATGCATTTCTAAAGGAGTCATTTTAATTGATTTGTGCCACGTGTTGTTGTAATAATAAGCTAATTGTTGAATTAAAACATCATGTTCACCATCCCAATAATTTTGTCTATTAGGTCCCAGTGCGTTTCTTAAAGTTCTCATCACACTATCAACAATTTTATTATGGAATGTGAATTTTGAGGATGATACATGAAAACTCACGCCATATAATGGATGATAATCAATCTTTTTAGGAACTAGTTTTTGTATCATTCCTTCATTCTTTTTACGACGACCTCTTCTTCTTTGCGGAGGAACATAATTTTCATCAGGAACAAGTTCATAATCCATTTGATTTTCTTATTTTGATTGTTCTGTCATTATCAGTTGCATAGCACTTTCAAAACCAGCATCACCATCACATTTAATCAATTTAACTTTGTGTCCAAAATGTTCAAATTCGAGTTCTGTAAATTTCTTAATAACATTAAATGTTTCATTTGCTTCTTTTGTTTGAACTGGGAATAAATATAAATATTTTGTATTAACATTAATGAACACCAAATATGATGCAACCATTAATGTTTTTCCACCGCTTTGAACAGGTCTTCCATGCAAATGGTCCATCTCCCATGTATCAGGTGTAAAAGCAAATGTTGGTCTTTGAAACTTTTTCTTTAAAACACCAACTTTTGAATCAGGGATAACATCTTCTATTCCATGTTGTTCACCTTGATATTTTTGGATTTTGTAAGCTGTTTGAAATGGGTATTTTAATATTTTATCAGTATCAATTGTTTGATCTTCTTTGTATTCCAACGGAAAACTATTAAAATCTTCATGCTTTGACGCGGGAAGAGAAAATTTTAACATTATTTTAAAAGGAATTAAAAAATGGTTAAATTAATAACCGATGAACAAAAGCGAGAAATAGATCAAATATTATACCAAGCTATTCCTCCTGAAAAGATGGACACTTTACTAGATTATCTGGTTCAAATGGCAGATGAATTTATGAAAATACATGATATGAAAGTAGAAAACGGGGAATTAAAACAAAAATTAACTGACTATAGTGAACAAATAGAAAGATTGAACCAATTAGTAAGTCAAGGGCAACAAAATACAAATTCAGATAATGAACAAGTTGTTCAATTCCAAAGTTATATTACACAACTTGAAAATCAAATTGCTGAGCTTCAAAATCAAATTGTTGAAAAAGATGCAACCATTGATCATAATAATAATAACAGTTTATCACATATCGAAAATTTATCGTCGGAAAATGAAAGTCTAAAGCAACAACTTGCTGCAACAGATATAGAAATTAATCAAAAAGAACGAATTATTGATCAAAAAGACCAAACTATTGCTGCAAAAGATAAAGAAATTAATGATATTAAAATTCAAGATGGTTCTATTGACAGAGCTCAAAATATTGTAAATGGTATTAGTGATAAACTAGATCAAACAATGTCAATTTTAATCACAGATGACGCGGTTACTGATGATGAAAAAGAAGTATTAAAAATGAAAGCAACAAGTTTAGAAAATATTAATGAATCAAATGATGTTGAAATATATATCCAGAATTATAATGCAAAGTTAGATTGGTTAGCCAACTTAGCTCAAGAAGCTTTTCAAGCAAGACGTGCACCAAATCAAGATATCACAAATTATGCAACTGTTGAGGATGATTTCGATAAACACATTCAAAAACTTTCAATTTTTAACGCAAGTTTACAGCTAAGCTTGGCTTCTCACCATATTGTTGATATAAAACTTTATTATTATTTTGTACCAGCTCAACAATGTGAGTTTATTCAATTCAATGATGTTCTTCCTGATTTCATTCATATGCAAGTATTTTATCTGAAAGGTGGTTTATATAATTTTATTTTCCACAATGAGGTACGTGGAAAAAATGAAATTATTGAATTCAACTGTCTCATTCAAGAACCAGCTCTTCAAAAGTTTTGTGATTTCGTCACTATTTTATTCGTGGTCGAACCTAATTTATTATCAAAATTATCAATAACCGAAAACTATCAAAAGCAAAATATTGCACAGAAGGGAATTTTAGCTGAGATTGAAGTACCTGAAAAAATTAGAATCATGGATGATGTTGACAATTGTGCCTTTTATAAGCTTATTGATGATGAATTCAAGCGATGTGATTTTATGGGTCGTTTACTTACTGATGATGGAAAATTTTATTTAGATGAAGACGGTAGACCAACAAATTACATCGAATGGCGTGAAGAAAATCATGAATCTATTAATCCGAAAACACTTCCCTTGCCAGAACCAGGATTACCAACACGTGAAGCTGGAATGGAATTTCGACAAAACATGATTGATGCATTTAATGCCGAAGTTGATCAGAATCTACATACTGATGAAGACATTCAAACATGGAATGAAAAAATAGAGACTTCAACAAGGAATGAAGCATTTGAAAGTTGGGCAGGAAGACGATACGAACCAGAAACAAATAGTATAATTTTACCATCATAGTGTCAAAATTATAGAGTCTTCTTAGCTTTTGCAAATTTCGTCACATAATATTTTTGGTCATTTTTGAGCAAAATTAATGAAGAAATGACCCTAAAATTAATGAAATTCATGAATTTTGCTTTAAAAAACACATACCCTTTTATGAATTTTGCTTTAAAAAACTCATGAAATTTCGTGAGTTTTTAAGGCTTACAAATTTCGTCATCAGTTATTTTTGCCCATTTCTGAGTAAGGGGGTGTTAAGAAATAGGGGTTTTGTTCATGTGGTATCATGAGTTTTGCTTTAGAAAACTCATGAAGGTGCTCAGAAATGACCAAAAATTAATAAAATCATGAATTTTAAGCCGTTTTCTTCATTAATGTTATGAGTTTTTTAAGGTTTACAAATTTCGTCATAAAACCCGCAACATATACTACTAAAATTTGTACGTTTGCTAATCTAAATTCATTTTCATTATTCACAGAATTTCCAGATGTGACTATACAAATCAGACATCATCAAGAATATGCTACCTTTCAATATACTGGGTATAGGTTCAAGCAATTCTTATTTTCCATCCAACCTGATAAATATTTCTAAACTTATTTGATGAAATTGCGGCCATTCCTGAATGTCATATATTTTACTGCTAGAAATGAGTGAAGATAATAAAAAATGATCTGCTAATAGTACAATTTTTATAAGTTATTTGTAACCTTGTTCGTAATCAAATGAAACCCCACTCCAACAATTTTTATATATGACCCAACAATATTTTTGTTGCAACCCGTCTTGATTTTTCAAAATGAATTTCTCATTCATATTACGTATTATCGTCCTAATTGGAGAAATTTATATTAGCTAGTATGAGAACTGTATAAACATACATCTGACCCTTAATGAAAATCGAAAAAGTAGATATTGAATTTGCATCTAATGAATATATTATAGTCTAACTATTGTTAGATGCAATAAACAAATTTCTAAAAAGAATTCTGTTCATATATATATATATAAATATCAATTCATTCTATATTTCTATTTCATTTAGCATATTTTTGTATGGTATTCAGGGGTTTAATCATCTATGTGTTCACCGTTATTTCCAACTAATGCATTTATTTGCTTGAGAAATCAAAATTATGTTCCTTCTTATTGTGATTTTTAATCAAATTTTAATTACTTGGAATATATGGTATAGTGTTAAAAATGGAATTAATATACCGTATAATTTTTTGGAGAAAACTTCCAAATTTTTTTAAAAATTCAAATTTTGAAATTCATTTCCTAAATTTTTTTGATTATTTTTCTACTTTTATGATTTTTTTGGAATAATAGATTCTGTAATTTTTATTTACATTAGCACTATTTTATTAGTACTAAGCTCAGATGAATGATTCCGAACATTATTTCAATTTTTTTCTTATCTTGTTGTCATTGAGCTTTTCTTAATAGATATTCAAAAGCACAACAAATCCCGAATACTTATATAATCAGATATATTGAGTAATACATTATATTTTCAATCAAAAAATTTAGTGTGAAATTCTACAATGTAAATATTTTGAAATATCCAAATATTTGCTCCAATAAAGACATTCTCATTGGAATTTATCAAAATCGTAATTTATTATAACAACAAAAACGAATAACTTAGGTAATTAATGATTTATTACAGCAGAAAAGTATCATATTTTATATAGGCTGCGTGAATTAAAACAATATGTTTGAATATTTTCTCGATTGATTGCTTTGATACAAATTTTGCGAAGTTATTGATAACGTTTCGCAATTACATGTGCTTTAGTTCACAGGTATGTAAGAGATGGCCGATAAAAGCGTCGTCAGAATATTTTGCTATTTTGAAAATTTCAGTAGCACCAAAGGTGATTGCTTTGGATAAGATTCTAAATTGAGCAAGCATTACATTTTCATCATAGAAAAGATCCGATTAACTATTGAATGGAACTGTCGACGAATATATTTATGAGTAAAATTGAAGAAATTACATTATTTGGTAGTGCTAGAGACTACAAAACATTCCAGCAAGTTATTAGTCAGTGGAAGTCACAAGTAGAATCAAGGAAGATTATGGCACTTTTTAACCCATTATGAGAAAACTGTGAATCTTTGCAAGCTCAAGGCATTATAAATTTTATGCGTTACACATTTCCATAACATTAAACCATCAATAGCGTATGGAAGGTCTCCTTCCTATAACCCATCTCCTGAATTAAAAAAAATTTCATATCTTATGTATCACAAAATCTAATTTTAACTACATAATTATAAAAAACAGAGAGAAGCATTATGTCCGATCTCATAAAACTTTATATTTTCCATTATATAAATTGAAAAGTTTGATAATCCAAGAGTTAACTTTTCCGACTTTCAAAAATGAATGATATATACGAAAAATAAACAACAATTTAATACAACAACAACAAAATAATCCAAGAAATTCCGCTAAATACATCTTATATTGAGTGATAGAAAGACTTAACATCTGCATAGCTCATGAGGTGTATTGGTCTGGATTTCGAGCGGCAATGAAGAGGAAGGTAACTTGAAGAACGATTGAGTTCTAAGGTTCCTTTCGGAAGCTGAACTTTTCTCAAACCGAAGCATCTGTTTACGTCTTCAAGTTTTGGTCTGTCAAATGGGTCGAGCTGTAATAAACCCTTGATGGCATCGCGATGAAGCATCTCTTCATTTGAGTCAAGAAGCTTTAATAAATCTTGAATCTCTGTTTTGTATGTGTCGATATTCTTGCATTCGTGGAATGGATATCTTCCATTTACGAGGAAGAATAAAACGATTCCGAAGTTCCACAAATCGGCTGAACGTGGGTTATATGGGGTCTGCTCGACGAGTTCTGGAGCTGGTCTTGGTGTTGTAACTGCGAATTTTGAGCAGAATCTTTTTGGCATTAAAAAGCAATCCTTGAAATCAACAATCTTGACAAGGCCGAATCTATCGAAGTAGATATTCTTTGGATTCAAATTTGATATGTATATACCAGCATTATGAAGGGCTTCTATAGCGCTGAGGATCTGAAGAGAATACATACAAACCTCTTCTTTTGGTAATGGGCAGATCTGTTCTAAGTTCTTTGTCGAATAAGTATTGTGTACTATGAAATAATTTCCGTTCTCTGTGAAGGACTCATACATCTTAATGATGTTCTTATGATGAACTAAGTTGAGGGCTTTTGTCATGTTCTCAAATATTTGTTGGTTTTTAGTCACAGTGCAGAAGAATGTTTGACTGCGAGCATGATTCACCAATTCAACCAATGAGGATTCGTTGTCTTGGCGAACAATGTTCTTGATTGTATAGTTACGCTTATCAACGATCATGGACCATTCGCTAATGTCAACATACATTGTTGAAAATATTCTTATGAAATTGAAGGCTGGAAACCGCAGCTCTTTTCAGAAGAAAATAATCGTATAGAAGAAGTTTGAGGGTTTGAATGAATTATTTGTGAAAGGAATTTTTGAAATATATTGAAACATATTAGCATATATGAATACTTAGCTATGAAATTTCAATATTTTTTTTGGCGAGGGAAAAATTGATAACAATTGAAAGAGAAGTGGAATGGATATATATATGGTAATTAATAGAATTATGATAAAATAGAATTTGAGTTTCTTTCAAAAATTGGCCGAATACCTACTAAAGTGGCTGAATACATACCAAAATGGCTGACCATTGATAATGATCATATATCAAATATAATCATGCATCATATAATTTTGAAAAAAACTTTTGAAAAGAATGCCTATTTCAAAAATTTCAAGGATAAATGATTTACATTAACTTAGCATTTCGATCATAGGATCATATCTCTTTAATATATTTAACAAATAATTTTTATTAATCATTAATTAAATTTTTATTGTCTACCATTTAAATACACGCATAACAGCTTTCTTTATGAAATTTTTAATTATTTCCAATTTTCTATTTCAAAAGTGATGTTTTCATAATAATGGTCTAACAAATATAATTAATCATATTTGAAGACAAAAATATTAAATATTATCCTATCGTTTCATGTTGTATTTTTTCTGAATAATATTTTCAGTCATTATTATTTTTTTTTAAATCCAAAGCCTTCAATACTATGCCATTATTCTTTCTTCGATTTTATCCTCAGATATAGAATTGAAAGAATTCACAAAATTATCAAGTTATTTCGTGACAGTTAAAATACTAATACAACAATTAATAATTGTTTCTCAAAATGATATCGAAAAACCTCTTTTTATTGAATTACACTTTTCATGTTTGACTTTTTTTCTTCTTCACACAGATTTTATTCACAATTCCACAGACCACCAATTTGCATGTATGCTAATATCGCTATTCTAAAGCTATGTAATTTTCATAAAAATCACAAATTGCTAGGAGTTTTGAATCCATTCTTTGCTATTTTGATTTAGTAAGCAGAACCAATATAATTATAGATCGTTAATATTGTAAGATTTGTTATATTAACTTTCAAAACACACAGATTTTCGATAATTTATCTCTTTGGCTGTTATTTTTATTATTGCGAACAATTATGAGTTTTTTTCTATATTGAAACAATAATTATGAATTGTTTATTGATAAAATTATTCAATTCAGTTTCGATATCCAATAAACTGAATTAACGCATCGTAGCTCTGATTTAAATCCCTCAGTTATAGCTTATATGAAACAATATTACTTTCAGGCCCCATTCAGATTTCAGATTTCATTTCCGAATTGTCAATTTTTTACAGCTATATTACCTGATATCTACTGTATTAGAAATATTTGGTATTAGCAAAATTCTCAAGACAACGCAATTCACCAATAACTGCTTTGTTCCGGAAATTATGTCAAATTTTGTCATAAACTACACACATAAATTCATAAATCAATGATATACATTTTCAACAAAAAATCAGATTCAGTACCTTTGAAAAAAGAAATATAATTGTCAGAAATAAAAAACATAAAATAAAATGATTTATCTCCTTTTAGCAATTCAAAATATGACGATCTCTTTAGAAGGAGAGTTAACAGATATCAGTCCAGGGTGGGTTTCAGTACAACTTCCCGAAAACATTTCGGCGATCAAAACTTCATTCGTACCGTTGAACTCAACTTTACGCTCTTTTGACTTCGGTAGATCAAGTATTACGGAATTACCTAACAAATGCTTCTTTCGATTCGTTAATCTCCGAAATGTAAATTTAGAATTTTGCGATAATCTCAAAGAAATACCTATGCTATGTTTCCATGGATGTTCCAACTTAAGCTCAATCGTTATACCGAAAAATGTTCGTTCTATCTACGAAAATGCTTTTACAAATTGTATAAATCTTAAATCTGTTACATTCGCACAAAGGACAGCACCTCTTCATATCCTCAAGTACGCTTTTTCCAATATTGGACTCGATAGCATTGATTTACCTCCAACGACAAAAACTTTGCTTCCAGAATCATTTAACAACTGTCACAATTTATCAGCTGTTAATGTTATTAGTTCTTCTTTCAGGTCAATTGATGGCATAATCTATAATTACAAATTGCGAGTTCTTATTTTTTATCCCTCTGGAATTAAAGAAAAAACATTCACTATTCCAGATTCCGTCAAAGAAATATCTGGATATGCATTCTCAGGCAACCGATATCTAGAAAAAGTAATTTTTAATAAGAATATTGAGCAAATTAAATTTAATGCATTTTCTCTCTGTTTTAATTTACAGAGTGCTGATTTTCCTGAAGGACTGCGGTTTATAGAGAACATGGCTTTTGCATCCTGTTCGAAATTGAGATCCGTAATCTTCAGATCGTCGTGTCAGATCGACAACTTTGCATTCGAAAAATGCAAGTCTCTTTCTAGCATAACTTTTATGGAAGTTAATAGCAACATTCAGAAAAATTCATTTCATATTTGTAATATCACATCGATCACAGCTCCTCCCTCCATGGTGAGTATTTTAGAAGACATAGGCTTTAATAAAACCATTATAAATCCTCCACAAGTTAGAGTTCAGATTCGAATAATAGAAAATTCAGAGATAGAAGGCTGGGTAGCCCAATGATATATTGTATCATGCTTAATATATATTGCGGTTATATTTTTGTGAAATTTCAATATTTATATCAATTTTTGTTTTTTGTGTTTTGTAAAGAATCTATTCTATGTACATATTCTTTTGTTTTATCTCGTCAACAATATCATATAAAAAAGTCATATTATAACAATGTCTGAAGATGGAGCAAATCTACCAGTGAATAAAGATCCATCATTGCTTAGGCAAATGCTGAAAAAAGTATCAGGAAAGAACCAAAAGCTTAAGGAAGAGCTTAATAAACTTCTAGAAGCAAATAATAATAATTTACTTGTTCTAAAAAGCAAAGACGAAGCCATTGAAAAGGCAGAAGTATTACTTACAAGCTTGAGAGATAAAATGAAAGAGAATGAACAAGAAATTAATGCGAAGAACGAAAAAGTCAATACATTGCAAAAAGAAATATCAAAATTAAATGATAAAATCAAGGCATTTCAAGAATCAAACGAGAATGCAATAAAATCACAAGAGCTTGAACAAAAATTGAAACAATTTGAAAAAGATAAACTGACATTTGAGGAACAGAAAAAGAAAATCATACAAGAACTACAGATTAGGAAGGAAAACATTGATAATGAAGTTAAGCAAAACATAAAAGAGAAAGAAAAAGTATTAAATGATCGATTTAACATACTTGCAGCAGAGCAACATAAATTTGAAGTACAGAAAAGTGTTATTGAAGAGATGAAACAGAAATATTTCGAAGAGACCGCACAATTGGAAAACAAAAGAATCGATGTTGAAGTTGAAATCGAAACTACCAATGCAAAACTTGATGAAATCAGGAAGGAAAGACATAAAAATGAGCAAATATTACAAGATATACTCGAAGAAAGAAAGAAAAACGAAGAAATTCTGTTAAATTCACAAGATGAACTAAAATCAATAGAAGAAAAGAAACGTACACTCGAAGAGCAACTCAAAGACTTCGAATCTCGTGCAGAAGAAATCAAGGCATTCGAAGAATCTAAAAAAGACATGGAAAATAAATTAGAAGATATCAAGAAACGAGAACAGAACGTCGAAGCCATCAAACAATCATATGAATCCAAAGTTAAAGACGTTGAACTACTCCATTTGACTCTACAAGCAAAAGTCAGATCAACAGAGATGGCAAGAGAGGAAGCACAGAACAAACTCGATCAGTTACTTGTTAGAGAAGAGCAGGTCGATGATAAGATATCAAAGATGGTCGCTCAAGAGCAAAGACAAAGGATGGACGCTGAAGCAATGATAAAATCTTTACAAAAAAAGATTGAAGAGGTCTGTCAGCAAAATTCTGAGGCAAATAATCGTCTTCATGAAATTACAGATCTTTACAGTACATTAAAATCCCAAACAGAAAGCATCAACAAGGCAAAAGAAGACTACGAAAAGCAATACAATGACATGAAAACGAAATTTGAAAATGCAAATCTTCCAGAACTCTTTGCAACAGCTAACAAATACAAGGAAGTTACAGAGTCTAACGAAAATCTTAAGAATGAAATATCAAAACTCAAAGAAGACATCAAAACTTTGGAGATGAAGAATGAAGCCACCGAAAAGAAGCTTACTGCTGAAATTGCAAGGTATGATGCAAGTACAAAAGGTCATATAGATGGAGTTCATGCTTCTTACCTCAAGAAATCCCTTTTGCAGTTCTTTTTCGCTGATAATAACAAACAGAGGGAATCAATGATCCCTATGATCTTAGATATATTGAGCTGTGATGATAACCAAGTTCAACATGCAATGAAGAACTGGAGAGAAAGCCAACAGATTATCAACAAAGGAATTTGGCCATTTTGAAAGGTTTTTATATATTGTTTGTAAATAAAAATTATTTATCTATCATTAATTTCGTATTTTTTATATCGACGAAAGGTAGGTCCACAAAAAATACGTTATTTCGCAAGTGAAAAAAATTCTCATGAACAACTTCAAGAGGATTTTTCACAGTAATAAAACTCCAAACTTCTCTTAATTGTGGAGAGAAATTGAAGTTTTCTTCATGCATAGTAGTTTAGTACTTTGTATTTACATTAATGTCAGAAACAATGTTGACATATATTCAATTTAAAATCGATGTCATTTATACTTAATAAGAATATATCCAATCGTTCTATTCTTTCAAAATATAAAGCTCTACAAAGGAAATTGTATAGCTTAAAATTTAATAATCTGCCCCGATACTTTGAACGATGAAAATCGTAAGCCACTGCAATAAGATTAATCCTCAATTGTTGTATATATTGATATCTTACTCTCATAAAAATCTGCAAGACCGTTTTCGCGAAAAAGTCATTTTACATATACATGCGTTACTTAGTTAGGCGATTGATCTAACCTCAACCATAAAAACAATACAAAACACTGAAAGTCTAGATATAATTAATAGACTCTAAATATAACCGCTGCGCTTAAAACAAGATTTAACAAATTTGTCGGTATTCACTCAACAAATTGAAATTTCATCAATAAAGCAAAAACAAAATGAGATACAAACGGGGACATGAAGAATTTATCTACTAAAAACTAATTTATAACTAATATACGACAAAAATTCACGCTTAATCCCCCGAATTGCAGCAAATAACTTGAAGATGTTGTTTTATGTTGCTTACAAAAGCAAACTACATAAAGTTTTTGTAGTAAAACCTTTTAAATACACTCAAATAAATATTTATACTAATACATTTTCTCTTTTTTTAAATAAATATATTCTTATTCATTCCCTAAAACAAACCATTATATGAATATCATGAAATATGTCAATAAAAATAAATTATAATAATAATCCAAAATATTCATATCAGATATGGGAAAAAAGACAAATCATGGAACAAGCATCAAAAATAAATAATGTTTAGAATTCCAAAATTTTTTCATTTTGCAAATTTTCAAATAAATTTCGTATTTCTTCTCTTGATTTTCAAATTTTTGAATTTTTTTTGGAATTTTAAATGAAGAATTGAGAAACCTAATATAGATGGTTGTTATCTCATATGTGAATATGTTCGTTTTATTTCATAGTTTGGAATTTTCTCATATTTTATGGTGAAATTGAGTTTCTATCACAGGTTTAGATAGCATATTTAAGGACAGTTTACATGAATTTATATTTTCATCAATATGATATATTGAAATAGGAGACGCTCAATATTATAATGTCTTTCTTAGGATTCCAAATATATTCAAATTTCCTGAAACTACAATTTCGGTAGTTACCATCCACATATGGGAAGCAATACACAAATATCTAGTAGATGGTATATCATTTTATATCGCAAAATGAGTATCTCAGGAAAAATTCTAGATACTTTTTCAAAACATACAATAACGCAGGATCTATTCTGTAAAACCGATTAATAGTACAAATATGTTTATTTGCAGGTCAAACAATCGAATGTTAATTTTAATAATATTTCCTCGAAATCGCTCTTGCAGTTTTCTTCCATTCTTCGTCTATTAGTCATTGAGTACCTACATAGTCTAAATCCATTACCAAAATCAAGAAAGCATCGTTACGATTTTGTGGACCTACCTTTATCGACGTATTCAATTATCACTCTCTTTTTATCATTTATGGATTATGAACAATTGAAAATCAAGCTAAGCGTTCATGATATATCCCATCTAACAGTGAAAACACATGAAATAAAGACCTTAAATCATGTTGCCAATGATGTTTTCTTAGGAGTAGCATGCGATTGCATTTTTATTTTCGATCATAAAAAAATTAAAGAATACTACTATAAACGACTGAAAACAGGCATATACATTGTCGAAAAAAGACTATTTCTCGGGATAACTGATGGAAAATCATGTTTTTGTTATGCAACTAATAACGTATTTGATAGAATTCAGGATACAGACATTGATCCATGCGACAAATGCATACATACAATGCAATATATGCCAAAGTACTCGAGATTAATAACAGTTGGCGAGCATTTGACAATTTGGGATTTCAAATTCATTCCTTCTCCACCAACAATAGAATTCCAACCGGCCAAATTGATAATTATAAAGATTAACGTTATATTACCATACACAAAGATACAAATTATTAATCCTCCAGTAATCAACCAAAATACAGGCGAAATTTTTGTGTGTAACAAAGATGGAAACTTAACATGTTACGATAAGAATGGCAAATACGCAGATACAATGTTCAATAATCTCGACTACGATCAATTTGCATTTGATTGTTTCCAAGAGACAGGAGAGATGCTATCAGTTGATCCATCTAATGGTTTAACTCTATGGCATACAAAGAATGTTGCTATTGCACAATATTCTATACCTTCCCAATACATTGTTTCGATCAGATTTATAAATGAAGAATTTGCAATGATATTAACAACTAATCAGCAAATAATTCTTGCAGATTACAGAACAGGATTTTCCTATACATGTTACACTCCAAAAGAACAAGTTACAAGATTTTTTGTTTTTAATTCTCATCTTTACTTGATTTGTCGCAACGAAATCATTGTTCTTGAGCCAATTATGCCTTGGAGACTATGGACACGTACTTCTATTCCTCCTGTTTATGTCAAACGAGTTGAAAAAAGAAATTCTGCAGCAAGAATTTTGGTCTTATGCCAAAATTGCCAAATCAGACTCTTGTCACCAAGAAATGGCCAAATTATTACAGCATTGACACTTTCAAACACTTCTACAGTACAATCATTGATGTACGACCGTGGTTACGATGACATTTTACATGATATTTTATTCATCAATTTTTCTGATGGAAAAACATCAGTTTATTCAACAGGACAATCTCCATGTATTGAACAAAGCCAGATCCACATGAAAGCCACATCTACTTTAGTACTAAGATTGCCTGATGACAGGCTTGTCTATGCTATTGGAACTTCAATTGGACACGTAATTCTTTGTGATTACGAAACATTAAAACAAATTGGTCACTTTTTTGTGACAACGATGCCAATTACGAAAGTTTTCTATTACAGGAGAACGAACTCATTAATTATATTATCAGCATATGAAGTCTTTCTTTTCTCCATTTACAATGGAACAATTGTCCACAAAATTGATCTAAAATCAGGTGAATTGGCTGAATTATTTAATGACAATTTAGTTGTTGATATTGGAAATGGTGAAATGGCAGTGATTGATTTACTTAGTAGTTCTAAATTAGTGAGAAACAAACAGTTTAATGGCACTAAATTCCATCAAGGAAAAATTACTTCAATATCGTGTTCATCTCATTTTCTTTTGACTTCTTCTGAAGATTGCTCCATCAGAGTTTGGACGAAATCTCTTTCTCTTTATGCTGCTTTGGAATTTCCTGTTCCAATTACTTGCGTCTGCTTCTTGAATGGAAAAAGAGACATCATTGTTGGTGCCGACGACAACTTGATGATTATTAACAGAAATCTTTTGTTCGAAATGAATGATGAAGAAGACGATGTTTATGACAATTACGACAAACTAAGAGATGAATTGATGCACGAAACAATTAGAATTGTTATGGAAGAAGAAGAGGAAGAAATTGAGACATTACTGAATAAAACAAAAGAGAGTGAGAAAACGCCAACAAAAAGACAATCAATAAGAAGAAGATTCATGGACAGAATGCTGGAAGAAAGAAGAAAAAGAATGGAAGAATCGCTGAAGAAATCAGAACAATGGGAACCAACACAAAATGACATGGAAAATACTATTAATTTCGCTCTCCAAATGGAAGAAGAAATAAAGAAGGAAGAAGACAAAATGAGGAAGGAAGAACAAGCACAATTAGAATGGGAATCAAAGAAGAAGTTGATGGAAGAAGAAGAATATGTTTATGATGAAGAAGATGAAGATGAAATTGTTCAAACAATTCCACAAAAAGCTCCAATACAAATTGTTGAAAATGTTGAAGAGAAAATTGAAAAACCAGAAGAAAACAAAATTGATAATGATTTGACATTATATTTATCTGATGATAATAATAGTTATGATTCTATTATGGAAGCATCTTCAAGGAGAAGTTCCAGAAGGAATTCAGGAAGAAGCTCTGCTGCAGATTACGTAAGAAACTCAATAAGTAGAATGTCTCAAAAATCAACAAATTCAATTTCAAATAACAAAAATTCTGAAAGTAGAATGTCACAGAAATCTACAAATTCTGCAGCAAATAATAGAAAAACTGATAGTAGGATGTCTCAAAGATCCAACAACTCTATTTCTAATAACAAGGACTCTCCTGAAAGCAGGAAATCCCAAAAATCTGTGAAAGAAAATGTTTTGAAATCAGTTTCTGAATCAGATGATGAAGTTGAAAAAATTGAAAATAATCCTAAAATAGAGACAAAAGCAAAGCATCCAAACATACCAAGGATACCAGTAAAACCACCAAAAATTCCTGAATCATCAAAACCAAAGAGAATCAACAACAACACTCAAGTAAAATCTGCAAGAAGATATAAAGATGAAAATAAAGTTGAACAAAAAATTGACAAAAATATTCCAGAAAAACAAGAAGAAAACAACGAAAAAACTGAAGAAGAAAAATCCACAATAAGTAATAAATCAATGGAATCAATAAATAGTTCTAAAAAGAGTTTGAAACAGGAAGAAAAACCAAAAGAAGTAGAAGAGAAAACAATCACATTAAATATAGAAGAAATAAGATTCAAACAACTAGTAAACAAAGGCCAAATAAAAGCGAAGAAAAACAAAAACGAATCGAAATATGAAATTGTTTCTCATACACAAAACACTCAACAAAACAATCAAACTACACAGCAAAACAATCAAAAGATAAAACCAAAGATAGAAACAGTTCCTGAATTCAGAAACGATCCAGACAGATTCGATTTCGATCCATCTAAAACTCCGAAATACTCAATGAGAAATCTGAAACCAAAAGAACCAAAAATGTCAGAAAAATCAAATTATTCTTCTAAAAAATTCAGAGCCAAAAAACAGAAAAACACAGAGCTTTACAGGATTCCAACGTCTCCTGAGAGAGCTCCAATTGTTAAAGAAAGCAAACGACAAAATACTCCTGAAGAAAAACAAGTCAGAATTCCTAAAAAATACATTTTGACCACACAGAAAAACAAGTTTTTCTCTCAAAGACAAGAAACTCCACAACCAAAGAAGAGGTTTAATCCATTGGGTGTTTACGAGAGACAAACTGCAAGACACAGAAAGAGAGCATCTACTCCAGTTCCACACAAGTTTGGTATCTACTTTGATTACGATTTTCCTTACAATGTTATTTATGATGTCGATATCATCAGAGACCAAACAAAGAATGGAAACCAAAAGTACTCCATTATACTCAAAAGAAAAGAAATAGAAGATCACGCAATGAACCCAGAAAAGAACTGTTTCGTACCAGACAATTACGAAAAGCCTGAAACGAAATATATCATCAAAGAAGAAGAAATAGAAGAATTAGACTTGGATGATATAATTTCGAGAATTAGAGATGTGGAAATTCTCAGAGAATATAGAGAATCAAAGAGAAAAAAGAAAGCGAAATCAGTAAAGAAGAGTTTATTCTCTTCTTTGATTCCTCTTTCTTTGCAAAGAGGAAGGATTCCTGCTTTCTCAAATGCATTCAAAAGCCCATTCGCAACAAGGAGATTTAATGAAGTTGTTGACATTAAATCTCCACAGGAAAAGGGCGTTTTAGTACTTAGAGGAAACAGACTGCAAACTAGTTTACCTAGATTGTAAATTAAAATAAAATAATATTTGTTTGTTATAGATTATGATTAACTAGAGATCTTTTTTAGTTTGAGTTTATTACCGGAAAATTATTGAATAATGATTAACGATTATTTTTGATGTATAAATATGAAGAATAAATAATGCAATATGTATCATTATTAAATGTTGAGTGTATTTTGAATAATTCGTGAATAAAATTTATAATTATTTAGATTTTTTTTTCATCATTAATTATGTTTAATTTCGAATGTACATATCGAACAAATTGACTTGTCATGCAATCAATTAAATCTAGATTATAAATTAGATTTGGATAATTTTTTTTTAATTTTTGTTTTTGAATTTATGAATATCTCTGCTTATTAATGGTCTATAAAACTGCTGAATTGCTAGAAAAATGAAAATGATTTAATGATTATTCATGAAACTAAATAAATTACACTTTTGAATGAAAAAATATTCGTTAGCCGAAATTCTTTTGAAAATTGCTATTGATGAAAAACCAGAATGGATTCATTATAAATTATATTTGGTTTTGTATCTGAAGAAACAAGCAGCCAAATAATAAGAGTGAATTCAAAATCCATTGAATCGAGTTGATAATGGCTCAAATTTTACGAATACATTCAATTAGAAGCCACATGAGTTGTCCGCAATTATGTTGTTCCTCATGTTAACCAATAAAAAGTACATCCCATTTATTGAACTCCATTCAAATATTGAAAACCTGACAACTGCTTTTGTCAATCAGTTTGAATGGAAAATAACGATAAAATTGAAAACTTTAATCAAGACACAATCTCTTAAGCTATTGATTGGTTTCCTGAGTGAATACTAGAGTGAAATAAATATATTTCTATAAGAGCATTGAAACATTTTTCAATCAAATGCTTATATCGATTTTTTCCCCAAAAAATGTCCGAGAATATGCAACCATTATAAACAGCATTGATCATTTGTAAAAACCGTCAACCGACTTCACATAAAAAGTTTTTACAAATTATTTTTGATCAAAAAAGAAAGTCACTTCATTTTAATAAATGAATACTGCAAACAATGACAATCAAATCCAGCCAATAACTTGTGATATCCCAGATGTAATTCCTGTTGGGGATCCACGCTTATTACCATTAGACCATCCAATGCCAACAGTCGTTCCTGCACCAGGTACTGATGATTATGAAGTTCCAAAGATGAAAATCGGATTTGGCCCAGAAGTTGATCAAGCAAAACCTCAATAAAGTTTGTCTGAGTATAAACATTTAAAAAAATGCAAATAATTTATTTGGTTTTATTCCTTAATTAACCAGCAAAATAGTATTTACTACTTAAAGATAGTAAGAGAATACCTTTATTATTAAGAATTTCCAAAATTGCTCATTTGATTCGAAATGCAGTTTGTTAACTTCAAAATGCATCCAATCACCATGGAGAGATAAGATATCAGAATTTTGAATGTTAAATGTTCAATAAATATATCCTCTAAGTGTTGAGAAAAATAAAAAAAAGTAAATTTTGTAAGCAAAATATTTACTAAGTAACCACTAAAGAAATTTAGCAGCAGCCGTAAGCTAGCATAGCCTCAGCGACGCGCTTGAAGCCGGCGAGGTTAGCACCCTGATAGAGTGGAACGCCATATTGTTCAGAAGCAGCGTGAGCAGCTTCGAAGATAGCGTGCATGATTTCCTTGAGCTTCTTGTCGACCTTCTCGGATGACCAAGCGAGGCGGACGGAGTTCTGTGTCATTTCGAGGCCAGAGACGGAAACACCACCAGCGTTGGCAGCCTTGCCTGGGCCGTAGTAGATGTTCTCCTTCATGTAGAGCTCGATTGTCTCGTTTGTAGATGGCATGTTAGCACCTTCAGCAACGAGCTTGACGCCGTTCTTGACCATGACTGGAACGTGTTCTGGGTGAATTTCGTTCTGTGTGGCGCATGGGAGACCCATTTCGCATGGGATCTCGCAAGCCCAGATTGACTTTCCGTCGATGTACTCGTAGCCCTTGAGGTCTGGGAAGAGTTCAGAGATCTTCTTGAGCTCTGTACGAGCGACGTTCTTGATGTGCATGACGGCATTAAGATGCTCCTTTGTCATGCCGTCCTTGAAGAGGATAGCACCGTGGGAGTCGGAAACGGAGACTGGGATAGCACCGAGCTGCATGAGCTTCTGGCAGCAGTACTGGGAAACGTTGCCGGAGCCGGAGACCATGGCACGCTTGCCCTTGATTTCCTCGCCACGAGCGCGGAGCATTTCTGTAACGAAGTAGACAAGACCGTAGCCTGTAGCTTCTGGGCGGATGAGGGAGCCACCGTATGGGATGCCCTTGCCTGTAAGAACGCCTTCGAAGATGTTCTTGATACGCTTGTACTGGCCGAACATGTAGCCGATTTCACGAGCACCGACACCGATATCACCAGCTGGGACATCTGTGTTGCCGCCGATGTGGCGCTGGAGTTCGAGCATGAAGGACTGGCAGAATCTCATGACTTCGCCATCAGACTTGCCGGCTGGGTCGAAATCGGAACCACCCTTGCCACCACCCATTGGGAGTGTTGTAAGTGAGTTCTTGAAAACTTGCTCGAAGCCAAGGAACTTGAGGATGGAAAGGTTAACGTTGCCACGGAAACGGCAACCACCCTTGTATGGGCCAATTGCAGAGTTGAATTGGACACGGAAGCCACGGTTGACCATCATCTCACCCTTGTCGTTAACCCATGGGACACGGAACATGATAACACGTTCTGGTTCAACGAGGGCTGGGAGGAGCTTCTGATACTTTGGTTCCTTCTCAAGGATTGGGACGAGGGATGTAAGAACCTCTGTGACGGCCTGGATGAATTCCTTCTGATCTGGATCGCGAGCGCGAACGATCTCGAGTGTCTTCTGGACTGCTTCCATTGACGAATGTGAAATGAAATTCTGCCAAACAGAGACCTCTCAATTTTTCTGAAGTTGAAACCTAAAAACGATGAAGTTTTATCCTTCACAAAATTTGTTATTGTACCATCGTTTAGTTAATGAAATGTATAGCCCGTGAGGAGATGAATAAGATTTGAATCATCGTTTTAGAGAAAAAATAAAAATTGAGAGTAATAGAATTAAAGCAATAAGCAGTAAAAATAGTTATTTTGTAGTGATTAGTAAGAATAAAGCGTTTTCGCAAAATATGTTCAGGTGAGATGATTATTCCAATTTCTATAGAATCATATTGCTGACGTCCAATATGGTAATAATACACAAGTGAAATCAATGTTTGGCCAAAAAACGATATCTTCTCAAAAATGAATTGAAAACGATTTCTCCATTTTAGAGAAATTCTAGAATCTTCTTGAGAAGGCCTAACTGAAAATATACGATGTTTTCTAGAATTGTCACTTTGACAAAAATGAAGAGTGAATAAATGATCTGATTTCTGGGCAATAATAATCTGAACCAGATTTTCTAGCAAAACAAACTTAAAAAATAAAGAAATATTTTTCAAATAACGATGCGAGATGAGGTGAACTGAAGTTCTCCATTATGTGTGGTCAATTTTGTACACTGTTTTGCGATCTTGTGAATATAATTTACTACTCACTTCTGTCTTTCTCGTTTGATTATGTGGTTATTTTTATATTGTAATGACAAATTCTATCGCATTTGAATATCAAATACAATAAATTTGCTGATTAGCGTTTGAATCGGAGTTATTTCACAGAATATATTTCAATTACAGTAGTCGCTAAGTAAAACGCTCTATTTTCAATAATTGTTCATCCGAAAATCTCTTTTTTCATTTGTGCGATCAATATTGATGCATCAATCCTAGAATAAATCAAAATCTATCTCTTAGAAAAACAAAAACATGACTTATCGAAAAATTAAAAATAATATTCTCATTAATTCTAACACAGACTCTAAATTCACTGTTGTTTCTCACAAACAAATACATTGTTACTGTTAATTTAAAACATTTAAAATTAATATAGTTTATTACCGTATGAATATAGTAGGGATTACAATTCCTTCTTATTTTGGTCATCCTCCTTCTTCTTTTCAGGTTCTGCTGAAGGAGATGGCTTCGGAGTTTCTGATGAAGCTGGCTTCGCAGTTTGCTTTGGTTTTGGCGTTGACTTTGGCGGAGTTGGAGTTGGTGTTGACTTAGACTCTGTTGGATCAACATACTTCTTGTTTTTATCGCCAAATCCGAAGAAATTCTTCACTTTAGAGAAGAATCCTTCTTTCTTAGTCTTTTCTACAGGCTTTGGTATATTGTCAATCCTCTGGAACTCCTCAAGAAGCTTAATTGCATTCTCTCTGATCTCATTTGACTTAATATCAATATTCTCATAAAGAGGAACTTCCTTCAATTGCTGTGTGAGTTTCATGCCCATCATCTGTGTTGCATTCAAAAGGTCTGAGAAATGTTTGACTTCATAGGCCGGAATCCATGATTTATTGACCGGCCACTCAAGGAGTGAAGTCATCATTAGTCTCTGGACTGTTGATCTCAAGAGCTGCTCGAACTGTTGGAGTTTGGTGCGCTCTTCAATTCTGTCCCAAACTGGCTGTACGTAGCTCATAAGTTCTTGATAAGGAGCTGTGAACAAGGATTCGTTCTTTACCTTATCAGCGTGATCATTTATCCATGTCTTCATCTTATTGGCCGCATTAGTAACTACAGCAACTTGAGATGGACTCATATATGACTTAAATGTTTCGTTGTATTCGATATCGTCCAAGATTTTATGGGTCAGTTGCTCGAGTTTCATGCGTGCGTTGGCGATATTCCTACGTTTGGCCATTGTTCTGAGGACTGTAGAAACATATTGTGAATGGGAAATAGAAACAGAGGGTGATCCGAAGCTGACTGTAGTGAAGTTGGTCTCGTTATCATATTTATGAAGCTTTTCAAGAGCAACTATCGACTTTCTGAAAAATGCAGTCAGATTTGTCTTCGAATTGTTGTAAATTGTGTATGGGAAGGTGAGATGCTTGACAGGGAGTGGTAATTCGGACTGTTTGTACTTCAAAGTAATCTCGTTTTCGACATCCGTCAAATTTATTTCATTTGTACAGTTAATTCCTCTTTGGCAGACTGGTTCGGTCTTTGAATTGTACTCTACTTCGACAGATAGTACTGGATACTCATCGGACCAGCCGATTGCTGACAATCTTGAATGTTTATGATTATATTGCATGACGTAGCCACCTCCAAATGCGACAGTCTCGTCGGCATTCAAGTTGGCATTGATTGTCATGTTGAGAACTTCTTGTAAATTGTTCGTAAGGTTGAATAATCTCGATGATCCGCCAATGATTTGAACAGTGTCAAAAGTGACATTGTTTGTGGCCTCTTTGACCACTTTTGTGGCTTCTTCGAATACTGGTTTGATCATTTGAAGTAATTCTTCTTCTTTTATGACTAATCTGAGTTCCTCGTGACCTCCAACGTCTTCTACGACAGTGGAGGACTGATGGATAGCGCTAAATGAAATTGCGGCTTTAAGTTTTTCGCATGCAGTGAATAATCTACGATATTCAGCTGGTGTAAGGTTTTTGAGGTTGTGTGTCTTAATGAAATGGTTTACCATGCGTGATGTGACGAAAGCGCCACCTTCTTTGTTAGAAATTGCATATGATAATTTTGTAATGTTAACATTTGCTGTTGGAAGCTTAGTATTCTTAATAAGAACGAAGCGACCAGCGTATGCCTTGATAGAGGTTGCACCAATATCGATGAATAAGACTGTTTGTGGCTTATCGTTGAACATTCTGATTCTTTCTACACCATAATAAGTAAAAGTGGCTTCATTATCGGTAATTATGCCACCATACTTGTTTTTAGAGTTTTTAATGGCGTTAGAAACAATTTCGCGCTGTTTTGCGGTAAATGTTGCTGGAACGATAACAGAGAGGGTATTTACTTCTTTTTCAGCGGACACACTTGTTGCGTACATGTTTAAGTACAAGGCGAGCGTATCTTCGAAGTCAAAACGAGAAATTGATTTGTTTAAAAACACGGTTTTTTCAAATTTCTTTGATACTTCGTCATCTGTATCTATATGGTACATGAAGTATCCGGCGCCAAGATGTGGACGGAAATCAATTTGTCCACTTGCTTTTTGGCCGATGGAAGGAATTGCTTCTTCTAATTCTTCATTCGTAAATAATTCTGGTTTGGATGTGTTGATAGACTTTGGAAGACGAAATGCAATGCATGTTGGCGTCAATCTCTTTGATTCTGAGTTTTCTGTCATAGTTGGAAAAGAAGTGGAGTTAAATGCTGATGATTTAGTTACAGCTGTACCTAAATCGATAGCAATGCTTTTCGAACGGGCTAAAGATGTAAAGAATGATGCTAAAATCATTGGGAATTAAAAATATGTATCAGGCCAAATTGCCATGTATATTTCAATACTTTACATAACAAAAAATTTATTGAACTCATCGTAAATAGAATCTGAAATGAATGAGTGGAAAAGAGGATATCATGAGGATAGTGTTGCGGTTTAGAACTATTTTTGTTGAAAAAACTTAAATTTGCTTTTTATCCTTCATAAACAAAGGTCATTGTCATCTGATATCATATCTGCAGTGTCTGCTGTTGGTATTTCTTCTTTAGATAAGTTCAATTTTTCTTTCAAACTCATCCTTATGAACTTCAAAATCAAACATTTTGTAAATTATTCAAAATTGAGATCATGCCCATAACTTGGAAATGAAATTTCGGAGGCAATACGGAGGTTGAAAAGTCTACTTATTGAACTTGTTCTGATGCTGGTTTTGGTTTTTGAACAAAATCGCAGCCAATTGACAATCGCTGTTGTATTTCAGAAAAAAAAAGTCGTTCCTCAAAAGACATAATTCGATTTTTGAAATGAAAAAACTTTGCTGGCTATTATTTCAAAAGTATTAGATAATTCACCATTTGAATTAGCACTTTTGCATACGATAATATTCGTATAATTATGCATCATTTTAAATGATAAAAATTAATTTCTTTATTTTCGTATGCAAAATTGCTAATATAAACTCTGTGACTTCATAATTAATCATTGTTAATTATCCGCGCTTGAAATGAATCGAATTTGAATGATTTTGCACGAAATTCTAGACAATTTTGTTGTTTAATTACATCATTTTGATTCCATGTTAGAAACATAGTGCTGCTTGTTGAACCATTTGGAAAAAAAGTCAAAAGGAAATTTGTGATGAATACGATGGTTTGAATTTCAAATGACTATCAGAAAAAATTAATAGCAATATATTCATAGGTAAATTTGTTTCTTATCATTTTAATTTTTTCTTTGCATTCTGAAAAATTGAAAAGAGATTTATGCAATCAATATTTTTGCTTTTTCTCTGAAAAAGAGAAGCTCCATTTTGATAATCAATGCATATAAACTGAGATATGGTACAAATTACTGCTATAATTTGATTTTAAATACATGAAACTAAGGATTATTAGATAATCGACCAACTTTTTTATGATCTTAAGAATGAGTAATTAGTTAAATGCTGCATAATCCGAATAACAGGTATTAATTTGAAAAAAATAACTTACTTTGTGTAAGAAACTATTAATTCGTTTTTGCTTTTTGAATTGCAATTCAATTTCTTTTGATTGGAATAAATTTCATAGAGAATTACATATATCTGACAGTCGATAATTGATTTTTAATAACAGTAGATTACGGGTCAAAAATATTTTGCTTAACGATCAAAATCGCATTGAAATTTAAAGGGGAATTCAAATTCAATAGACCCCTAATTTTATTAAAATTATTTACCATTGCAAATCTAGTATGAATAAAGATGCCTAATATTTTTCGTAAATCGTATAATTTTTGTAAAAATGATTTAGATCATGCTATTTTTCAAAACAATTTAAATTACGATTGACAAGCTGAATCCATATATTTTTTCAACATATAGCATTTTTCCTTCAAAAAAGAATTGCTAATAATGAGTGATAATGTTGTTTTTTTTCAAATTTTATACATGGCACGGCGGGCGCAAAAAGTGACAAAATAGAATACCTATGGTGGCAAGACAAAGGAAACATTTTTGTAAGGCAAACATTATATCAAATACCTTTACTTTGTAATAAGAAATATAATTATCACGAAATTACAAATAAATATTGTTTAATATAATTAATAGCAAAATTCTTTTTTATTATTTCCCTTAAGACCTTACTTATTAAGTATACGTATAACAAGCTTGTACTGCATGTATTAGTTAATAGAACAAAAGAAACTGAGCTCAAATGAAAAAAATTTTCATGCTATTTTGGAAATATGCATATTCGAAGTATGAGAGTTGTAAACACTGAGAATTTTAAGCTTTGGTTGATGATAGTCTTTAATTTTTCTTGAAGTAGTAAATTATTTGATATGAAAATTTAATGGCCAGCATAATCAATCGTGCGTTTCGTTTCTTGATTGAGAAACGATGATTGTGTGCTAATGAATTATTGCGTCTGACAGGTTATGATTATGGATACCTGAAATTAAGCTTTTATGGGAAACATCACCGAGCGCCATTTGGCGCCCCTAATGCTGTTTCTATCGGTATGATTAAGGAGCTTTCTTATGCACTTTCATCACTTGAACTTGAACGCTACAAGATATATGCCCCCCTCCCAATGGGAGGTGGGAGCAAAAATTGAAATGTTTACAATGATTTTTGAATACTTTACAAGCGCCCCTCCCAGTGGGCGCGGGCGCAAGTGATCGGGTCAAAAAAAAAATCATAAAAATATTCAAAATTGCGATTTTAATAGATGTTTAAGAAGTAAATTTATTAATAACGATATTTCATAGTACAAAATGTGTTCAATCTCTTCGTAAATCATTCAAAAAAATCAAAAGAATTTCCAAAATTCAATTTTTTTAGTAAAATTTATATCTTTTTCTATCGTCTCCTCCCCACCAGTGGGAGCCACCGGAGGCGCGGGCGGCGCCGCTGGCGCCAAAAAAGTAGCGCCCATCGTGCCATGTATATTTCAAATTAAAATTTTAATGATAAATTAGCTATTGTATTTAATAAAATTGAATGAGACGCTCAATTTTTCAGAATCGTCATTTCATTTTAATTTATGTGTTTTAATAAAGAGTGGTCTTTAATATTCACAGGCACCAGTCTGTTCTTTGGCGGATGGGTTGTTTCCGGCCATGGAATATGGAAAAACATTGAAAGCTGGCAACGCTGGCGAGTTTGCTATTGCTTCATTTATTTTGCAGCTATGGAAGCTCTTCAATTCTTCCAGTACCTAGTCATTAACGATTGCCAATCTTCACTCAACATTTTCTTAACATTCCTAGGTTTCATTCATATTTGCTGGCAGCCATTGTTTTCCAATATTGCTTTCTCAGCTCTTGATTTCAAGAATTTCGATAAGAAGAGAGATGATATCTGGAAATTCATTTTCAAGTTCGCTTTCGCTTCTGGATTATTAATGTCTTTCAGAATCCTTATTCCAGCAGTATATGATTTCCCAGAAGCCTTCATTTTTGAACCACGTGGCAATGCTGATGGATATTGCGGAGAAAAAACTTGCACGACCAACGGAATTTATCACTTGAAATGGGAATTCAAGCTTCTTAAATCTACATACGCTTTTCCAAACATGTCAGCACACTGCTTGTTCATGTTCGTTTGTCCATTCATTCTTGGTCTTAGAATTCAGTCAATTATTCTTTTCTTAACAGGACCATTTATCTCCGTTCTCTTCCCAGGTCCAGTTTCAGATGGTGAACGTTCATCTATATGGTGTTTCTTCTCCATTGCTGAATCATTCATTACTGTTATTACTTGTTACATTGCTTGCCGTCGCCAACTCAATGCTTCTCTTAAGCAAAAGCAGCAGTAAGATACTTATATTATAAACTATAGATATAATTTTTATTGACATTATAATCTTTCCAAAATTCAATTATACATTGATGAACGTCTGTTTCATGTTATGACATATGTAATAATTTATAAAAAATGATTTAATTAACAGCACTAACATTCCGAGTAGTTACTTTATAGTGTGTAATTAACTCACACGTATAACTAGATTGTGTTTGAAAAAAGGTTCATAGATCTAGTCGAAGATGATCTTTAGGCTATAATTTGTTCTTAGTAGTATATGAGGAAGGGTTTTGTGACTTTTTTTGTAAACGTAAGAATTCATACAATATTGAACGATTTTGTATCATTTTTTTTAACATATGAAGTAAAAAATGTATGATTCTTACGGTTTTTATTCTTACGTTTTTGAATAAATCAAGATTTAAAAAATTTTCAAAATTGTAAGACATTTACACTCAACCCATACATAATGTAATGAAAAATAAAAGAAGCTATATATATAGATGATGTCAGATATTCCGCGATTAATTATAGAATTGTTTAAATCATGAATGGAATCAATGGAGTCATAATCGAAGACCTCATAAACGAGAGAGTAAAAGAAATTAGAAATAATTATTTTCATGAATAAAAAATAAACTTTAAAAATTCATCACATGGGAGAATTACGAAGAAGAATTATATAAAGTGGAACCATTCACGAAAGATTCATTTTATTCAGCATTAACTCAAGAAACTATATCAGATAGTGATTATCAAATATATCTCAATGATGCTAAAAATTTTAAGAATAGATTAGAATATTTTATTCATTATTGCAATAAAGATGTTGAAATTATGATTGACCCAATTGATAAAATTATTGAAGAAACAATTGTTTATAAAATTGATATGCTTCATAATCTTTCTTTATCATCGAATGCTTCAATGATTCGTTACGCTTTAGCATATAAAGACTTTAATCATAATGAAAAATATCCTGAGGAAGAGATAGAATCAAGTTTTGAATTAACGAAAAAGTATTGGAAATATAAAATTGAATCATATAAGAAACAAGATGAAAAAGCAGAAAGAGATATTAAAAATAATGTTTCAATGGATGATTTTCAATACTATCACGATTTAATCCTTTCATCTAAATGCAAAATGTGTGGTAAAGCGTTTACATATGCAAATAAACCAACATTGGATAGAATCGATAATGAAAAACCACATACCAAAGAAAATTGTCAGTTAATGTGTTGTTATTGCAATGTCGTAAAATCAAATAAAGATGAAGATGTTCAACGTTTAAGAATCAATTTAAGAAATTATGCATTAAAAAATAATTTACCAATGACTTTAGATTCAGTTGAAGCTTATCACATTCTCCGTAATGGAATTACTGGTGGTCTATCAAATGTTCAACATCGTATTAATCTTAAAGGAATCACGCACATTAATAAACTTTCATATAATCCAGAAACTAAAACTGTATCAAATGAGGACACCACCAACATTATGACTCATTTCGTTGGTGTTGATTTTAATTCATTATATCCTTCATCATTTTCATCTAATCCTCATGATTTCATTCAATATACTGACCATAAAATGTATATGCCGGGAAGATTGAATGGTGTTATCATTTGTGATACAGCAACAAAGAAAGCAAAAGCACTGGGAATAATTAAGAAGAAAAATACTTTATTCGTGGCTGAAGTAAAGGGTCACATTGATGAAAAATACATTAATGATTACATAAACTTTTTACCGATAATAAGAAACTTAGATATTATCACAGATGAAAAAACAATTGGCAGTTTTATGTATAATTACATGAAATCAAACAATCTACCAGTTGACCAGAAACAGAGAAAATTAACTCAGTTAGCATCAACACACAACCAATATCAACCATTTTCTTCTTATTATCTATGGTATCTAATCGACAGATTTCATTTTATCATCGATGATATTCAATCAATTTTAACATTTACGAAAAACACTTGTTTTAATGAATTTGCGAACGAATTTATGAACGAAAGACAAAAGGCTGAATTAGAAGGAAATAAAGGAAAAAGTTTATTTTGCAAGATTTCACTTAATGGATCATATGGTTACGATGCAATGAATACACAAAATTACACAAAGACTAAAATAATGAATGCACAGAAGGCACGCGTTGCATGTATGTCAAATAAGTTTAAAAACATAAGAGAAATAGGTGAAGATACATATCAAGTGATGCTCAAAGATAGATTTTATAGATGTGAAACATGTTTACAAGAGGCATTCTTTACTTTAGATAATGCTAAATACTGGTATTTAGTTTTCATTTATGATTTTATGTATAAATGCATGGATGTTAATCGTTTTCATTTCATTGAAGGTGATACTGATTCATCTTATTGGGCTATTGCTGGCGATTCAAATCTTCCTAACACTCAAGCATTTCAAGCAATTATAACCGATAAACAATTTTATGATAAAAACATTTTCAAATTCGCACCTTTTAATTTCTTCTGTTTTGATGAGAAATTTAAACCTAAATTAAAGAATAAAGTTGAAGAAAAAGCACATGAGAAGAAGTTATTGGGTTTAGCAATTGAGAAACAAGGTGATAACATGGTTGCTTTATGTCCTAAGTGTTATACATCATTCAACGGTTCAATTGATGGAAGTGATTTTAAAAAGATTGCACAAAAAATGAAAGGAGTTAGTTTACGACAAAATAAACAATTAACACCTAAAAATTATTTGGATATAATAAATGATAAAGTGATATTTGATGGTCAGAATATTAATTTACAACTTAAAAACGGATTAATGACTCGCTTAACAATCGGTAAGACTGCATTAACAGGAGCACACACTAAGGCTGTATGTTGTGAAAATGGATGTTGTATGCCATTTATTTAATACAATTTAAAATTTTATTTTTAATGAAATGCCACAGAAGAGACAAAAGGAACCGTTAATGATGCGATTCAATATGTAAATAATGGTTTTGATTCTTGATCAAAGAGGTGGGCACCCTTAAAACACTTATTTTATTTTTATATAAATGGATAACGCAGATTTAAAAAATTTAATTGATGATTTAGTATTTAATCAAAATTTTCTTGATTATTATGATTTAAAAGCATATCTCCAAAAATATGATAACACTATAACGGGTGATGATATGGAATATTATTATCCATATTATAAAAATGAAATTTTGAAATATCATGATAAAATAATTTCTAAAATTAAAGACAAAATTAAAAATAATGAATATGCAAAGGGAAAAACTAAATCACAACTTAAACAATTGAAAGATTTCAAAAATAAAGTATTAACAGAAGAAGATATTGATGAATTGTATAAATTATATAATCCCGAGCCGCAAAAGCCAAATGTTCAACAGTTAAAAGTGCAAAACACCCAGGTCCTTCAGACCATAAATGATGCACAAGCTTTAATTTATGATTCATTAGTTAAACCACATTCAGCCCGACTTTTAAATGAAGATCAACTTTTGGAATTCATCCTTCAACATAAACTCGAAGCGGGAAAGTATATCAAACCTTTATATACAGTATATTTAAAACAAATGAATAAAATACATCCAGAATTAATGAAAGGAGGAATGAAATCCAAAACTTCATCATCCAAAATCAAAGCAGATAAAATTAAATCACTTACAACACCAAAACCTCCAACAGTAGTACCCCCTCCTCCTTCAGTTAATCCTTCATCATTCACTTTATTATATCCATTTCAAACATTTAAGAAGCAAAAAGATTTTAAAAAGGATTTCAAGATATTAAATAAACCAATTGACCCAAAAATTCAACCATTAAAGGAAAAATTTAGTCGCCCCTCATTTGCACCACATCCATATTCATACGAAATCGATCATTTAGAATATTCAAAAGGAAACGTTACTTATTTATTCGCCATTAACATTAACACTAGATATTTATATTGCATTCCAGTGAAAGGGAAAACAGAACAGGAAACACGAAGAGCTATTCAATACTTACTAGATCATGAAAGAGTAGATAATATAAGGGGTGATGGTGATAAAGGATTTCAGGCAGCTATGGCTCATTATTTTCCACAAATTAATTTTTACTTTTCATCCTCTCCATATACGTTTCATAATAAAATAGTTGATGCAGTAATGAGAACTCTTAGAGATGCGTTAGGGGTTAATGGTCAGATATACTGGGATGGAAATCATAACTCCATCATACAGCAGTTAGTATATTATTACAATAATACATGGCATAGAACAATAAACATGAAACCAGTGGAAATGAAAAATGATATTTCAAAAGAATGGAAATATATTAGAAAGCAAATGGAAAGGTTAAATGATGTTAAACGTGAACAAATTAATTCGGGGCTCATGAATTTTAAACAAGGGGATAAAGTTTTGATTCATCTCGATTATGGAAAAACTGATAAATCAATGACAAAAAGAAGACGAAGATTTGACACAATAGCTGAATTTGTTAGATATATTAACGGTAATGTATTAGTTGAGGTTAACAATAAATTAATAGAAATTCCGATTTATTTTATTACTCCATTATATTTAAATAATATTTAATTTTTTTATTTCGTAAGAAATGAGTGACAACGAAGCATCCAAGAGTCTAGATGATGAATATAAAAAGAAACTAAACAAAATTAAATCAAAAATATGCTATTATAAAAAGAAGCCGCAATGTGGTGGGGTTGAAAACGACAAAGAGATGAAAGAAATAATCAAAAAATTAGAAACTTATCGTTCAATCCTTAAACTGAGTGAAGCAAAAATAAAAGAATTTAATAGAATAAATAAATTGGTTGGAAGAGATGAATTTAATAAAGATGAATTTTTAAACTCAATCCAAATTTAATTTTTTTCAGTGCTACCATGTCACCAGGTCACCAGGTAATTTAACTTCTCTGAAAAAATGAGACAACATGACATTTTGACAACAGTCATGAAAGGAGGAAGGCACTTATTATTTATTTTTGAATAACTGATGAGGTCAC